TGTTATTTGACTGGCAATAAAAGGTATCAGAATGTTAAATTTTACTAAATTAGGTGCATAAGTTGTTGTGTACTAAGCTGTATAAGATACTATAGTTTTTTAACTATCCCACGGAATCTCTTTAATTTTCTGGGATCAAAGGTATCTAAGATATTGTCCGGGGATATAAGGTACCACCATGCAAAATTTCATTTAAATCGGTCCAACGGTTTCGGAGATTAGCCCGTACAAACATACAAACAGACAAACTGACAAATAGACATACAGGCAAACAGACAAACAGACAAAATTTTTGATAACTATTATTTTGGGGCCTATATTGTGTACATAATACGTTATAAACAAACAAAAATAGATCTATCCAACTTAAACCTTTTATTTTTCCGAGATGAAAAGTAACCTGTTGTTTGACCGGCAATATAAGGTAACAGCATGCCAAATTTTACTAAATTAAGTGCATAAGTTGTTGTGTACTAAGCTGTATAAGTTACTATAGTTTTTTAACTATTCCACGGGAACTCTTTAATTTTCCGGAATGAAAAGTACCTTTTTTTTATTGTCGGGAAATGCATTTACGCATACCACCTGATCCCCCAGGTGGTGATGTGGGGCTCACCGGCTAGAAGAGCCGGTACTACCCACTAAAACCCGACATCCCTTCCCCCCGCCTTAGTGGGACGCCGCAGGATCGCTTGCGCATAACTACTACGGCGCCCCGGCGGCAGGTCTGCCTAAATACTAGGCAGACCACCAAACCAATGGGGCTGCTCCACAGTCAACTCTGCTACGTCAGAGAGGTACCCGGAGCAGCCCCATAAAACCAAAACACCGCCCACCGAAGTGGGCCACCTCCAATCGGCTGCAGAGGACAGGGAGAGCGGCAACGAAACGCCGACACTCCTCTTCCCCTGCAGCCCCACCGCGTCCGCCATCAAACGGTGGCGGCCCCGTCTAGGCCGCGGAAGGTAGGGAGAACGGCGCACCGAAATACCGGCACTCATCTCCCGCCGCGGCCTACCTCTCCGCCGGATGCGGGCCTGCGACCACAGTCCCGCAACCGGCACCCATCATCCGGTTGTGGGACCAAGCGGTCCCACCACCGGTGGCCGCAATGTCTTCGGCTCGAGGCCTAGACGAGCGGCCCCATCCAAGCCATTTGGTCCGCGCCGGATTTCTCCGGTACCACCCGCCCCTTTAAGCGGGTGGCATGCCCCTATCCGCCACCTGGGGACGCGCCCGGTAGGAGTTGGCTTCTCCCCCGGGGGAATGAAAAGTACCTATCTTATATGTTGACCGGGGATATAAGGTACGACCATGCAAAATTTCATTTAAATCGGTCCAATAGTTTCGGAGATTAGCCCGTACATGTTTGTTAACAGGGAAACAAAAAAAAATTGAAATAAATCTGGATTTGTTCTATTTCTCTTCTTACGGGGTGTAAGAAGATAACTGACTCGGTTTTTAGCATGTTTTTTCTATGTACAGACATTCGATCTCTATGGTTTTATTATATTTATAGATAGAATAAATAACGTATACGTAACGTATACAGAATAAATAACGTAATAAAACATTAATATATAATAATGAAAATAGTTATAGCGAGTGTACCTTAGGAGATAGACATATGCTTTTGAGAATTTTTCTATCGACCTTTATAAGACTTACAATTTTCTTGTACAATGTTTTGATCTATCTCTTACGGTTGAGCCAGCGTTAGCCATAGGTATCCTAAATGTTGACCCGAATACTAAGTTATCACTATACAAAATTTAGTTAAAATCGGTTCAGTACTTTTTACGTGAAACGCGCACATCGATTTGACTAAGTTAGTTTTATTATAGGTATAGATAAGAATAGATATTGCTTAGGAGATATTCATATACTATTCAGAACTTTCCTGTAGGACTTTTCAAGACCACCAATTTTTTAGTATATTGTTTTGATGTAAGTATGTCTTAAGGCCTAGCCAGCGGAAGGTTTCTAGGGAGGACTCGATAAAATCAGTTATTGTATCTTCCTGTGAGAATGAAAGATTTTCTTGAATTAAAAGGTATCCTAAACGCTGACTCGAGTAATAAGTTATCACTTCACCAAATTTCGTTGAAATCGGTTCATCACTTTTCGCGTGAAACGCGTATACAAAAACAGACAAACAGACATACAGGCAAACAGACAAACAGATATTCTTTTAATAACTATTGTTTTGGGGTCTATGTTGTGTACATAATACGTTACAAATAAACCAAAACATTTATCCCATGGGAATCGTACATTTTTTCGGGATAAAAACCAACGTATTTGTTATTCTGATGTATGACCTATATTATTGTAAAGTTTCATCAAAATCCAATCAGTAGTTTTTGTGTACTAAGCTGTATAAGTTACTATAGTTTTTTGACTGTCCCACGAGAACCCTTTAATTTTCCGGGATGAAAAGTAGCCGATTTGTTATTGTCATGTATGAACTATATTATTGTAAAGTTTCATCAAAATCCAATCGGTAGTTTTTGTGTACTAAGCTGTATAAGTTACTATAGTTTTTTGACTGTCCCACGAGAACCCTTTAATTTTCCGGGATGAAAAGTAGCCGATTTGTTATTGTCATGTATGAACTATATTATTGTAAAGTTTTATCAAAATCCGATCAGTAGTTTTTGTGTACTAAGCCGTATAAGTTATTATAGTTTTTTAACTATCCCACGGGAACTATATAATTTTCTGGGATAAAAAGTATCTAAGATGTTGCCCGGAGATATAAGGTACCACCATGCAAAATTTCATTTTAATCGGTCTAATAGATTCGGAGATTAGCCCGTACAAACAGACAGAGAAACAAAATAATTTGAAAAAAATCTGGATTTATTCTATTTGTCTTCTTACATCCCCCTGACTCGGTTTTTAGCATTTTTTTGCTATGTACAGATTCGACCTCTACTGTTTTATTATAGTAGTATAGATATAAAACAGAGGTATTAATAAAATCAAATGCATTAATTGGGATTAAAGTATTGTAATTTAAAAATCGATTGATACTTGAAATTAAAATATTAAAATGCTTTGATTAAAAATACTTCGATGGAAAATAATTTGATGAGAATAAAATGCGCGCCGTACTCAGGTACAACATATAAAAACGTGTCCATGCTATTAAGTATAGATATTAATTATTTATTGACTACGTATAAAACAAAAATACACACGTTATATAATTAAGGGAGTGGTAGCCCAATGGTAACGCGCTCGCTTGGGAAACTGAGTGAAGGGGGTTCAAATCTCGGTTCTCGCGCCTCTAATATTTCCATGTTCAAATCATTTCCAAGATGATTACTTGTCTTACGGTGAAGGAAAACATCGTGAGGAAACCTGCATGTCTGAGAGAACTTTACAAGTTTCCTAAAGGCATGTATCACTGTACAGTCCGCCAACCTGCACTTGGCCAGCGTGGTGGACTATGGCTTGATCCCCTAAGTATTGAAGTATTGGAGTACCGTGCCTAGCAGTGGGACGTTAAAAAGGACTGACCGCCGAAAACATAAATAGTAAGTAGGTACATTATTATTATTAGAAATCTTTTGCTATTTTTGTTCTGTTACGCCAAAGACATAACTTTTTACGTGTGTACATAGGTACACACATACACAGGTTTTTTTTATTTAAAAATATGTACTTACATGGAATGTATAATAAAATAAATTTAAATGCTAATAACTTATTCGTAATATTTATATTAAGTGTTTCTTTTATTCAGAAAAATGAAAGTATTTAAATTTTTAAGGAAAGAATATTTCTAGGAAGATTATTTTTATGCAGAAATTACTGCATGGATTTTCATATTATAGTTAACGTATTTCTTGCGAAAGTTTCACAATGAAATTAAAAAAAGTGTATCATAACAACATAACACAAGAACATAAGCTAGGGTTCTTTGTATTATATGAAGTTGAAATGGGACAGGATTTATGAACGCCAGACTCGACTAGACCCCAACGGATAAAATTTTGATCTGCTTGTATATTATAAGTCGGTTCTAACTCGTAGCAATAAGTCCATTTCAAGTCCTAGCAAGTTTTACCCTTAAAAGGACATATGTCATGGCAACGGAAAAAAATAGTTTTCGAATGATAAAGGCAAAAAAGCACCAGACGATGACATTTTTTGTTTCCCTTCATTTTCTTGTTCATGTAATATAGGTACATGAACAAAAAAAACTGTTATATTTTATAATTTTCTGCATGTCAATACCAAATATATATTACTAAAATAGTCCTTTATCCTTATAACAATGAGAGTTATTTACATTTTACTCTCAATTTCTACAAATACAAACCAGTATTAAGCCTCTTCCGCTTGAAAATTTCATCGCTAACTTACTTATTAAATGGAAAAAATTCGATAAACCTACTTAAGTTGTGTGCTCATTTTCAATTTTTATTTTATTTAGATATGATAATTTTTAGTTTTTATAAAAAAAAGCTGTTATTTATAAATTTTAACTCATATGGGTAGAGCTAAAAAAAATTTTATCTTTTTAATCTGTATAGAATGAGTTAAAAAAATTTTGGTAACTTTGTGAAAATAAACAAAGTGTAAACAATTTATGTCAATATAAAATGTTATGGTCAATTTGTACCAGAAAACTTATACCAATAAAGACGTACCTCCATCGAAGAATGTGCGTGCAGCTAAAACCCCACGGAAAATTCAATAAAACATCGGTAACGTGCGATGTCTTGAGGCGTGAAGGAAAGTGGTTACGTGCATAATATTTATAATACAAACAACAAAAAGTATTTACTCACTCAAAAAGTCCTTTCCGGAGAAACAACGTGTTCACTAACGGTATGTCGCGTTTTACTTGTTTGCTCACGTGCACGTCCAGCAACACACCGAGCACAACTGTTCAAATCAACCTTCTACAAATTAATGCCGGAGGAAAAAGTTAACTTTCTAACTTTGCATCGCGAATAGCCAGCTTCGCGAGTGTGGCGGAATTGTGGATGTCTTCTAATATCTTAATGGAAAATGAAGGCCGCAAGATCAAAACCTTTACTCTTCTTTACCTACATGAATTATTGCATCTCGAAAGTGACTGATCTTTCAACAACCGTTTATTTTAATTAATAGGTATCTGTTAAGAATTTATTTCTCAAAAAAGAATACAATTCACTTAAATACCTATTTGAAAAAACAAGATACATCTTAATAGTAAATACAAGCATACAGGTGGTACACAAAAATGTAGAACTATAGAAAATAACTTAGATTAACTTATCTTTAAATAAGAAATACCTACTATATAAATAATATTAATAATTTAAACAGCTTTCATGTTAATTCATTGGTGTACATCTATTCAGGTATTTTTCATGCTTTTATCAAAGAATAAAATATTGCAATTTATTAAAGCTAAGTTATCATATTTTCGTTTGTTCTATAATTCCTCAAGCTTCACGCTTATCTAAATTCAAGAGAGAAAAAAAAAACTTTACATCATTTATCCTTTTCATGTAATATAATTAATTAGTAGGTTATAGCTATAATACTCGTTCATTATTATCACATAATACATGTAGGATGAATGCGAGATGAATATGCGTAAAATGATATTTTAAGCGTAAATAGACACGTATGATATGATTTTAAGAATGGAATGGAATGAAAGGTGAAAAGAAGGATGTTTTGTCATAATAGCGACACGACGATGCGCGTGAACATTGTGTTTTGTAATTTAATTAGAATAAATAGTTACTAGTGTGTTATAAACGCTTTTATTGGTGTCCCCGAATCCTACATATATGTAGAATATAAAATAAAATCATAGAAAATTCCTTTATAAAATCAAAATTTTAATCAACTAAATACAAATTACATTGGAAATCATCAATTTATTTTAAAGGTTTTTAAAATTTATATTTTGCTTAATTCATCCTCGCGGAGGTTGTACAGATTTTTTTATTAGGTATCAATATAAGTAGGTATAATCCCATCTGACCATACCTACTACTATTAGAAATTTGGATGGATGGATGTTTCTTACTCAATCATGCCAGAATAGGTGAACGGATCTGGGACTGGATGAAATTTAGCACAGAGATAGATTACTTATAGTCTGGAATAGCACATAGGTTACTTTTTATCCCGGAAAAATGTGTTATAAACATAAAAGGATAAAAGGAATCACTAATTTATAAAAACAGGCATGAAACGCCTCAAAATATCCCAAACTCCAAAACTCTCGGAAATTATAAAAGTTATTAACTAATGCAATTATAAAATGTTCCGTGTTTATTAAATAGAACATTTAAACGAATAAAGAAACAGTATATGTCCAAAGTTAAAACGGTGTACTGTTGCACAACTTTTACATACCAATAAAAGTACGCACATTTATAACTCAATAGAAATATTTCTATTGGCAATCAAATTTATAACATTTTTTATAAGCAAATCTGCTCAAATCTTATAGTACAGTACGTAATTATGGCGTTAGATTTATTTTTAATATTCACTATTTATATATCACAATTTTCATTTACTAATTGTGTAGTTCCAAGTTTAAGTGTCCGCAAATGTAAGGATATTATTTTTATTTTAATTAACATAAGATTTTTCCCCATAATTTGTATGATAACTAGAGGCTCGGCCTCGCTTCGCTCGGGTTTGCCTGTAGGAAAACAAAAACAAACCTGGCCTATACGTTATTCCAGACGATAATCTATCTCTGTGCCAATTATCATCCAGATCTGTTTAGCCGTTCTGGCGTGAAAGAGTAACAAACATTCATACTCACAAACTTTCACATTTATAACATTAATACGGATTCAACCCATCTATTGACATATTTGCAACATAATTTAAATTACCATTTTATAATTTATAACAGTTGATAGCAAGCTTATTGAAAGAAAACGACAAGATACATTAGAAATATGCAGAATTTTTAACGAAGAAAATAAATATCTGCAAAGTAACTATGCAAGTGAATTGGATATTAACAAACATAACAAAACTAATCAAAGAATTAAGAGAAGCGTTAGTAAAAATCAAGTTACTAGCTCTTCCTTAAATAAAGAAGATGTAGCAAGAGTAGAAAACATAGTTGACAAATTATACGATGACTTAGAGCAAAGCGGTACAGTTGCTTATAGACGAAGAATCGTAGAAAATAGGCCCAAAAATAATGTAAGAATACTTTTACCCATTGCACATATCATTATTATTTGTGTAAGTTTGAAATCCGTCTTTTAATCTTGTGTAAAACCATATTTATTGTAGTTAAAGAACAAAAGATAATACTTTCTTAGATTTACGCGAATATTTGACATTTTAAATAAAACTTTTCTTTACCTTTTCAAAAAAGCAAAAGATAATTTTTATTTTTTTACATAGTTGTGTAATACAGCTGCATTGTCGATTGTGCAGTTTCAAGGATCAATCTACTGAAAATAAATAAAATAGGTTGTAAAAAATTTTAAAAGTATTCTGTCTAGGAAATGCTTGTTTCCACCAATACTAGTTAGCTTTCAATAATTTGATTCATGTGACAGATATTTTGTTAGCATGTACAGCTACAGATCATTATGCTGGGTTCGAGTCCCGATTTAATTCAAGCCGTTTTTGGGTTTTTCTCTTATCAGAATCCGCGGCATGTTCTGCACCTGGTGTCTGACCAGTCGGATCCTTGTTCCATCGGAATTTAATAGAGAAAAGAATATACACACGCATAAGTGCTGTTATATCTCTTGCACAATTTTCTAGTTTTTATAAGATTAATAGCCGTGACCGGAATAGGCCAGGACGACATTATATTAACTAGAGTTTGGGTCCCAGGACATCTTGTGTCTCGAAGTCCTGGGACGTTTTGTAAATTTAGCTATCTCGGGTCCCGGGACTTTCGAATCGAGACTAGAGACACTTTATTACTACAACTTTGAGGAAAACTGCACTTATTGCATTTGCGGAAGAACTGTATTGCAGACTTTTTAAAAATATCCCTCGTTTCCAAACGCCAGAATTGGAAATAATGGACGCCGAACATAGAAACAACCTCGACTACTGTACTTAACGAACTAGACGAGTAGTTTCAAAGTCAAATGTAACAGAGAATAAAAAAATCGCTCAATACGGAGCGCTCAGCGGAAGCTTAGTAATAGGGTTCCATTGGCACCTTCGAGTACGCAACCTTAAAAACGAGATGCAGTTGTTTAAAAATTTTTTTTAGATTGTTTAGATTATAAATAACGATGTTAGAATTTGAAACATAAAAACATATGCTCAAAAAATGATTTTTTTTATTTATTGAGAAGTCTTGAAGTCCCGGGACTCCCCGGGACCTTGGTCGTGGGTAGTCTCGTGTCCCGGGACTTTGAGTATGTCGAGACTTCCCAAAGTCTAATATTAACCATAGGTACTATTGAACTGAGTAAATTTCCTACTTTTAATATATTCTGCCTAAAACAGTTTATTTTCGTTTGGTAATGTCATCTTAAGGCTACACTTTGCTATTAGTAAAAACCAAAACTGTTCGTCACAAAACATGTAGCAATTAATGTTCATTAAGAAAATAATATTAAGTTCTTTTTACAAAGGTGTCAAATAGTACCATACAAAGACGTTTTAATTTTGCGCCTGCGCGACTATTTGGACCTCTACCAATACAGGAAAAAGAAATAAAATTACAATCAGGCTTGCCCAAAATATCCTGGATAAAAAAGTGGACACATGGAATTATACCATTTTATATAGATTCTAATACTTATGGTAAGAAATAAAATAAAAGATGCAGTGTAGTGATTTGTAATAGGCACGGAATATTAATTTTTAGGGGTTTTATTGTATCCAATATTTTCTTATCCAGTTCATGTGTAATCTGTAAGTATATTATATAATCTACAGTCTAAGCAAAATTGTTATATTTTATGTTATATTTTTTTTATAAATAAAAATGAACGGCTGAATATGTTGCTAAGCGCAAAACTCGAGAACGGCTTCACCAATTAGGATATTTAAAAAGTTAAATATTCGTTAAAGTCCGAGGAAGGTTCTTATGAAGAGAAAAATTGGAAAAACTTACGGAAAAATATTGAAATCTGTAAGTTTATGGAGCTACCATAGTCCAATAGCTTTTGACAGAATGACTTCTGTCGGATCAGATAGTTTAAGCAATAAATATCAACCAAGAGTCAAGTTCATTTACTTATATATCATTATGTATTTATTAAGAATTCGTATGCCTAGAAATTTTGGCATAATTTGACAACCTTGATGATTGCAATACTAACTAAGGAAACGATATTAAATGTAAAACATCATACATTGCAGATTCCCTTCTAGCAGGGACTATTATAAAAGCTTTTGATTATTTCGAGAAGGTAACATGCATTCGGCTGCAACGCCTTCGTGAACGTCCGACAGATAAGCGATCGTTGCAAAGCGTAGAGTGGTTGTATATCACCAATCCTTCTGGAATACGTCAATGTGTCCATAGCAACGAACGTAAGCCTAACACTGGCGTTCAGGTACATTAATATTTATTAAATAAATTCCGGACAAGGGCGAGTCGGACTCGCCCACCGAGGGTTTAACTTTTTTTTTTTTGGAATTTTTCCTTTATTTATGCTGTAAGATCTTGATTTTTGCCAAATTTCGTGATTCTAGGTCAACGAGAACTACCATATAGGTTTTCGACCCAAAACCTATGGGGTACTTCCGGTTGACCAAGAATTGTCATTTTTGGTTAAAAGCAAGATCTTACAGCACAAGTAAAGGGAAAATTCCGAAAAATAAAAAAGTTGAAAATTAAGATAGGTACATTTTGATACTTACAAGTTTTCGCGAAAATCTAAATTTGCCCACATGTTTTTATTGTGTTGACTCAGGACCTTGATTTTTTTACACCTAATGGGGACTACAGACCTCAGCATCTGGTATAAATTTCAACTTGCTAGGTCCACTAGTTTCTGAGAAAATCGGAGGTGACACACGGACAGACAGACAGACGGGCAAGAGAGTGATCTTATAAGGATTTCTTTTTTACCTTTTGAGGTACGGAACCCTAAAAATGCCCAATAGTTATTTGAGACGATACTGGTTTAAATATTTCGCACGTTTTGAAGCCATTAATTAGCAAGAGAATTGAATTGAATTCAAATATTGCTGCAAATTTTTCTTCTTAAAAGAGACTTCTAATCTTCACCGTCAAATTTCTATAAAAATCGATGGTTGTAATTATAGGATCCCTTTAAATGCAGGAGACACATGCATGGATAACATACGCTTAGTAATGTTTCTTTTAAAGTAAAATTTGTTTAATCAAATTAGCTACATACCTACTAGTAGGTAAACTACATCAGACATTTTGGTATAGAATTAAGTTTTGTCTTTGTTGTGTTTAGCTCTTTAGCTTGTCACTTAAACTAAGTAAAGTAATTAATTGTTACGATTATAAAACTAAATTTATTGTTTTAGATGATGGTTCTCGGTTATGATTGCTTATCACAAGGAGAAATTGTACATGAAGTTATGCATGTTTTGGGTTTCTCCCATGAACATACTCGTCCAGATAGAGATCGATATGTGACTATAATGTGGAACAATATTAAATCTGGTACATGTACATTTATTTATTTCATTAATTTTTATATTTAGTTTTTTCCATAAATAATATAAATGGGAAAATTTGGATGGATGGATGAGTGTTACTCAATTACGCCAGAATGGTTGAACGAATCTGGATGAAATTTGGCACAGAGATAGATTTTATTCGGTAAGAAAGAAACTTAGTACTCTAATAAGTAGATAATAACATACGCTTATTGCATTAATCGATGAAAATTGTGAAACTAAAAAAATGTATTTTAGGTTACAAAAAATATTTTGAGGTAAGAGAAGTCGATCCTTTATCGAATCTACCCTATGACTTTGCGAGCGTACTTCATTATCCGCCGCGGGCATTTTCCAAAAATGGACAACTAACAATTATGACTGAGGTAACTTAAAAATTATACATTTGCTTTTATATATGTACATGAAAATGGGTTTTTATTATCTAAACGATATCTAATCTATGGTTTTCTTAACATATACTATGGAGTGATGTCCTCCTGACTGAACGATTTCGGTCACGGCGGCCAATCTCACTGACACTATCGAACTGCATAGGTTTTTTGCATTCTCCATGAAGCAACATAAGATATTCTAATGCACAAGTATACACTTAGAAGCCTCTATTTTTGTCGTTAGACGACAATTCGACACGACTAGTGAGAGATCAGGCGCAGGAACGATGGCTTTACGTATTCCCCGAGGCTTGGGGACTCCGCTAACTAAACTTGACCCAACCTAGGACTCGAACCCAGGACCTTTAAAACTGCAGCCGTAGACCGCACATGCTAGCTACTAACCTATAGAGGCAGTTACTTTGGTGTATTAAGTAGATAGTGAAGTCAAAGGTGGACCGAAAAAGTAGCTAGGAAGGTGTTTGACTATAAGACTGTGAGGTCGCAAGAATAGAGCTTCCACCGATATATCCACGCATTACGCTCGATTTTTTAGTTTCAGTTTTAAAATCGTTAAAAGTAAATTTAGTAGGTAAAATAAACCTATTACATTAAAATATGAGTGCTAATACCTAATATACAAAATAAATAACAATTAAATGATTGTCTTTCACTTTTTGCACTATCTCATAACAAGTATTGGAATGAAATTAAATATATCGTTTTTCTAAATGTCAATTATTCAAATATGGTATAAAATTTTATCCAGTCGGGCATAAAAATTGGTCAACGAGAAGCTCTAAGTGAATTAGATGTTGAAAAAGTAGGAATGGTGTACGGGCACGACTGTGTCGAACGCAACAAACTCTATTTACAGAACACTTGTCCAAGTGTAGTTAAATTCAATACAAAATCAAAGGAAGTAACAGCAAAAGAAATAGAGGACTATTACAAAGATAGAGTGTGGCCATATGGAGTCGTAAATTATAAAATAAAAGATGAAATGGAATTTAGTAAGTTCAATTCTTTAACCATTTTTAATCTATGCATACATATTCAAATGTAGCATACGTCAAACATTATTATTAATAATTACTTAGTTAACAAAAAAAATTTTAGCCGCTGAAGAAAGAGAAAATATTAAAGCTGTTTTGAGTCACATTGAGAAAGAGACGTGCATTGAATTTAGAGATATCAGTGTTGCTGAAGAAAATTCTAAAGAGGAAGAAAATAATAAAGATGATTATGATGAACCAAATGATGACGAAGATAAAAATAATCGGAATAATACGATAAAAGTAGTGCCTAAAATGAAGGATAATAATAGCAATGTAACCAGTGCAAGTGACGTAGATAATGAAATAATACCCACAGAAAAACCTGACGATTCAATCACTGAAGAATCAGCGAACGAAAATATTAAAGATGAAAACGATGGTAACAAAAATTTATCTTTGAGATTTAGCAAGAGTAAGAGAAGACGACATACCCCGGTAGTAAATACAGGTAAATTCCAACTAAATAGTGATTATAGTGCATTAATCATCGAAAACGTTTTTTTTTCGTCTTAAGCCTTGTAATATATATTTTCATAAATATAATTAAATTTATATTTTTTATAGAAAAAAGCACGGTATATACAAAAAAAATCAGGATTAGCTTAGTACCTTTGTCTCCTTCGAGACGACATGCAGTTAACGTGTTTGAGTTTGTGAGGTCTTCCAAACCGGGCTGTGAGTGCCCACCTCCTGGCCGTCCGCAGGGAAACAAAGTATTATTTATTCCATTTTTTATAGTTGCACCTATTATATTTTAATAAGCTCGTTCTTCGTATTAACAAATGGATTTAGATCCGGCTGCAAGACGTTCATAGCGTATTTAATCAAGATCAATTTTTTGTATACAATAATAAAAGGCACAATATATTTTGACCGATATAGGATAAGAGGTATTTTATCATGCACAGAATAAAATTAGCTTTAATTTGATATATAAATGATTAATTTACGCCATGTACGTATAAATGTAACAAAAAAATCTTTAATGAGTGGCAACCTCTTTTGGGGCCGCTTTTGCATAGGCAGACGTAGATTATCAGGTACAGAAAAAAATTAGCTTTAATTTAATATATAAATAATAAATATACGCCATGAATGTATAAATGTAACAAAATATGACCTGCTTACACCTGGCTGCGAAGAGGTTACGCCCAAGTGCGCAACGGCAGCTATCACTTTTCAAGTTCTCTACGTATATTTCTTTGAAATAGAGTATAATTCATTTTAATGCATTCAATTTCAAATGTATCGATTTTGTTCCAAAAAGTCAATTATTATTTATTTAATTAAACACTGGGCCACCGATCTTCGCTCGGAGTTTTTGAATCAAAAGTACAATTCTCTTTAAAAAAAACCTAAAAACTTGTATAAATACAAAAAAAAACAAAAATGAATTCTACCTTTATATCCGATCGGGATTCGAACCCAGACCCCTATGATTGTCAATCTTGTGCCTTGGCCACTTGACCATGATGCTTATATCCGAGCGTGCAAAATTATCGAACATAATATTTTGTGAGGAACAATGCAAAAGGAAACCGCATGAAAATTCGAAAACACGCGTTTTCCCAGACATAAGACTAATCTAGATCGATTTATCGCCACCGAAACCCCTTATATACTAAATTTCATGAAAATCTTGGAGCCGTTTCCGAGATTCAGATTATATATTGATATATATATTTATATATATATACAAGAATTGCTCGTTTAAATATATTAGATATTAGCGGTTACATTTTAATAGGCACCCCGCTCAAAACATATTGTCCCTTTTATTATTGTATATATAAAAAAAAATGATTTTAATTAAATACGCTATGAACGTAGCAATCTTGCAGCCGGATCTTAGTCCAAAAGATCCTTAATATTTTAACCTTATAGTCCGCTTAAAATAACGTACGTAAGCGAATGAGCTTGCTTCAAGTCTTATTACAATACAATCTATTTAAATAAAAATGGGCATAACTTGAAAGGCTGGCCGGATTTGACAAATTTGTTTTATTTAATATTCGTAATAAGGTATTTGGGGAGATTTTTTGGAAACTTGCAGAATTGGGAAATTCTGAAATAAAAAAATGCAAGTATTTTTTTCTATGGACATTTACTTCTTGGCTTTGGATAAGACGATTCAAATAATTTTATTATAAATCTATTATATTGTTCACAAAAGTTAATTTAAGTATAAAATCTTTAATAAACAAATAATATTGCATCCACTGCCTCCATCCAGGTGCTTACTATCAATTCAGATTGTTTCAATTCAGCAAATGATCTTCTACACTTATTCGTACATATTTTGGGTTTGGATCATCAACACAACATGCACGATAGAGACTCCTATCTGCATATATTGTGGCAAAATTTAACTGCAGGTACATACATTCCCCTTTTTTATTTCTTTTTCATACCGCTTCTTTTATCAGATACAATAAATACTCGCTTAGTAAGCGAGTATTTATTTCTAAAGTTTTTTTTATAAAGTTTAGTTTTTATTTATAATGTTACGTTATAGGTATATTATTGCTCCGTTCCTAAGGATTGATCGGTGCTATATGGAGTTACCTTCCTACCTCCTAGGCGTCCTAGCCTACCTCCTTAAAAAAAAGATTTTAAAATGCATCATCTTTATATTAATTCAGAGAGAGATTCAGAGATTAGCTTGTCAAATAAGCCAAAAAACTCTTTCTTATCTCTTATGATATTTGTATAGACACGACAAATATTTATAATTATACATAAATAGCGACTCACCCTCGCTTTGCTCGGGTTCTTCCCTAGGTTCATTCCCCATACAAACTTTCACCCCCATTTTCATCCCTTTAAGGTATGATTTCTGGGATAAAAGTGTCCTATGTCCTTCCCAGGGTCTCAAACTATCTTCTTACCCATCTAAATCGATTCAGTAGCTCCAGAGATTACTCCCTACAACGTCACAAACTCACAAACTTTACCTTTTCATAATATAAGTATAGATATAAGAGAGATATATAGATATAGAAAAGTTTTCTAGAATTATTTTTTGATCTTGGGGCTGGTCTGGTTGGACTTGTAGAAATTAATGTACATGTACAAAATAACTATTGATGTTGAATAGAATTTAATAAGCATTTATGTAATAACTTACTTAACTATTTATTACGGTTGAAGCAAATGTTAAGGAAATAAATGTGGATATTGGATCGATATATAATAATTAAATAACTAGTTTTTGCGCTATTATTACGGATAGTCTAACTAAACGTAACGTAAATATTGTTTGTAATTTTAAATTCTAGTAGCATGTAATGTAGCTGAATAACTACTAACGTTTGATTCTAATGTAATCAAGATTTAAAGAGATTCTTTTCTTATTCATTATTTACTTTTTCATATTATTATGGACTTTACTTCTACTTTTTGAAGTAGGTCAAAACCACTTTAAAGTCACTTTGATTCCACTCTCACGAAAGAAAAAAGAGAGTGCGTTACATATACATATAAAAATATACCCGAATTAAGTAGGGAAATACACACACCATTTCGATGTCTTTATTTTAAATTGTCAGTTAGTAAAAAGTTTCTAATATTTATAGAAATAAAAGAAGAAATGCAGAAGACACTGCCACCGGCAGCATCAGCAGGTTTTGCGTATGATTACCAAAGTGTTATGCATTACCCCTGGCTTCAGATTAAAGATGGAGTCACTAATGTTATGTATCCTATTTGGGTAAGTCACATTTCCAACATGATTGCCACTTGTCTTAACGGTGACGGAAAACATCATGAGAACCTGCATGTCTGAGAGAACCTAGCAAGTTTTCAAAAGACATGTGAAGTCCGCCAATCCGCACTTGGCCAGCGTGGTGGACTATGGCCTGATCCCCCTCGTACTGAAGGGAGGCCCGTGCCCAGCAGTGGGACGTTAAAAAGGGCTGAATACATACATACATGTACAAACTTATACATGTTTGTTAAATGTTCGTGGTGTAGCTCTTACGAACCTTTTTCTTAATTATCAATGTGTGCTGTAAAACTTACGTCTTTAAAATATCGTTGTCATCAGAATCGAAATTTATAGAGTAGCTAAATAAAATAATTGTAAAAATTCATTTTTTAAAACAAGCTTTTATTTAAATGCTCTAAAAAGAACAAAATAAACTTTAATTTAAATCAACCCCATTTTCTTATACATATTCGTATATTCTTCTCAGCAAACCCTTTCATTTGTTATCCATATCATAGGGGTGCATAAAAAACACAGTCCCCCATCTTTGGGAGTCCGCTATATTGGATCTAGAATGACGGCACTTAGCTAACCATGTATTGTCATCCAAACTTAACGTGTATGAAAATTTTCAGCTCAATCGGTTCAGGATAACTGCTTTAAAATTCAGTTGCAAGATTTGATCCGAACTAACATACTAACACGGCAAGATAAATAAAAGCGTGTAAAAACCCCAAGATAATGTTTTCATTACATTATTCCATTATTATTATAGCTTCTTCCAATACTTTTCAAATCATTCATAATGTTCACGTAACTCTATCCGTTATCCTGGGAACGTTTTCATTCAGAAAATAAATAAAAAAGTTTTACGCGTCTTCGTGATTATCATGCAACACTTTGAGTCTTGAACACCAAACCAATATTTAAAATATTTTACATTTTTAGAACGATGGCTGGGCAATGGGGCATTGGCAAGGACTTAGCTGGACTGATGTACAGAAACTAAATACTATATATAAAGACGAATGTGGAAAACGAAAAAGTGAATCTCAATAATAATGATGAATGATAAACCATTCTTTTTAACTAATATTAAAAAAGTAAATGTTTAAAATTATTGTTTTTAATTTACAAAAATATGTTTTATGTTGCTTTTTGTCCAGGTTCATAATTATTCCTATTCATAAACGTAAATAGTTTATATAATTAATCTAAATATGATTTCGATTATCAAATGTTTTTTTTTAGTCCATAAGACCGCCATATTGTGACCATATCGTACATACTTGTAACTAATTATGGACTGAGTTATTTGGATAAAATAATAGTTCTAAAATAATATTTTTATTATCGTTATCGATTTAATTCTTAATAATAAAATTATGCTTTATAACATATTTTCCAATGTTTTTTTGAAATCAGTTTCACTGTTATTATCATTATCATTATTAGGTACTATCCTTATTATCGTTATTGTCTTCATTATCTTCCTCATCATCGTGCTCCTCGTCATTTTCTTTTTTACTACTGTCGCCATTAACATCGCCATTTTCCTTTTCTACTTTTAAATGTTCATCATTTTCACCAATATCCTTTGATAATTTATTTTTCTTGTCTTCGCTACTTGTCAAATTTATACTCTGCTCCCGTAAAGTCATCTTACAAGAATTTAATAAATCATTTACTTTCCGTCTGTTGCACTCATGACCAAAATATAATTGTAACCGCATTTTGTCGAGTTGTGATAAACCTTCAGATGGATATATTAAAAGCCCGGGTTCCTAAAATGTTGAATTACATATTATCAAATATATCCCGATTGTATTGTATATACTTCATTGTGTTGTTTTGTATTGTCTATCATCATTGTATTTGTATTCTGTGTACATCATCTATACATATAATAAAAATGTAACCAAGCCGAATCTGTACATTAAATATTTTCTGGAAAATCTTATTGAAATAAACATTATTATCGATATAGAGGCCGAATCTATAGTTTTTAGAATTTTTGTCTGTCTGTCTGTCTGTCTGTTACCGCATCACAGAAAAACCACTGGAGGGATTTTGATGAAATTTTGTATGGTGATAGCTGGTTATCCGGGTCAACATATAGGATACTTTTTACCGCGGAAAAATATCTCTTTTCTGAGAAAAAATACAAAAACTGCATTGTAAGAGTATACTAATATGTAAAACCTAGAATTTGGTTTTTGGTCATTTGAACGCGAGCGGAGCCGCGGGCAATGCTAGTTATTTTATAAAATTTCATAATTAGGACAATTTTTTAGCCAACTATATTTAATTCCCAAAAAATACAGTGAATTTTAACTTCGGTATAGTAAAAAACAAAAAATTAAATTTTTAATAGCTATTGACGAATTAAAAGTTTAAATTGACTGTATAAAAAACATTAATATATTACCAAAGGTATGATTGTGGCTTTCCCATTTATGCTGTAAGCGCGTTCATGGAAGTGCATTATACTAAGAGGATCATATTCCACAGAGCTTCTGACAGAATCAATTGGTTCTTTAATAAATAAATGGCGATAGGCTATAACAAACTTATTACTATTTTTACTTTTATTAGACAAAGAAAGCTACAAAGATTAATTAAATAATTTCTTTGCAATTTAAATGATTACCAGAAGAGTCCTAATTTTAATAGGTATATGACCTACGGATAGACGTAATTTATACATCTACCATAAAACCTCATCATTAAGCTATACTTTTGAGTTTTGACACTAATTTCACTACAAGATTTCACAAATATTCTTACCAGGCAGGATATTGTTCCACAGCACTCTAATATATTTGTCGCGGTGAGGATGCGTCACTTCGTCTTGGAAACCAATCGCATGAAGAAGGGAATGTAATATATCTCTATATTTAAGGCAATCGTAGCCTAAAGTCAGCATCTTAATGAGACATTAAATATCTTTAATTAAAAGTTTGGTAGGATTAAACTTGAACTTTATAGAATTAATAATAATTAGTTATATTTTTTAGATTAATGTATGTTTTGATTTTAAAAAACCAGCCTTACTATTTCTCCACTCTGCATAAACACAGGTTCATGAACGCATTCTCTCGCCTTGTTAGGATTAGTTATATGTATCCAAGTCTTATTGCCAGTAGGTTTAAGAGGTTCTTCTTGAAACTTAATACATGAATCAGATTCGATTAACCTCATAGCCATTTGTATGGAAGAATTGATAATTGAATCTGTTTTTGATTAAATGGAATTAATTAAATTTGTAACATGTGCTTAAAAGTTTAATATTACAGCTTTTTAATAATAACTTTATAGTCTATAGGCTACAAATAATAATGTACTTAGTATTTAATATTGTGAGTTCGTTAAAAGTCAAAATAACTTAAAAAAGAGGTAATTAATTTTAATTCAATCAGTAGAGTTGTAAAGGATAGATGTAACTTTTATATATAAAATATGCCATTTTTCTTGTAAACGTTCTAAACCTAGGAGGATTTCAGTCTTATGTGGCTGTGTATGGAGTAGGAACCTCAAATTGTACAATATTTAAATCTACTGATTGGAATTCACTTAGTTACTTTTAATAATTTCTACCTATAGGTATATAAAGTAAAAAAGGCTCAATGAAATTAATTTACGCAATCAATGGATTTTGAGTATAATAAAAAGTCATTCGGGAACAATGAGACGTTGGAGATGTTACATTACTCCTGGCTGATTAAGTAACCTCTATAATATTGAATATTATAATAATATCTCTATAATGTTAAAAAGGCACTGGCAGCCTAGTGGTAACGGGCTCGCTTGGGAAACCGAGTGAAGCGGGTTCAAATCCCGGGTCTCGTACCTCTGATTTTTTCATGTGCGAATCGTTTCCAACATGATTACCACTCGCTTTACGGTCAAGGAAAATATCGTGAGGAAACCTGCATGTCTGAGAGAACCTAGCAATTTTCGAAAGACATGTAAAGTCTGCCAACGCGCACTTGGCCAGCGTGGTATACTATGGCCTGATCCCCCTCGTATTGAAGAGAGGCTCGTGCCCAGCAGTGGGACGTTAAAAAGGGCTGAACACTATAATATTGAGCATTTAAGACCCAAATTCAATCAGATATACATAAGGTAGTACATACCTACCGCGCATATATAGCATATATATAATATATATGGTAGAGTTGAATAGCCTTTGAATTCTACCACGTAAGTTTTTAAATAACAAGATTATTTTGACTCACCGTAACTTTTATTATCCAAATGGTAACTGACTACTCCTGTAGGCCACACTTGGCCAATTTGTTTTTGTAATACAACAAATTCAGTGTTTTTAACTGTATTTACTAAAAATGGAAGGTGTGGATAATCAGTTTTGCATTTAATAATATTATTAAAAATTACTACAAATTGTACTATACTTACTATAAGGTGCTTGAATAAATGCTGTGAACAATGTTCAATTTTCTATATTAATATAATTATTACTTTACAAATATTGTTTGAAATAATATTGAGTAGTCCTCAGTTAGCTGTGTGGCCGTAAACGTTGTATTAGATAAGCTTGTGCGCGACTACAGGTTGTAGGTTTACGATGGAACCCTATAACCTATCTATATCCTTTTCCTTTCAAGAGATAGTCATATAGCTAAACCACCTACACTAAACATTTTACTACTACTATTTAAACATTTTAGGCTTACTTTAGTACATCTATTACCTGATTTACTTCCATCTCTCCACATTTTTAGTGGTGGTTCTACGTTTGCAAAACAAAACATGAATACGTGTAAGAAAACTATATGTAAAATAAATAACATTGTAATTTTTTTTAGTACTATTACTTTTTTGTAGCAGGAATAAAAAATGTACAATCAAAAAAAATTAACTTTGAAATACTACCATGTGGATTTTATTGCTTATTTTTTTAGTATGTATAAAATTAAGTAATAAAAACGTTTTATATGATGCATACACAGTCACACATATTATTTCTACGCATAAGCTAGGATAAGAGCATTTCCGGGGTTGTTCACCTTGCGTTCACCTTGTCGTGGTGGGGTGGGTGTCTCATTTTTTAACAGTTGATATTTACAAAATTTAGTCATGGTTTTGTTAAAAAATCATGTTAAAATATGAAACATGAACAATTTTTTTTTTAATTTAAAAAACTATGACAGATCCTTGTAGAAATATGTCTTTTTATAAAATTACCCTTTGATCTACTGTGCATCCATTAAATGCTGATAAATATTGATAATAAAAAGAAAAAGATCGTTTTTTTAATTGAAATTCGAATATCTCCGGAAAAAACCGACGTAGAGAGTTTAATACAAAAAATTTTTTGTTCATTTCTTACATTTTTTTATGATTTTTTAACAAAATCATGACTAAATTTTGTAAATATCAACTTAAGTTTTAAAATTATATTTTTAACTAATGAATAAACAAGATTGAATTTCATTTCTTTCTGTTTACCTCAAAATCACATTTTTCAGAAAAAAACAATTTATTTAACTTCAAAACCGATCAAAAACTAATAAAATATCGAAAAATAATAACATAAATAGATTCTATGGCAAAAAAATACAAAAGCATTTACAGTTACAGTTTACGTGAATTCCAACTTTTATTATTTTTTCACGACTCGTCAAATTGCAAAGTTGAAATGTTTACATTGTATATAATAAGCGTCAAATTTTTAATATGACAAAAAACGTATAAAACGAAAAATACATTGGTGTAATCAGTTTATAAAAATTTGATCAATAAAGTACACTTCTTCAATGATAATTGAAAAAAATGTAGATTACAAAGTAAAAATTATCGATTGCTCCAATTTTTTAATTTTTTAAGAGTGCTTTTACAGGACATACAATGTTTTTATTTTTTCAAAACCTAGAGTTTAAGACGAAAAGAATGAGCTCTATCTAAAAATTAAACGATTTTTTTTTAAATGTAAACGTCCACTTGAAGTTGGGGGTGATTTTTAGCCTCTCGAGGCCATAAAACATACTTTTCTCGGAAAAGACTAAACATTCAATTGAATTTCAATTTTTTTTATTTTATCATATATATTTTGAAGATTATATTCCCTTAGTTTCATGAAAATCAAAAAATTATTCTAGAAATGAAAAATAAAACACCAAGAAAAAGTTAAAAACCGAGTTAAATCCGTCTTTACCCGGAGCTTTGTTGTTTCCTAGTTGTCCAAGAGCTATCCTAATCTCACCCACATCGATTTCGGGAAGCTCGTCTGATAGGTGGCGTACCAGTCTGGCACATGGATCATCCGCGTAGTGGGCATATATTAACATATGGTGGCGTAATTCCAAAATGACATGTAAATTCAATCTTTTTTATCCATAATTTTGCGACTATTCGTTAGTGGATGATAAGGCGGAATAGGAAAATGTTATTTAATTTTCTCTTCGTTCTCCTGAGAAAGAAAAGTGTTTTTTATTATCATGATTGCTATTGCTATTATATTTTAAAAGGCACTAGATGTGAAGCTATTGCTATTATGTTTGTGAAGGCGCAAGGTGTTAATAAAAATTAATTTAATATTTTTTTTTAAATTTTTAAAATTTACTCTTTTCGGATTTTTCCTTCACAGTAACAACAGTCGCGTAAATACAGTAGAAATTAGAATGTATTATACTGACAGTTGACTATCCTTTTATCAAATAAGTGGTCTTATTTAATTAAAAGTCGTTTAATATCTCGACCGATAATATGTGAAGCAAAATACAAATTATATAAAAATCAAATAACCCTCGTTATATATAATAATATATATGAATCGTCTCCGGTGCAAATCCCTGTCCAAAAGCTATAAAATTTTGAAATTGAAAACAGTTTTTTATTAAATTTTTCAATTATTGACCAATTGCTAGAGACCACGGTAAACATCACTCGTTCAACATAGACTAACACTCAATAAAATTCGTTCTACGCAAGATTCCAACTACTTTATCTCTGTAGTAAGTAAAATTCTCTTACTTTAACTATGTATTGACTATCTAACCAATGATTAATCATATCATTTAATAAAACAATAGACAAATAAAATATAACTTAATGTTTTTAGGAACTTAATTTGTTTCTTTTTTAAACTTTCCTTCATATATATTTACACAAAAAATGGTAATTGAAAGCAGATCTTGCCGGCTGTCAAACTTCTAAGTCAATAAAATAGCGCCGAAGTGTAAATTAAAAGTGATAAATTAGTAAATTCTTAAAAGAGCAAACGTATATTTTGTGTGGAAATATATATTTTGTAGGGTCTCAAATATCCAGAATGTTCCAACCGCTGCTAATATTGTGTGTAACTTTTACTCTTCCCTCTATTTATTTAGCATCAACAAGTACTAGCGGTTCACTCGAATTAGATGAATTTACTTTTGATAAAGTTGTGAATAAATTTGAGACGGTTGTAGTAAAATTTGACGTTGCATATCCATATGGAGATCAGCACGATGCGTTTTTAACAGTCGCAAAAGAAACCAAAGATAATGACAACTTATTGTTTGCTGAAGTTGGAGTTAAAGATTATGGCGAAAAAGATAATGAAGCCCTTGCAGCCAGGTTTGGTGCTACAAAAGATAACTTTCCAGTAGTTAAATTATTTATAAAGGGAGAAAAGGATCCTATTACCTATGATGGGCCGAAGACATTAACTAGTGACTTATTGCGACAATTTATCCGCGATAATAGCAATGTATATTTAAGCCTACCTGGCTGCATTAAAGAACTTGATGAGTTAGCTACTAAATTTATGAGCTCAGATAAAGAAAATAGAAAAAATGTACTTCAAGAAACAAAAAAGTATCTAGAAGAGATAGTGAGCAAGGTATGAATTAATTGCATCTTTAGTTTTAAAAAATATGTGTATTTTTTTTAATATAATAATCTTTATTATATTATATTGCTTTCATAGTAATACTGCAATCTAAACAATATTTACAATTAATATTTGATGCTTTTTATTTCAGGATAATAAACATTCTATCAATGGCAAGACATACTTAACTATAATGGAGAAGATTCTAGAAAAAGGTGATGACTTTATCCAGACTGAAACTGCAAGAGTTAATAAATTATTAGATGGCAAAGTTTCTAAAGAAAAGAAACAAATATTAAACTTTAAAGTAAATATTCTTCAATCTTTTAAACATGCTTTAAATGAAATTAAAAAAGAAGAATTATAAATTCATTCCTTATATCATAGTAACTAGTTGTAAAATGTATCAACTATGACTATGGTATAAGTTTTAGTTTATATAACTATTGATTTGATAAAAATAAATAAGAATGTCTTTCTAAAATAATTTGTAATTTATTTCTTAAGTGAGTGTTATTGTTGTTTTAAAAGAAATATTTAATTGACATTCCAAGGTTCTGTGTTGTTTTAAGTGTTGAAATAAGTTAGTGGTCTTAATAAGCCTGGTCAATTTATACAAAAATTTAAAGAGGTGTGTTTATGAAATAAAACTTTTATGTTACACAAGCAATAAATATAAGGTTTATGTTTTTCTTTTGTCTATTTTTGTCATGTCAATTCCCTAAGCTGAGATAAAAAATTGAAGTGTCTGTCATGTCAAAATATGGTTTTTTACTAAATGCATATGAAAGTATTTATGGTAATAATAAGAAAAAAAAAACATTATTTAAAAATTTTGTCTGTCTGTTTATTCTGGCTAATCTCAGAAATGGTTGGACCAATTTTGACAGGACTTTCACTGAGATAGCTGATGTTAAAAGGAGTAACTTAGGTTACTTTATAATTTTAGAAAAAGAAATAGAGTTCCACACAAAAAATGAAAACTCATGAAATTGTGAACAAAATCATACCTAGGGATAAGAAAATAGGTATGGCTCATGCCTTGTCTCTTAATTATTGTGACTAAATAGGTGGTTACATTGAGCAAAAGACAATTAATAAAATGATATGTAATGTATTACAAAATCCTAAATGCATTAGCCTTAAGTATTAAAATACACATTTGAGATTTTTTCCAAACGCAATGTGATCGTAAAATTTTAATGTGACACTACATTTTTAAATTCAATACAATAAATTTAGAGCTGTTGAGCTCTGTATGTAAACTTATTATTTAAAATTTATAAATAATAGTAACATATTGTCTAATACTATTGAAAGATATTAAACAAACACTATTTACTACAATTTAAATTTGATATGTCAGAATTTGAAAGTAATTTTTTTTGATATGGTAGGTATATGAAACAAATCGATGCATTAAATTTGTTTAAATTTAACATTAAAAAAATAATGGCATACACATTTTAAAGATAATTACTTGATTAATTTACATTGCAAGTCATACAAATGTAATTGTGGCAGAATGTTACATATAAAAAAAAACCTGTCCTTAAAAAAGACTAAATGATAAACACTAAAATGTAAAAAATAACCGATTGGTAGTTTTCATTTACTATAGATACCTAATCAAATATTTTCGAAGACAAACACAAGTCATGACTTCACTAACAAAACAGTTGTGAGTTGACACATTATGGAAGGGTAATACAGATTGCCGTCAATCTAAAGAAGTCTTCCCCAAACTTAATAAACAACAACAAAACTAACATGCCTAGATAGACCCAAATTAAAAACGGTGGTGGAACTTATAACAGAACACTGCCATCTCAATAAACATCTTTTTAACATAGGTCACACGGACAGCGCCCTCTGTAGAGCGTGTCTCCAATAAGATGAAACACCAGCTTATAATGCAGTGAACTGGAACAATTACGTGAAGAAAAATCCCGGCTTCAAAAGATTGATCCCAGAAATCTTCCAGGATGCCGGCAGCCTGCTACACTACTAGAACGCTCAGGGGTGGAAAGAATAACACACACAGCAGCACAAGCTCACCTACAACGGGCAAAGCTGCCTAAGTATAGAAAAAACCGTGCCAGAAGATGAAGAAGATATTTTCGAAGTTGATGTACTTTAATTCCTATCGGCTGGTGTTATCTTATAGTAAATGATATATACCAATCATTTATTTTTTATTTTGTCCATTTTCAGACCAGACATACATAATAGTAGCAAAGTAAGAAGAATGTATTTTAAAAATTCAATAGGTGAAAAATCTATCGTCCCCTATTTTCTATTCTTATGGTTTTTTTTCAAATTTAAATGGGACTTTGACATATACCCTATCTAAAAAAAAAAACATCAAATCGGACTACATTGTAAAAAGTTATGCATGTATATGCAATGCATCAATTGATGCAATGCATCAAACATTAAAAAAAAGAAAGAATATACATGTCTAATTCGAGAATCTCCTCATATTTTTCATCGGTTAAAAATTACTAACAAATTTAGGTCACATCATAGTATGTCCAAAATTTATCTCTAGCTATTCTGTGGTTATCCCATTTTACAACAAATGCATTTCAAATATTCTTATACATATATAGCAACTTTTTACAAAAAAAAATGGAATTCATAAAAGAAATGTTATTACTCTGATTTTGCACTTTCCACTTTGAGTTCCTTAAGTTTTAAGATAACACCATCAGAGTCTTTTTCAGATAACTCTTTTTTAGCTTCTTCGTCAGGGGTTTTGTCAGCACATTTGGGTTCAGGAGTTTCAGTATCCTCACTTCTTGTTATACTACTTTCATCGTCTGAGGACTGGTCTTGTGTATAGAGACTACATTTAGTCCTGACTATTTCCTGTGCTTCAGCAAATTTTGTTTTCCAAAGCTCTGCATCTACAGAATGATGTAACAATATACAAAGATATGAATAATTATTTCTGTGTCCAATAAAAATAAATTGAACATATTATATTTTCAGTTTACTATTTTATTTTAAAAACAAGTATAATTTCAAAAAACGATAGAAACATAAGTCAAAATAAGAAATAAAATCATTTGAAAATACAACTTACTTTGAGGATTTCCAAACTTAATAGCAAGCAATTCTTGTTTGCAAGTTTCATCTGCAAAATCTGCAAAGACAGACCAGTTAAAGGCCTTATCCGAACCACAATGAACATTCATCCGTATATCTGGAGTAATGAAGTGGTTAGCACATACTTTGAGGGTTTTATCACGCCTCATGACCACTCTGACTGTATTGTTTAATTTGTGACGTAATAGCTTGATGTCACCAGTACCTCTTTCCTAAAATAAATATACAAAATTATAAAAAAAAACCATATATTTATTTATTATTGTTCTTTTGAGTTTTTATATATATCTTAAAGCACAATCAATTACAAGTATTTGTACATACATGATAACTAAGTGAAAAAAATACAATTTCATAAATACTTCATAATTTTAATCAATCAACCATATCGTAGCTGTAACCTACTGTAGCAATTATACTTTTAAAACTATATTATCATGTTCATGCTTAATTGATTTGACTATTAAACAAATATATGAAAATAATGAAGTCAATTAATTTATTCTCGAGTCGGTTATTTACTTTAGTAAGAGTTTGTAAAATTAAATTCTATACAGCTAGTTTTTTTTGAATATACCTTCCATTCATGATCGCCAGTATCGTATCTATAAAGCCTGGCTCGTATTTTGACGAGTTCCTCTTCTTCTTCTTCATTGGTATGTATATCCACTAACGGCAACGATACTATAGGCTCGTAATGTGGATCATGTTCAGGTGTTTCAGCCTCTCCAGCTTCGCTCTCACTATTGCGCCTAACGCTTTCTTCCGTCTAGACACATAGAAACAATTTACAACAATAAACTAAACAATACAAAACTATTTTTCAATTTTCATATATTAAATATAACACATGTAATTACCGGCGAAGACATTTTTAAAGTGTTCGAGATTATATGAAATCTTGAACGGTACTTTATTGTTCAAACTACAAATCAAATAACTAACAATTTAACCAAAATACAAAAGAAACAAACTCAATTAGTTCTAGCTGTAGGTCTGTATAATCCTCAATCGTCCACAGAAAGTTAGAACGAATTTGAAATAGATTGAAAATACAATTTCAAATTTTATTATCTATGGTCTATAAATAAAATAAACAGATTATATGTTACAGACTCAATTACATTTTACAAAATATCTATCAATATCAACATATTATTTACTTATCGATATGTACTTTATATTTTCATCTTTCACAGAATAAGACTTTTTCCATTATTATTTTACGATAGCAATACTGTAACAGTAATGTCAATTGTCAACCGTTTGTTTAACTAGGGGATATTGTCAAATGTCAACTCAGCAACTGAAAAGGAAAATTAAATCAGTTTTTCCTCAGTAAAGAAGATTTATATATAATAAGATAAATAAATATTAAAAGACTAATAATCATATTCTTACGATTATAAATATAGACTATAAATTGCTAATAATTACAAAAAGTAACGGAAGTAAAACAAGTTTAAATTATAAAGAGTGCCGACCTATTTTTTTCCGATAGTTTATTTTGAGGATTTCTTTATTTTCAACGTTGTGCTGAAATAATACTCTACTTTTACGTTGCCCTACTTCGATACTATTTTAGTTTGGCATAAACTATTAAACTGTATACATCCATAACTGGTCCTTGGTGATTGAATTTTATTTTAAATGTGTATAAATTTTTTTTGTTTAAATTGCTATACATTTTAGTAAATATCTTAAACGTAACAAAGTATTATTTTCAAAGAACAATATCAGACAAATACATTATATTATCTTTAAATATGATATTTTCAGGTGAGTAAATTTTCCACAAGTGATAATTATAACAAGCAACCATTCCGCTTGATACAAAAATGCAAAACATAGCTAAAATGATAACAGAACAACTTCGAAATCCTAATGAATTGGATATAAGCTTAAGGATGGAATTCGGTCCATTTGAAACAGTGCATAAATGGAAGAGGATGTCGGAATGTTTTGAATTTGTTGGTGCAAGGTACAATAATTATTGTTTTATGTTTTGTATTAAAAATATTTGAATTCAATATTATTTTATTGCTATCAATAATTTTAGGCGAAGTAAACACACAGCAGTTGCTTATAAAGATGCAATCTATGTGTTTGGAGGTGATAATGGTAAATCAATGTTAAACGATCTAATTAGATTTGATATAAGAGAAAAATCATGGACTAAAACTGGGTGTATGGGTACACCTCCTGCACCAAGATATCATCATTCAGCTGTTGTAAGTTCCAAATTTATATTATGTTTACTTCTTTTTTTAAGTATTGAAGTGTAAATAAAACCCCATATCTGTGTTACAGGAAAAATAATTATAAGGAACATTAGTTTAAAAATTTGATTTAAAACATTGGTTTTTAGGTACATAGATCTTCAATGTTTGTTTTTGGTGGATATACTGGAAACATCTTAGCAAATTCAAATCTTACAAATAAAAATGATCTATTTGAATACAAATTTCAAAGTGCTCAGTGGGTACAATGGAAGTTTACTGGCCAGTAAGTATTTATTATAAATAGTACATTGTAAATGTTACTATAGATAGCCTGTTTATTCAGAAATGCTATAGGCTATATATATATATATATATATATATATATATATATATATATATATATATATCATTAAGCTACTACCCAAGAGAGCAGATCAATAAAATAATATTATATAGTCTAGGGTGAGCCGCTAGTTGCTGATAAAGTAATTATTATTATTATACTATGTGTTGATGTATGTATTATAATTATCAGAGAGCCTGTACCTCGTTCTGCACATGGTGCTGCAGTATATGATGATAAGCTGTGGATATTTGCTGGTTACGATGGCAATGCGCGGTTGAATGATATGTGGACCATTAATTTAATGGTAAGTCATTTTTAAGACTAGTATAATTTCATTTTATTACAAGATATTAGATTAGGTGTAAAAGCACAGTCTGTAAGATACGTCAGTAAGATAAGTGTATTAATTGTTGTCTATACAAGTATGTTTTGAACTGCAGCATTTAAAAAAATAATATTATAAAAATTCGTTGTAAAAAAGCTACATATATGTTTATTTCAGGGAGAAAATCATCAATGGGAGCGAGTAGAGCAGAAGGGTGAATGCCCTCCTACATGTTGTAATTTCCCGGTAGCGGTCGCCCGCGGCAAGATGTTCGTGTTCAGTGGGCAAAGTGGTGCTAAGATAACAAATGCGTTATTCCAATTCGATTTCGAAACCCATACGTGAGTTTTATTTTTCCAAAATATTTGTATTAAGTAAAGCAGAATGTCTCTTTATTTGTTTCTTTCTTAATTCCATGAAATGTTTTGATGAAATTTATCAAGGGCAAAGCAAGCAGAGTCACAGTGCAAAAACTAGATATAGATATGCCTTTTTAACCGATTTCGGCAAAAAACTGTACATTTAGTGCATAAGTGTGTGTAGAAACAAAACGTGCAATCTTCATTTAGCCTCCACAACTCGACACGCCACAAATATCTCGACATACCTCAAACCGCTAGGCCAACAAGATACAAATAGACAATAATATCCAATGTTCACTTGTTGATTGTACTTATGTGTGTAATGTGTATGTATGTTTGTTACTCCTTCACATTAAAACGGCTGAACAGATTTGTATGAAATTTAGTAAACAGATAGGTAATAGGTTCGTACATAGTACGTTTTACCAGTTAGTATAGAATATACAAAGTCTTGCCGTAAATATTGTTGTTGCAAAGAAAAAATATTTTTTCTATTGCATGTAACATTTATTACTATTGCAGTATGTTAGTTTAATACATAAATATAAAACCATTAAAAATATATAAAGCTTATTCGAAGTGGTCTCCATGGGCTGCAATCAACAGTCCTTTAAACGTTGAGGCCAGTTATCAATAGAAGCACGCACTCTTTCCATGGGAAAATTCTTCACTGCCAATTGTATGGATTGTTTTAGGGACTCAAGAATGGTATCTAGATACACTTGTACCAATGTTTTGATACCTTTTTCACAAAAATGTGGCTCAGACACTCCTTCATAGCGAACACCCCACCAAACCATTACTGAAGTCGGATAATGCCCACGTTGTACTCTGTTAACTAATTGGGAAGGTTCCTTAGACCTTTGAGCATAAATACGGCCATTTTGTTTGTTAAAATATTGCTCAATTGTAAAAAAACTCTCATCTGTAAACTGATTTTTTCTGTGACCTCCCTTTGCGTACCGCTTAAGTAGTTGTTTTGATTTTACCACCCTATTCTTTTTTAAATCATCAGTTAAGGAATGACCAGTGCGTCTCATATAGGCTGCAAGTCCTAAGTCATCTTTTAAAATACGCGGCATGGTTTTAGGTTGCTATCTTCATCTCCCAAGACAAAATCTTTTGTTTCGGACAGGATTTCTTCGAATACTTTCCATTACTGCTTTGATCGCCATTTTCGTACGAACACTACGTGGACGGTCAGATCTTTTTCTGTCACAAACAGAGGTTTCATTGTACCTATCAATAGCCGGGTACACAAACATTTGACTAATACCAAGCGTATGGACAGTTTTAAAAATTGTATTTGGCTCCATACCTACTGTGTGTAATGCAATCACAGCGATTCGGTTCTCTTTATCATCCGACTCCATTTTAATACCACAAAATATTTTACAATGTATTGGCGCGAAAATGAGAAAACAATGAACAATCATATAAAAATGACAGATTCCAAATTAAAATGTAATATTTTGTTTATTTTTAATTGTAACAGTATTTATGGCCAGACTATGTATATATGGAATTGTTGTGGGTTGTATTATAACGTGCTTTCCCAAGGGAATGAAAAAATTTCCCGCTTTAAAAAGCAGCTTGTGCCCCTCTTTAGCCCTCCATCTATATCCACACAAAAAATCACGTCAATCCGTCACTCTGTTTCGACGTGAAAAAGGATAAACAAACACACATTCACATTTATAATATTAGTATGAATGTGGGCAGGTGGAGCCGCGTGTGCACGGAGCACCTGCTGCGCAGCGCGGGCCCGGCGCCGGCGCGGCGCTACGGCCACGTGATGCTGCACCACGCGCGGCACCTGTACGTGTTCGGGGGCGCGGCCGACAGCACGCTGCCCTCTGACCTGCACTGCTATGACCTTGATACGCAGATGTGGTGAGTTGCTGTGTCTGATCTCTGTTATGAATGAATGTGAATGAAATATGAATTTAATTCCAGGAAAGTGACCCGCTGATCCGAGTTGGTCTGATGATAAAGAAAGATAGCGGAACTCTTCAATTGATTCTAGCAAAACCGAAAGTTTGAGCTCATTTTAATTTGTTTTGATGTTTTTATTGTATTTTTTATTGTGATTGGTTTTTTTTGTATTTTTTTGCCGTTAATTACAAAAACTCAAGATACACAATAAGCATTTCAAAAGTATCTTCAAAAGAACTTGAACAATTCGAAATTGAATTGCGCTTTTTTTGAAATCTCTTTTGTTTATTACTTTTCGAATGATTTTTTTTTTGATTTTGATTTAGAATTAAAACACACGTTGTTACATTTAAAAAAGTACTCTTTATAGTGTGCGTAAGTTCGAATTTGTGTTTAGACAATTAGGACTATTGATTTTTAAATTTTGTTCTTTGGTTTGACTTAACCTCACCTGTCGATGCCACTTTTTGAAGAGATAGTTGTTAGGAAATGTGTATCTATGTTTTTATATATCAATGTTTTTGGCGGTCTATAAATTTCATTATTATATAACACTAGCGACTCACAAAAAAAACGCATCAAAATTCGTTGAATAATTTTAAAGATCTAAGCATACATAGGGACAAACAGACGGTGAAAGCGACTTTGTTTTATACTATGTATTGACTACTCCCCAGGTCCGTCGTGCACCCGGCGCCAGATTCGCAGATCCCATCCGGACGGCTGTTCCACGCGGGTGCGGTGGTTGGCGACGCGATGTATATATTTGGTGGCACTGTCGATAATAATGTTCGGAGTGGACATTTATATCGTTTTCAGGTACACATATAAATATAATTAATATTGTTTTCCTAAAGACAGTGGTAGAAAAGTGGTAAGGTGAAACAAAGTAGAGCGGGTTAATATCAAAATCACAGGACTTACGGTGAAGGAAAACATAGTGAGGCAAACTGCACTTCTGAAAAAATCTAGCAATTCTTACTTACTCATGTAAAGTCTACCAACTCGGACTTGACACGCGTGATAGATTATGGCCCGATTCCTTTCGTATTGAAAGGCAGCCAATGCCCAACAGTGAAACGTTAAAAAAAGCTGTTTTTTTTTTCGTAAATCATCATAAAATTGATGTTATGTAGTCAAATACACCAATTATAAGCTAGTGAAATTTGTATCGAATTAGCCGTTCTGGCAACTGACGGGTACAGATAAAGAAACAAAATTTTTACTAACCATAAGACCTCTACATTTAGTAGCTATTTCAAACATACATACAGAAACATCAATTTTGTTTATAGGCATATATATACATATAATCACGTCGCCAATGTATACATATAATAAAATTGTAACTGATCGCTGTCTGTATTAACGCTGTAGAACTCAAAACAATGATTTTTACATTTTTTGTCTATTTGTCTGTGCGTTTGTGCGCGCTAATCTCAGAAGTTTTATTCGATTAGGTCCCAGTTGTCACTAATGTGTTATGGGAAGCTTCAATTAATATTTAGTATTTGCTTTATTTCAATCAGTTTATAAATAAATAAGTTATGTCAATCTAAAGAACCACCTAAGGACGAACCCGAGCGAAGCGAGGGTGATTCGCTACTCGCTAGTTTAATGTATAATGGAGAAGACACGAGGGAGCCTGGTCGCAAAAAATAAGTAAATGTGAAAGCTGTCAAATAAAACGTAACAACAAACGTGACAGCTGTCAAACTACCCGCGCTGCACGCTGCACGACGACTTCGGGCGCATCCTCAAGTCGCAGCAGTTCTGCGACGTGACGCTGCTGGTGGGCGGCGAGCACACCGCCGTGTTCGCGCACCAGGCCATGCTGGCGGCGCGCTCGCAGTACCTGCGGGCCAAGATCAAGTTAGTGTTCATACATATATACACACACTCGAATTCGTATTATAATTAGGAAAGTATGTGGTTGTTTGTTACTCTTTCGCGCTAAAACTCGTGGATGGATTTGGATAAAATTCAGTACGCAGATTAACTATGACCTGGGATAACGCGTAGGCATAGGTAAGGTGCACTGATATACAAAAAAATTCAAGATACACAATTAGCGTCTGAAAAGTGACCTCAAAAAGAAGTGCACAATTCGAAATTGAGCGCTATTTCATTTATCTCTTTTGTTCATTGCGTTTCAGATGAAAAAATTAAAACGCACGTTGTTTCATTTAAAAAAGTATTTTATGTGGTGTACGTAAGTTCGAATTTGTGCTTAGAAGATTAGAACTTTCGATTTTTGAATTTTATTCTTTGGTTTGACTTAACGTCACGTGTCGAGTCCACTTTTTGAAGAGATATTTGCTAGGAAATGTATGTATATCAATGCCTACTATACAGATTTTTGTACAGATATTGATGTATTTTTCTATAGAGAGGCAAAAGAGGATCTGGCAAAGCGTATAGCATTGGGCGAGGAGGAACCCGCAGAGGAGTTCTCGTACAAGTCGCGGCCACAACTCACGGTGAATCTGCCTGAAGCAACCCCCGAAGCCTTTCGGATGGTCCTCAACTATATATATACTGATAGAATAGATCCTACTGAGAAAGGTGAGAAAAATTGTCCGTCTGTTTGTTTACGTATCATTCGAGAATGGTTAAATGGATTTCCAATTCGTAATTTTTAATTTATATAGATAATAATTTTAATGACATAAAATCATAGCTATTTTTTAGTCAGCTGAATTTAATATTCGTATTAATACCATCGATCAAAAAAGCACGAGGTACACAATCAGCGTTAAAAAATGTCCTCACCGAATGAGCGCTCATTTGAACATTTGTGATCCCGCTTTTTTTGTGAAAACAACTTTAAGCATTGCATTTAAGGTTCAGTTTCACATTGATGTATATTTATTTCAACTAGAATAATTACCTAAGCACAATTGGTGACAGTTTTACGAGAACTTTTGCATGAGATTGTGTATCTAGTACTTTTTTGATTGGTGATTAGTATATACAACGCTATCTATTGATATTTATTTGAACTATTTTATCGTTATTCATCCCATAAGAGTATGAGCGCAACAGGAACAGAGTGTGCCATTGGCTTTGTGCATATGTTTGTACACTGCGCAATATCTCTAGCGCTGATGGCTAGTCGTCGTCTCAGTGGTTATTTGCTCGAATTACTTATTTATCGAAAGAGTTTTTATTACAGAATTATTGATTTTAAAAGTCGATTCCATTCGTTACAATACACATTTTACTTAAAAATGTATTTTGTCTATATATGTATATAAATTTTTGAAATAAAGCTTTGTTTTTTAAGAATCGAGGAAAAAAACTCTACTGTAAAGTACAAGTATTGATGGTTTGAACGAATAAGCACTAAGGCGATGTTGTTTCAGTGAGATTTGATCGTTCTGCCGAAATCGTTCAGGGGGACATCATTACTGAAGTACTTATAGTAAGACCACACGTTTGGCTCAGTTTGTAGTGACCCTTCTTGCTGTGCTACCAGTCGCGGGTTCGAGTCCCATTGGGGGCATTCACATGTGTGATGAGCACGAATGTTTGTACTTCAGTCATGGGTGTTTATATTTATAATATGTATGTATATATTTAAAGTTATATAATACGTGTAGTGTATCAACTATCTGGTATTCATAACACAGGCCTCGTAGCTTACCATGGAACTAGATGGTGATGTGTGTTAATGTCCCAACATATTATTAAATTATAGTATATTGATTATTCCCTTTCCCACGGACAACAGACGAGGACCCGGCGTCGCCGGCGACGATCCTGCTGGTGATGGAGGTGCTGCGGCTGGCGCTGCGGCTGAACATCCCGCGGCTGCGCGGGCTGTGCGCGCGCTACCTGCGCGCCAACCTCTGCTACAGCAACGTGCTGCAGGCGCTGCACGCCGCGCACCACGCGCGCCTCGCATGCATCAAGGAGTACTGCCTGCGGTGAGATCTGTTGAACTTATACTTCTTCACGCACTCTTCACTTGGGGGGTAAGCTGGTGAATGCATTACGAATAAATGTATGTATGTCTGTTGCCATGGTAACCGTTGTTATTGTCTGACAAATGATATGTAATATTATATTCTTTCTTTAAATGACATTCTATAAATATTTATATGATTGTAATATGCCTAGTATGTGTTATTTTTAGTATCTCAGCTATCGTAATTATTTAAAACATAAATTGAATTTCATAAAGGGTACTGATAACCTACAGAAGTTTTCATTTTTGCGCGTGTACACATTCGTACACGTACTCTTTAATTTTTTTTAAATTATACTTCTTTTGGCACGTTTGAAAAAAACAATGAGAGTAACATTTTTACGATACGCGCGCACGTGATGAAGTTAGCTGCATTCCTTTTACAAACAGAGAGTTGTGACATAGGGAATGAAATCTTTAGCTATTTTTGTTCTGTTATGACAAAGAAATATAACTTCTTGCGTGCGTTCGTAAGTACACACACACTTTTTTTTTACCCTGTTTTTGACATCACGTTTGGCTCAGTTTGAGGTGACCCTACTGGCTGTGCCAGCAGTCGCGGGTTCGAGTTTTCAGATTTTTGTTTCGAGACAATCAAAATGTTTACAAACATGAATTTGTAAATAAATGACGATCGAATGTTGACTCATTTATAATTTGTTCCGGTACAAAATAATTTGATAATAAAGCCATTCGGCGATAACTTGTCTTGTAGTGTAAGTACCTATTACAAAATATGAACATTTTCATTTGTCTCATACAGGTTTGTAGTAAAGGACTACAATTTCACAGCAATCGTGATGTCGTCGGAGTTCGAGCAAATGGAGCAAAAGTTAATGGTGGAAGTGATCCGGCGTCGACACCAGCCCTCCAACAAGATGCCAGCGAACGAACAGGACGAAGAAGTGATAGGTGAGGCATTTTATAATTTATAAATTCAGTTAATGATGTAAATAAAGAATATTTCTGCGATATTTCGAAGCATAAGGTTGGAACAACGGTACGATACTGGAACGCGCTTGGAAAATCAAATAACTCCGTCTTGTGTTTCTGACATTCACGTGTGAGAATCATTTTGACATTTACACGTGAGAATCATTTTCAATATTATTATCACTCCCCTTACGGTGAAGGAAAACTTTGTGAGGAAATGTGCATGTCAGAGAGAATCTAGCAACTTTTCTTTGCATTTGGCGAGAACGATGGAGTCTGATCGCTTTCACATTGAGCGGGGGGCTGTGCCTAGCACCGTGACGTTAAGAAAGGTTGAATACCAATAGTTAGGGGTTCATATATTCCTTTCGGGTTACCTTTTGAAAAATCTATAACAACATTGCTGGAACAATAAACAAATGTTTTGTTTTCTATGTACTTGTAGTATGGATCTAGCTACTTTTTACTAAAAAAGAACTAAAATGTATGTAAAGATTGATTGACCGGCTTACTTACATTAAAATTTCGCCGCTGTTGAATACACAATTATTATATAGGCTTAATTGAAATTCTCTTTCAAGGCAAAAGCTAATCCACTACCCATAAGCACAACACTAAAACAATACGTCGACTAATAACCCAACTATCCACAGGCACAACACCAAAAGAACACATTGAGTAACAACACTAAAACAACACATTGTCTAACAACTCAACTATCCACAGACGCAACACTAAAACAAAACATCAACTAGTAATCCGACTATCAGCAGGCACAACATTAAAACAAGACACGACTAATAACCCAACTATCAGTAGACGCAACACTAAAGCAAGACGTTCACTAACAACCCAGCTACCTGCAGGCAAACTAAAACAAGAAACTATTAGCAATCTAACTATCCGCAGACACAAACACACATTTATGTTGGAGAGGATCACTTCCATTCAATGTTTATGCAGAATCTTTTGTTTGTATTTTGTTTTGTTTTAATATTACTTTGGCATGTCAAGCACTATATTTTTCTGGAGGGATTTGGCGCTGCTAGCTGAAATACAGGTTTCCTAGTTCAGCTACAGATGCTTCATTCACTTAATAGTGATATTGTTCTTTGGCTTAAATTATTTAGTAAAAATTTGTAAACGTTTTTTGGATAATAAATTATTATTAATATTTCCAGGTACAACACTAGAGCAGGACATGTGCGTGTTCGTGGGCGGCGGCGGCGCGGAGCTGGCGGACGTGCGGCTGCGCGTGGCGGGCGCGTCGCGGCCGGCGCACCGCTCCATACTGGCGGCGCGCGCGGCCTACTTCGAAGCCATGTTCAGATCCTTCTCGCCGCAGGATAATGTTGTTAATGTTAGTTTGCTACATGCTTTAGAATATACACACATACTATCACAGACGTTTCTGTCTTTTTAAGATCTACAATTTTCTAGTACATTGTTTTCATATATATATATATATATATATATATATATATATATATATATATATATACATCGTAAGGTTTAGCCAGCGTTAGCAATGTAAGCGCCCAAAAATATGTTTTATACGACATCATTACAAATCTTTGAAATTCTTCTTCTTTTATATGCATATATTATATATATAAACCTTCTATATATATATATATATATATACATCGTAAGGTTTAGCCAGCGTTAGCAATGTAAGCGCCCAAAAATATGTTTTATACGACATCATTACAAATCTTTGAAATTCTTCTTCTTTTATATGCATATATTATATATATAAACCTTCCGGAAGAAAATCTCTAGTGAAAATCGTCTCAAAATCCGTTGCGTGGCTTAGAAAAAGCCATTGGACAAACAGACAGATGACAACAGCGACTTTGCTTTATACTATAAAAAGATGTATAGATAAGCGTATATTTAAATTTCTTACTCGAGTTGTTCGATGCACCGCTCCATGCTGTCCATGAGGCAATGACCCGCTCGCTCTCGACGTAGGGTAATACATATTATTTATGTTAGTGTGTCCTATAATTTATATTTGATTTCTTGATTGAGTTATATGCTTTATTATTATTTATATTATTTATTTGTATTGTTTATATTTTTATTTATATTGTTTATATTGAGTCGCATGCTTTATGTTTATTTCTATCTAGAGTTTCTATTAAATGTATGTGATACAGTCAAAACTTTTGTTGATGCAATTATGACAAGGCACATCTGTAAACCCGCCACAGTGTATGTTAAAAAATAATAATGTTGATACAGTGTTTTTGGAATTTTCCAGATTCAAATTTGCGATACAGTGCCATCAGAAGAAGCTTTCGACTCTCTGCTTCGGTACATCTACTACGGAGATACCAACATGCCCACTGAAGACTCCTTATATTTATTCCAGGCGCCTATTTACTATGGTAATTATACTAAATATATTAGGATATATTATATTGGGATATTAACACACAGCACCATCTAGTTCCATGGTAAGTTACGAGGCTTGTGTTATGCATACCAGATAGTTGACTTTAAATACATACATATTATAAATATAAACACCCATGACTGGAGTACATACGTGCTCATCAGACAAATGAATGCCCCCAGCGGGATTCGAACCCGCGACCGCTAGCACAAGCAAGTAGGGTCACTACAAACGTCTTGTCAATTAAATGCTATTTGTATTATATTTAATGTACATAGGGCAAAACCTATGGCAAGTACATCAATTAATAATATATGGCACTGCTCTAGAGCAGTCTAGGACTAATTCTACCTATTTTGGTTGACATATCTTCGTGATGAAACCTCATAATAGAGCAATATAAAAATCCAATACAGATAACCATAGTATTGGATTTTTATAATATTGTAATATTCACTTATTGACTAATCGCCTATTGATTTAAAAAGATTAAAATTCACTATTAGATTATTTGAAGATTAAAAAATACGAATTTTCATGGCGAATGGTTCTGAAGTTAAAACATTTTATTGCGATGTTGTAGAATATCCAGGAAAAATATATTTGTCAACCCTAAAGCCGTTACCAACTAAAAGTATCTAAAAAAGTAAATATGACAGTCGGATACGTCTTATCTTGTCCCCTCGTTTATCCTGTCCAGGCGCTTTCGTTAGACGACCGTAAAGATTAGTGGGTTGTGATATTAGTAAGGTTTATATAAAACTAGCAACTTACTCTCGCTTCTCTCATGTTCATCCCTAGTGAAAAACAAAAACAAAACTATCCCACAGGGACCGTACATTTTTCCAGGATAAAAAGTAACCTATGTGCTAATCTAGACTATAAACTATCTCTGTGCCAAACATCCAAATCCATTTATCCGTTCTGGCATGATTGAGTAACATACATCCATCCAAACTTTTAAACATCCATCAAATTCTTAGGTTTTACATTTTAGTATAATCTGACATTGCAATATTTGTATTTTTTCTCCGAAATGACATATTTTTCCGCTGTAAAAAGTTTTCTATATGTTGACCCGGATAACCAGCTATCACCATACCAAATTTCATCAAAATCCCTCCAGTGGTTTTTCTGTGATGCGGTAACAGACAGACAGACAGATAAAAAATCTAAAAACTATAGATTCGGCCTCTGTATCGATAATAATATCTATTTCAATAAAATTTTCCAAAAAATATTTAATGTACAGATTCGACTCAGAATTTTATTATATATTATATAGAATAGGATGAATACCAACGTCTTTTCTCACTACAATGCAATTTACATTCATGTTATCAATAATTATAACTTTAACACAGGTTTCACAAACAACCGTTTGCAAGTGTTCTGCAAGCACAACCTGCAAAGCAACGTGTCGCCTGAGAACGTGCTGGCCATCCTTGCGGCGGCGGACCGCATGCGCGCGCAGGACATCAAGGAGTACGCCCTCAAGATGATTGTGCATCATTTTGATTCTGTGAGTCGTTTGTTTATTTTTTAACTAGCGACTTCGTCCCTGGGTACGTTGTAACGGTTAGTATGAAAAACAAATCTTTGAATTTTTCGGCTTTTCTGTACTATAATATGCATGTATTATACATATAAACCTTCCTCTTGAATCACTCATCTATTAAAAAAATCAAAATCCGTTGCGTAGTTTTAAAGATCTAAGCATACATAGGGACAGACAGATAGCGGGAAGCGACCATGTTTTATTTATACTATGTAGTGATGGTAGAGAAAACTTTTATTTACCAATACATAGAGCTGTCACACAAGGTTACTTATTTAACAGCGCCATCTATTGGTGAGTTAGAGAGTATAACTTGTGTTATTGAAGTAGCGCCTGGCTATTTAAAGAGTGCGTTGTTATTATTATTGATTTTTTTCCATAGATAACGTTTGGACTAGTATTTTCTTAATTATAGTATTAATATTAATAGGATATAATAATAAAATAATAGTGACATGAAAATATTGAGTAATGTTATATTGATTCACTATTAAATTAAAGAACTATTTAATTTTTGCCTACAATCTTTTGATCATATACATTATAGATATCTTAAAACGATTCAGATGTATATATTAATTTAATATAATTTCACAGGTTGCCCGTCAAGATGCAATTAAAAATCTAGCCCAGCCATTGCTAGTGGATATTATATGGGCGTTAGCAGAAGAATCTCGTTTTGATACTCCTCTCCCCCTACAACCTCGTTCCCTCCCTTCTTCATCATCAGCTGACACCCTGACTGAGGACCCAGAATATATCCGTCATAAGTCCGGCAAATAAAATTTGAAGGTATTATACAAATTCATCAGGAAAAAATCCTTGTACCTTTATAGTTCACACTTCAAATTTCAATCTTTCTTTTCAATCAAAACATATAGACTACGTACATTATAAAACATAGAACCACTTTTCTTGTATTAATCGCTATATTGTCAATCTATACAGATAAATAAAATTGAAGTGTCTGTTACTAAATACGTATGAAATTATATACGGTACTAATTAAAAAAACACATTTTTGTTAATTTTTGTCTCTTTGTTCCGGCCATGTTCCGAACGACTGGATCGATATTGACAGGACATTCACTGGCAGATAGCTGATGTTAAAAGTAATATCTTAGGCTACATTTATTTAAAAAAAAAAGAATTAGGGTCTTTTGCTCAAAAAAATTAAAAAGTACCTAGTGACGTCGATAGAAATTAATAAAATTTTATAAACACAAGAGAAAATCGTACGTCCCGCGTTAAAAGTCAAAATATATTCTTTACTTGCCTGCCTGCTACCTGCGTAGACGAACACCACAGTTTTTACGAAAGCTGTCAATGTCTTCGACTAGACTAGCGCCGCGTAACAACATATTTTTTGTTTAGTACATGCATGGGGCATCACCATGAACAAAGAAAAAATAGTTCAAAAAATTGTCAAAAGATGCCCTTACATGTATTGATTTGTTATTAAAGTTGTGTTAAAATGACAAAAGATAAAAAAGTAGATCCCAAAAAGGTATATTATAAGTGAGTAAAAAGAAAAAATGCGCTCGTAAATCAAATTTGCATAATTTTACTGATTATTGAAATATTAGTAATCTGATGATAGGTTTGCTGTGTATATTCACAGATGGCTCTTTTACATTTTATGAATTGTTTGGGACGGTTAAAAAATCGTTAAAATCAGTTTTTTTTTTATTCAAATGCTGGATGAATTTTATAATATTTACCATTCGTTAGTTTGATGAATGATGATGATGAAAATAAAACATTTTAACTATTTGCGAATCAACAACATCTATTATCTATTTAAGCAGAATAGCCAATTCCAATTTTTTTGTATGGGATGAGGCATCTGTACTAGTATTATGTGATCTGTGGTAGAGGGAAGAACTCAAAATTTAAACTGATTAATATGTAAGCTGTGCTGTTAAAATTATATGGAAATAAGTAAATTAATAATGTAAACAAAGATCTGTAAGGTTATGATGTATAATATGTTCAAAGATAGATAATAAAATTTTTGATAACTTAAAAAATAGTGGTATGATAAAGTATATTATTAATTTTATGCTAATACTCGAATATAGAGTTAAAAAATATACATAATAGTTAAATTTATACATACATTATTATATTATATGCATTTAGAGACAATAATATAGTATTTCTGTGATCTGATGTTTTTTTTTTATCAAAGCAAATAAGTACTGTATTTTCTTAAAAATAAACACTAAAAATTATTAAAGTCAGTAAAAAACTACTTAGAAAGATTTTTCTTAGTTAGGAAATCAAAATCGAAGTTAATGTTGTATTTCATGTAATCTATACTAATATTATAAAGAGGTAAAGTTTGTTAGTTTGTGACATAGGGGGTAATCTCTGAATCTACTGAACCGATTTAGATGAAAAATAAGATAGTTTAAGACTCTAGGAAGGACATAGGATACTTTTTATCCCAGACATCATACCTTAAGGGGGTGAAAATGGGGATGAAAATTTGTATGGGGAATCAAGCTAGGGATGAACTCGAGCGAAGCGAGGGTGAGACGCTAGTTAATTATAAAAAGATTTCAAAAGGCCCACATTACTCAAATACCTAGGTATCTATTACAATAAATATTTGGCAGCAAATTTTAGACACATTTATTCTATGAAAATCAAAGTACAGTTATAATTTAAATTAATACAGGTAATAATAGATAAATAGTAAGATATAGATAAAATAAATATTAGTAAAAATTGCTATTGTAATCTGATATTGATCAAAACTAAAAAAAAATATTAAATATTAGCATACAGCAAATATATTGATGAAATCAAATATGTAATATGTTATCACTATTATTTTTCATTGTATGAAGCACACATTATAGTAAATTTTTCAATCATTGTGATATTTAAATTGCAAAAATTTTGTTTATTCTAGTCTATTTTATAAATAAAAAGAATATTTAATTTAAGTATTTTTTAATTAATCATGATAACAATTATAACTAATAAATTATGTAATTATGATATTATGTTCCTTTTATTCATACTTGTGCTTGATGTCCTTCCACAGTTTCTGAAAAGAAATAAAAAATAAATTAACATATTATGTTGACAATACACAACAAGCAGAACAAACATTATAAGGTTAATTTAAACATAAAATATTCATCTTTTTAAATTAATGTTCATATTACTACTACCCCACTGTTAATGTGCCCAGACACAATACAAGATTGTGAAAAAAAAACACTATTTGAATATTTTATATAGCAGCAATTGTAAGCAACTAGTTGTTTGGACCATACACTGAACAAATGCTTTTCTTTTTTTTTAAATTGATAGTTGATCAAAAAAGCAGTAAATGCATTTACTGCTGTTTCGTCCAACTATCAATCACATCCTATAAAATATTGTTATAGTCCAAAGGAATAAATAAAAATAAAATTGCCAGCTTTTTAGTTTTTTGTTTCCAGATAATCATTACAAAACTAGGTATTATTTATAATATCTAATTGAAATTGGCAAAAGTAATATAAATTGTATTAGTTCTGAAACTAATAATTGCCTATTGTTACAGAAGATTTACTTATTAATTTTACTTGATATTTTTTGAATGTGACCCACACTTGAAACAAAGTACATTAGTTCTCATGAGGTCTTTTTTTTTATTTTGAACCCAAAATCCTTATTACAGATGTGTAGGGAATTAAAATCAAACTCAGTGACAGATCCAATATTTTATTTTTCTAGTTATGTTAAAAATGGTATAATGTTAGTTTTGAATGAGAAATTGGATTAATAATAATATACAATTTGTACAGGTATTTAACTATAGATGTATATAGGTATTCAAATGTCAATACATAAACAAAAAAATATATGTAGAAATATATTATACTGGTCAAATTTACCTCAAACATGTGTGATGTAAAGCACAACACAGAATATTAAAATAAATACACAAAGCCAGGGTATATTGCTACTACAAAACCTCAAAAGTTATGAAATTTTATATTTTATGTAATTGGAATAGGTACTTATTTTTATTAATAACAGTTATTATAATGAATTATTACTAATTCATTTTAAAAACTATTATAAAGCGATTTGGAATCGAGTAAATTAATTAGGGTTTAACTTTAAAGAACATAAATTACATAACTAATACTTACTCCCTTATTCACACTCTCAAAAATCGAGACTGAAATAAGCTCGAAAGTCCTTTCAAAGAAGAAAGTGCCTCCTGCTACAGCAACGGCAAAGGTGGAGGTTCTTTTAAAAACATTACGATTCAGCGTTGACCACAGCGACATTTTTAGATATTTCTTGTACCCACTACCCAAAGAGCACACTTCACACTTCAAAGGCCTAGCAATATCTTTCAATGCAGTTGTCAAATCAAATGTCAACGTCAAAATTAGCACCTAGCGATCGTTAAAGTAACCATAGACAATATAGACTAGGCGAATAAGAATTACAGACTATAGACACGTATAGACCGACCCAATTAACTACAAAAAGAATGTAGATAAGCAGAGATTTGTTCGATAAAATACACACACTTCCCCGAATAATTTAGAAACTTTATTTCATTCACTTCAAAAAGAAAGGAGTGTGTGTATGTGCGTGCTTATGTGTGTCTGTGTGTATTATTGAGGGACAATTTATTAAGTAGTACTTCAAAAAATGAAAAATAAGAGACCATGGCGAATTTAGATATCTAGTTTGAAAACTTGGAAATTGAATTATTGGACGAAATTCAAAAACATACTTTTGATGAAGTAAAACATCACTATTGGAATTATTGGTACTATTATACAGGCAAAAACTTTAAGGATTCGTTATTTGGCGAAGTAGTGAGTAGTAGCCGAATAGTCCGAATACTGAATAATAGCCGAATATCCATCGCAATTCTATAATCCTACTAATATTATAAAAGCGAAAGTTTGGATTTGGAAAGAATGGATGTATGTTTGTTACTCTTTAACGCAAAAACTACTGAATGGATTTTGATGAAACTGTACAATAATATAGCTCATACATCATAATAACACATAGACTACTTTTTAAGTAAGGCCACACTACTACTAAAAATAAATATAAGTGTATAAATAAATGTAAGTATACGAGGTGATTTTATCTCAGCGATTGCCGATTGGACATGTGACTATGTGACTAGGATTTAAGATTACTATACTGTACTCGCTGAATGAACCAAGCACTGAGATTTTGCGCTTCCACATGATTAGTTGCAGGTAAGACGCATAGGCCGCGATCACAATGCAATTCATAATTAGACCGTCGTTGCATTACACGGGCAGCTTGAAGCAGTTAGTTTCGACTGCTTCAAGATGCGACCGCATAGCAAACTACACAAATACACGAAACCGCTCAAGCAGTTGGGACTGCTTCGGGCGGTTGTCAGCGCGGTGATATTTCATCGTGCGGTCAAGCAGACCCAAGGCATACGCTGACTGTTCGAACAGTCGACTGCTCTCGCGCAGTTACCTCCGCCAGCGCTCTCCATTTCACGTCGTCGTCGTCTGAGGAAAAGTAGCGTGACTTGTTGAGTAGTTGATATTAACTGCTGGATTTGGTATCAAGTGCTCCAGCAGTTATCAATGGCAGCTTCAAGCTGTTGACTATGACTGCAAGAGCTTTCCGTTTATGTTGATCACTGTCTAACTGCTCGAGCAGTCCATGTATGTCCGGCCTTAGAGTCGAAAGAGTTCATTAAAGTCATACTAGAGCCTACTGAGAGTTTTTCTGAGACTGAAAGGCGAATGAGTGACTTTCAACATATTCAGGTGCAGTATTCTAAAAACATTTAGAGTAAAAAACATAGACACATACATATACCAAGTCGCATTTATAGTAATAGTCCGATTCGTAAATCAGTATTTGTTCTCCATAGACCAATAGAAATTAGGTCATACTTCAGATTGATATATTATAATAATAATAGCAGAGGTTTTAGTTAACAACAGTGATTTATGCAGCAGCCAGCAGGTATATACAAACAATGATGTTTTATAATATAGATAGATACGTTATATGCTCACAAAACTAGCGAAAAAAGTGTTCCGAATACAACGGCAGTACACATACACATTAAATTATTATTTTCTTAAACCACCACATCGCCAAATGATGTGAAAGGGATAGTGTAGTCAAACTATAAGAAAAAGAACAGCTAACTTACGCGTGTGTAAATTGTACTAATCTGAACTGAAAGCATTGTGCAAAACTTAATGTGTTGAGAGAATTATTTTTATTATTAATGTTTCGCGCGAGAAGTTTGAAAAGATGGCCCTTAATAGAAACTGGACCTTAATAGATATTGGAGAACTTACCTTATATAGTTTAGTCTGAGTATATCAATAAACTTCGTATTGAAGGATGGCCCGTGCCCAGCAGTGGGGCGTGAAAAGGGCTGGATACATACTTATAAACTCGTAATTTACCCTTTTAAACTACTTATGTAGTTCATAATTGGGTTTCAACTGGGTGAAATGATTAAAGAACAAACATTTATTTACGAGCATTTTACTTTTTATTACAATATCACCATACAAATTATTTGCGTTGTAACGGGAATTAATAGTAGGTAATAATTTCTTTACATTTTAATTCTACTTACTACATTACACCAGCAGCCATTTAATAGTAACTATATCCACTATTCTACTACTCAATTTATACTATAAGTTTAGGTGTAGTTTTAAATCATAGTATTGCCAGGTCTGGCTAAAAACGGTAAAAATATCAAGCAAAGTTATTAATAACACAAGCTATAATGTTAAATTGATTTTAGTTTTAATTTTGTTGCTTCTATACAAATGTTGTGTCTATGCTTGTGTCTAAAATCTTTTTAATAATATATTACTGCCAAAAACAATTCACAATATTAATTTAACACAATAAAATCCAACGCAATTATAAATTAAACAAATCATATAAATAACATTTAGTAAAATTTAAACTTTTTAATTTCAATAAAGTGAATAAGCTATTATATTAAAAAATATTTTTAATCTGTTAGCCGTAAACTTTGGGATATTCGAGGGGTTTATCACAATTCTTGTAGCCTTTGCACGTTAGCATTTGAGCTAGCATCAGTCTGTACCAATGTCTGACAGAAGGGAGCGCTTCCTCATATATATTCGTTAATTCGTATTGATCGTTGTCAATGTCATACATTTCCGTGAAATCCTGAAAGTAAAAATACATTACTTAATATTATACGGAGTCATAAATGCGAAAGTTTGTATGTGATTATTACTCCTTCACGCAGAAATGGCTGGATGGATTTGGATGAAATTTTGTATACAGATAGGCCTTTTATATTAATGTTTGGAAATGCATTTAGGTAGGCAGGTGGTATGGCATACATACAGGTGGTTATGTGGGACTCACTCGCTAGAAAAACCAGTACTACCCATTAAAACCCAACGGAACATCTCCCGTCTTAATAAAACGTCGCAGGATCGTTTACTCAATCACGACGCCACGACAGCAAGTCTGCCGAAGCAGACTACAACAACCATAGGGTTGTTCCAACGGTCCACTCTGGCGTCAGAGAAGTACCAGGAGCAACCCGCATGCCCGCCCACCGAGGTGGGCCGCCACCCAGTGCCATGTGTTTTTTGACTTCGCGCCCGGCTGGGTTGCCGGACACTAATTAACCCCAATATATTAAAAAAGAGACGCACATGTATAGACTTACTGCAGCAATAACGGCCTTTTTTAAAACATCTTAAAAGAGATATGACACGTTTTATTATCGAAAGAAACATAGTCAAGTGTGACTGCGTGAATCGGACAAGTCTTTAGTTGTTAGACGAGCTATTTAAATGTTTATTAATACAATTTCTTAAGATAAAAATGTTTACTTAAATATATTTATCAGTTTCAAGTTAACTGTCTACTGTTAAGGTCAATGCCACGTGTATTGTTTACTGAACATAATAATTTTAGAAATGTAATGTATATTATAAAAGACAATATACGAACATATGAATTAAACAATAAATATTACTTATATATTCTAAAATATACAATTTATAGCAATTGTACATTTTAGAATATATTCCAGATGTTTCTTACCTCCGAATCTGAAAAGTCACAGTATTTTATATTAAATCGCTTAGAGATGTGCCTCAAACACGCAAACGTGTTGTTCTTCGCATCTTGACATTTGCAGTCGTACTCAGGATAACATTGCTGTAAACAAATAAAAACATTAGTATTTATTATATGTATGGAGATAAAAAAAATTGATTTGTTTATTAGTACGGCTATGAATCTACGAGAATTATTGGAATGATGTTAACAATATTTTTCCTCTCATCCATAACATTACCTAAGCAAACTAACCACCTAGAAAGTTAGTGAATTATAAATATAACAAAATAAAAGATGGCCGTCACGGGATGTCCGGTAGATGTGAAACGTCTATGTTACTATTAGAATTCATAATTAATTAAAACCTATAACGAAATATGGAGTAAAATAAAGAAAAAATAGGTTCGTTAATAAAATCAATTTACATTATTTGGTAGCGTCATGCCGTTTGCCGTTAGGGCATACAAGTAGGTTTTACTGCCAAGGTACGCCAATAGATGTTTCACATCAAAATCTTTGTGATTACAGGATCAAATTTAATTTCTACTTAAAAATACATGTGTGTATACTTATGTACGCACGTAAGAAGTTATACTTCTTTGGTGTAACAGAACAAAAATTGCTAAACAGTTCATCCCGTATGTCACAACTCTGTAAAAAGAATGCAGCTAACTTCCTCATGTCGCTTTTTGGCTGTCGGTGTGCGCGCGCATCGTAAAAATTTTACTCTCATAATTTTTTCCAAACGTGCCAAAAGAAGTATAACTTCAAAAATCCAAAATTAACTTACGAAACTAATGAAAAACCTAAAAATAGGACAACATATATTACCTACATATTATTAAGAAAAAATTAAAAATCATAATTAAAAATCTTACAGCAAGATTATCACTGTCATATTTCCAAGGACAATTGGGATCGACGGAACCGTCTCTAGCTTCCCCATAATATTCAATAAGCATATTCCTTTCGATTTCTTGTTTTTCGTCAAACTGTATAGCGCGACCGTCCATACTTAGTGGTGGTGTTAGACCGGCTAATGTCATTATAGTCGGGGCCAGATCAATGTTCAAGATTGGTTGGTCGTCTGTCACGTTCTTTTTTATTGTAGGACCTCGTATGATCAGCGGTACTTTTATATCGGTCTCGTATGGCTGCCTCTTGTCGTATACTTGAGAGAATTGACCTATTAATTAAGTAAGTGGTTAAATAAGTATATGCATGTATATTTATTATATAGAAAAAAAATTATACTCATAGGAGTTCGTATAGACAAACTGTAACTTCAGCTAGAAGTCTTGCGAAGGAGATATTATAGAAAAGCCTTACGAACTCAAACAACTTAAACTCCAACAAGTATCTTTCGATTCACTCATAACCGCACTGTCTATGGAATGGGAGAAAGTGGGTGAAAGAACACACAAATTGGCGCCTAAGGTCCACCATTTTTATTTTTTAATGATATTTATATCATCTGACGACGTATAAATCATCAAAATCGGTGAAGCTGTACGAGGGAACAAAGAATCGGACATACAATATGAATACATACATGTAGATCAAACACATAACCCTTCATTAGGCTTCGCCGTGTAAAAGGAAGGTAATTACGCCACCAAAATGCTTTACTTATTTAGTACTTAGTATTCAGCCCTTTTTAACGTCCCACTGCTGGGCACGGGTCTCCCTTCAATACAAGGGGGATCAGGCCATAGTCCAACACGCTGGCGAAGTGCGGGTTGGCGGCAATAGGTACTTACCAATATGATATCCGTTATCCGAAGTATAAATTATATAAGTGTCTTGTAACACCGAATTCGAGTCTAAAGCGTCGACAACGTCTGCGACCATTTCATCGACAGCTAGTAGACTTTCCCAGCGTGACCGATACACTCGGTCTAGTTCCGACATCATTGTTTCGGGTAACGGAGTTGGAGGCATTGTTAAAAGCCAATGTTTATCCTAAAAGATGATAATTTTTAATAATTTTGATTATGACAAAGTTTTTTGATTTCGTTTTAATTATTTTATGATTTTTTCTGTTCAAAGTTGGTCTTTATGCGTGTGTGAATCATTGGGGCAACCAAACAAACACACTTTCATATTTATAATATTGGTATGGAATATATATGGTATGGAATATATATGGAAAAATGGACACAATAGCTCTTTATAAATATTAAAATATTTATGAGCAACACTTACATGTTGACTGGAATTTCATTTATATAATATTTAGTTCATTTATGAATTGTGACAATCGCATAGGTACATGTAGCACATTCATCTTATGGGACCTATTTTCGTCTATTATTAAAATAAATTCGGTAAACTCATTTAACCGGCTTCCAAAAAGGAGGAGGTTCTCAATTCGTCGGAATCTGTTTTTTTTATGTATATTCACCGATTACTCGGAGACACCTTAACCGATTTGGAAAATTCTTTTTTTTTAATTCTTCAAAAGGGACTTACTTTGGCAGCAACATTGAAATTCGGATGTCTGACGGCGGTAACATTACTGAAGGCACCTTGATGTCGGGGCGCGGGGGTGAAGGGCTGGTGCGGCGCGGGGGGAGCGAGCATCATCAAAAACGGCTTAGATTCCGTTTGATTTTCTATGAAGTTAAGGCTTAGATCTCGCTGAAAATACACAAAGTGCGCATTAAAATATTCTAATTACAAATAAGGTATGAGTAGGTATTAAGTATTTGCTGCACGTTGGTACTGAATTGAGAAAGTTGGTATTTTTAATCTCCTTGTACTTTGTAGTTTTAAGCAAGCAAATGATAAAGTAATGACTTTGTTAGTATTTTAGAATTGAATCAATAGAGAAAATTACGACGTTCAAAAATTAAATTCTGAGTGTCTTAATAAAATTAATTGTTAATATAAAAATTTTTTACTAACAATGATATCAGTTAGATAAAGATCGGTCGAGCGTGTAGGCACGCCATTATTCGATATTGTATAATTATAATATACTGAATTGCCGACCAAACCATGCCATTCGTTCCATCCTTGTGGTATTTGTTCCGGACCACCGGAAGCGTGAACTCCGTACTAAAATAAGAAAATAATATGGCTCATATAATTATAATCTATACCTACCTAATATCTATTATCTACAATAGTCTATTGCCTAGCGCTTCAACCGTATATTTACGTCTTTTAAATCCATTACCACTAAACGTAAACATGTTTCCACTTTCTATGGCAGTGCAAGAGACAAAAACTTATTTTTTTTAATTTATTTTACGGATTGAAATAAAACTTGGTTATATTTGAATGTTTGTATCATTGAATGAATGACGGAACCTTTAAAAATGTCTCATCAATACGCGTCCAGTAGTCCTCGTGTATTGGAATTTTTATTATAGTGAATATACTAGCGACTTAATTTTTTTGAGGGAAATCTAATTCTCTTTCTTAAATAAAAATAACCTAAGTTACTCCTTATACCACCATCTATCTGCCAGTGAAAGTCCCGTTAAAATCAGTGCAGCCGGAGATTAGCCGGAACAAACAGACAGCCAGACATAATATGCTTTTAATAAAAAGCTGTTATTTTGACATTACAAACAGACACTTCAATTTTATTTATCTGTATAGATTATTATCATCGATGTTAATAAAATTCTCCCTGCCCAAAAATGCAATATTTAAAATTGAAAAGTTTATATTATATTCTAGTCTATACTAATATGATACAGGTAAAGTTTGTGAATGGTCAGTTTGTGACGTTGTTGGGGGTAATCTCTGGATCTACTGAACCGATTTAGATGAAATTTGGTAAGAAGATAGTTTAAGACCCCGGGAAGGACATAGGATACTTTTATCTCGGAAATCATGTCTTAAGGGGGGTCAAAATGGGTATGAAGTTTTGTATTGGGAAACAAGCTAGGGACGAACCCGAGCGAAGCCAGGGTGAGTCGTTAGTTCATATTATATTTACATTATATTGTTATATACTTTTATATCATACGGTTGTGGCAGGTTCTTTTATTTCGAAAAAAAAAACATACCTGATTTAAATATTTCCCTGCATAAAACGTATTATATCCGGCATCTTTTAAGGCCGAAGCAAATGTTTGTGATTCTAACTTTCTCCACGTCCGACTATAGCAACCCCCATTGATGCTGTTATTCCATGTCATGTGATTGTGCACATGAAGCCCGGTGAGGAAGCTGGCACGGCTCGGACAGCAAATCGGTGATGTAACGAACTTTATATTAAAGAAATATATTTTTTTAAACTAAAGACATTTATGATTGTTCATTGTCATAAAATGAAATCTGTATGTTACAAAATATAAAAATATTATTCTTTACAGCGCAGCAGTTTCGTATATAAATGATATTTTTTAAGGTTTTAAATGGCTTTAAAAATGACTTAGTATTTTCATCTTTTTCTTGCAGTAATGTATACTACTGTATACAGAATAAATCATTAAAATAAATTACTTTTTATTTTAAAATAAACAATACGTCAACTTCAGAAAAATGCTTTATAAGCTTGATACAATTATTATAAGTTTAATATTTAATTTACTTAAAACTTGATACAAGATGGCTCTACTCCTAAACTCTTACAGCTACAGGGCTGCTAAACTCTTAACTAACTCTTAACTGCTCGTCTAAACTTTAAACAAAAAAAACCTTTTTTGTTTTTTTTTTCGATTTATGCTTAAATAACGATTAAATAAAGCGTTGTAGGTACAAATAAGTTAATAATAGATATTCACTAGGTAAATAAAAAGTTCTACTTGTTCGAATGAATGGTAAAAGCGTTAAATTAAATTACAGTTTAAATAGGTAATCGCATAGGTTTTTACAGTAATTTAACGTATTAATAATAATTAACCACGGTCATCCAAGATTAAAAAAAAACAGATAAGTCCGAGCCGAACTTATTAACCGAAGGATTCCTATCACCAAACATATTATATAGTGTTATGTTTTAGTCTACTTAATTTTTAGGGTAAAAGACAAGATAGAAATAAAATATTTACGAATAAATATTTTTAATTCCGTTGACAGTACATATTTGCGAAGTACCCGAATTACACACAATGTTTAATGTTAACAGCTTTATAAGCATACTTATGGCCTATGAGTTATACCTCAGAAACTACCTACTGACTTTTATTATGAAAGTTGTTCAGAAACATCTAACGCACGCTTGTTACTCAAAATCTCACTAATCACTTGAAATCCTAAAATAAAAAAATAGGAATGACACGTATGTAGTAGGTACCTACCTACTATATTTACTTATTTCTTTTATTTTTCATAATTTAACTTCAATATTGTGTCTATCGGTTCACACTAGCCATCTCGGGTCTTCCTATCAAATTTCAGATAGCATATCGTAAAAATAGTCTCTAGAGAAAAAATAGCTACGACATGAGCAAAACTAAATGATTTCTGTTTCGGCCACGGAACTCTGACTACGTATGAAAGAAAATAATGTTTGTTTGTAGCATATATATGAATACTAGCATTGCCCGCGGCTCCGCCCGCGTTCAGATGACCAAAAACCAAATTCTTAGGTTTTACATTTTAGTAGGTATATGTACTCTTAAATTAGTTTTTGTATTTTTTCTCAGAAACCACATATTTTCCCGCGGTCAAAAGTATCCTATAAGATGACCCGGATAATCAGCTATCACCACACGAAATTTCATCAAAATCGCTGGTGGTTTTTCTGTGATGCGGTATCAGACAGACAGATAGACAAAAATTCTAAAAACTATAGATTCGGCCTCTGTATTGATAATAATGTTTATTTCAATAAGGTTTTCCAAAAAATATCTAATGTACAGATTCGGCTTATTTACAATATATGTATAGATAATGATTTGCGGTCATTGAATTTATGGGACCTAAAATATTTTTAAAATAAATTAGACAGAAGAAATTAAAAACACGATTTTATATTTTATTCATTAAATTCTAACTAAAACCTATCATCCTTCATTAAATCCTAAGTAGCTTCTATGCACTTAAGGCTTTAGTTAATCTAAATATTGCAACTACCCACTTAGTATAGTATAATCTCAAATAAATTCTTCATATTGTTCATAGATTTTATTACATTCTTAATATAATTTCCAATGATAGGCTATTTTCGGCGGATTATTGCTAAAAACAAAAAATATTTCACATGTCACTTACAGAATTCTTAAAAGTTGTCCCTTCATTGCCAATGAAGCGTTGTACATTCTTCATAGGGCTCTGAAAAATTAAATAAAACAACTTCATTTCACTAATCTATTTATTTCTTACTCCCTTTATTTTGCTGTTTTACTAACCATACCACCCAACACAACATCTTGATCGTCGGTCAGTATGACGACAAAATTAGGTTTTATAATTTCACACACTGCGACTTGCAAGTATAACATAAACAGTAAATAACTTAGCATTTTGTTTTAATTTCTTATAAATTATCTCTATTGAGGAACAGCGGGCATCACTTCGAGGCCGGTGCACTCACTCGCGATTACAACTCCGACTGCGAAAAATCCGACGCTCTTCACGACTGACCTGAAAGATAAAATTCGATCAATAAACTCTAAAAGAAAACATGCGTAAGCTTAATATAAAAGTGGACGATAACTAAATTATAAATATCAACAAATTACTATTTGACTAGTGGTTAATTAAAAGATAAAACGAAAGAGTTGTATCTTATTCTGTATGAGCCAGTCCAATAACAAACCCGGGCTAAAGCGTAATTTTAATGACTAAGATTTTTAATCGCTGAAAAATGAAATAAAAAAAAAATTAACGGTAAAATTTTATAAAATGCGACATTTATGAAAACGTTTTTTCAGTACCAACTGGCTGATAGTTCATTAATAGGTAAAATTGCGTAAACTTTTAGAACACATTATTTTCTTTCGCCTTTACTTGGCATATTTAAAAAAAAACTAAAATATACCTTTTAGAGATCAAATTATTATATTATCTATTGACTGTTATTCAAACTAATTTTCTGTTCCTGATTAGACCCCATATTACACTTTTGACTTTACTACACTTTAGAGTATAGATAGACGTTTGATGCGTCAGAATGTACATGTATAAAGCCCGAACCTCACTACAGTGCCAAACACAATTCATAGCCCGTTCTCGGTCTAATATCGGTCTGGTAAGTATTGTTATAGAAGAAATGTTGCGTGTTATTCACCCGAATCTTGACTCTTACCTACTGATGTGAGTATGAATGAACTAATTGTTTCTGGTACATAAAAATACTTTACCTAACCGATATCCGAACCGTACTTTACCGAACCGTATCGGCGCTATAGTGTGGATCGGGCCTTACTGTACTGTTACTGCACATTACAATTTACAACTTTCCTGCTATAACTATTAGATATCTAGATAGATATTAGGTTTTGGCATTGTATTCGCTCTTTTCAACACGCTTTTATTAACTTCATCTGTATATATCTATGTAACGGAATCCTTGAACGCGATTTTCACCTACTTCAAAACTTCAGATTGAACTGAGACTTTGCACATTTACCAAGGACTTATGACTACAATAATTTATAAAAAAATGGAAAATGAATTATACTTTAAAAAACTAAAAAACACTCTTTAATGATGAGCTGAACTAAAAAGTAAAGAATAATTGATTAACGAGAAAATTAATGTTATTGTGAAAAAAGCATGGGGTGGGGGGTAAAACATATACGAGTATGATTAACATTGTCCATCAATAGTATAAGATCATGGTTATAAACGCTAATGTTGTCCTGACTGATTTCGGCCACAGTGCCAATCTCACTGAGTCTAGCCAACAGGAGATATTATAACGCACTAGTGCACTCTCTACTTTTACTTTCAAAGTCTCCCATAAACACTAATGTGAAGTTAGAAAGATATGTTCTAAGATTATGCTCTTAGCTTATATGTCTCCAAGCCAAGATATTTCTAATTTTATTTTTATTTTATTTATTTAGGTACAGAAACAGAAAACAAATTAAAAAAAATTACATCTTCGTATTAAAAACTAAAAATATCATATTAAATTTGTTCTCCAATTATGTCTGTACACAACATTCAAATGAAAACATATAATAATTATATAAAGAAACTTAACCAAAAAAGTGAATTAATACAGTATGAGTCTGTGCATTTAAAGTAACGAGTACATAAGAAATATTAAAAAACAAAAACAAAATAATATTTACATTTCATGTGGAAAAAAAGACAAAGAAAAGAAAAAAAGATAAAGGAGAAGAAACAGAGAGAAAATATATGTTTATTATCGAAAATGTAAAGTAAGAACTATAATTTATTTAATTTTTTCTTGAACGATAATAAACTATTATTAAAAATGTCGTATTCATCATTTAATCTATTGTATGTTTTACACATTCTGTGTAAAGGGTTGTTCTGGGAAACGTTATTAGTTGCCGAAGGTATATTAAAAAGTTGTGGCTGACGAATCGAGTGAGTATGAATTTTAAATTCCAGTTTTTCTAGTAATTTACTGTTGAAATCGCCATTGGCTATTTTATGGAGGATACATAAATCTGATATAACACGCCGATCTTCCAGGCTTTTTAGTTTGTATTTATGAAGTCTGTCAGTGTAAGTTGGTAATTCACGCCTGAGACCTTGCCGCCTGCTTAATATTTTTAGAAATTTACGTTGTATAGCCTCGATTCTGTTAATATGAATATCATATATTGGTTTCCATACGGAAGAGCAGTATTCAAGTATGCTTCTTACTATAGTGACATACAAAACTATCCATGAGATTGAATTTTTGAAAGGTTGGGCAGTTCGGATGATAAAACCGAGTGATCTATTTGCTTTACTTGTAATGTAATCTATATGAGGCCTAAAAGATAAGGTTGAATCAAATATAACACCTAGGTCCCGTACTACTTTGACTCTAGAAATAACGGTACCTGCTATGTTGTAGTCAAACGATATTGGAGCTTTATTTTTTGTAAATGAAATGATATAACATTTATTTTTATTAAGCTCCAACAAATTTTCATCACACCACATTCGGATAGAGTCGAGATCACGCTGAAGAATTTTACAATCTTCTCTTTTAGTGACTTGGAAAAAGATTTTTATATCATCAGCATATGCGAGGCATTCACTATTTATCAAAGACAGTAGGTCATTGATAAATATCAAAAATAACAAAGGGCCTAAAATAGATCCTTGTGGTACACCAGAGGTGGCTAGAAATGGAAATGATTCATACCCGTATAGAGCTACTAATTGAGAACGGCTATCCAGATAAGAGCATAGCCAACGATAAAGATTACCATGTATGCCCAGATGGCTAGCCTTAGATAATAGTATTGATATATAGTATTTATATGTATGACATGAGTTCTACTTTAATTAAAATTCTTGAAAGTCTATTAAATAATATTTTTTAAAAGCCAAAATAGAAAAAAGTAATACTAGTTTTCCTTTTCAAATCTGTATGTTTCATTTCTTAAGAATCCCTTACTGAAGATATTATGACAGAGATTATAAAGTATAAACTTTTACTATAACAATTATTGAAATTAGTCTATTCGTCATATTAACATTGTCCATCGATAAGTAATATTTTTAACAAGAAAACAACAGTTGCAATACTATTACACATAATATATCTATGTAAGTATTATTTGTTTTTTAATAATAAAAATAGTAGCATGGTTCCCTAAAGTTTAAACATATACAACATGAATGAATAATTAATGAAGTACTGCAGGTTAAAAAACTAACAATTTTAAAAATAATAAATTAGTGTGTCTATTCCATGGACGAATTAGAGACTGGACCTGACATAAAATACAAATGTATGAAAACTAGTTCAACCAAGTGACGCATAACGCTCACAAATATTTTATTACATTATTATAAACACTGATACACAATACAATATTTCTAGTGCTTGAACGTAATCGATAAAATACATATATTGATGAACCAATGAATGACATTTGGTTAGCATAGTCATCATATTTTACATCTTTTAATTTAAAATATCTGTAGTTATTATAATAAATTAAAATAAATGAATTAAAGAGGCAATAATAATGTGTCAAATAATAATTATTTTTTAATTTTATTTATATAAATACGATGGCAATGATGGCAACATTCTGTTGGCCTATAATAATGTTAATGAACAAATGAATATCGGGTGTATATTCCATTAATATATAATAAATATTATTTTGTAAAGATTAAAAAAATATTAAGCTAATTTAATTAAATAAAGTGATTTTGTTGATTCTGTTATTGAACTATTTTAATTGGCAATTGATTGTCTCGGGTAGTTATAAAAATGTGACACTGTCCTAATATTGCTCAGTTCTTAATAAACATTTGTGAAATTAGGAAAAAGAAAAAGTGATTGTAAATTGTGAAAAAGTGAGTGTTGGATCGTGAAAGTAAAATATTAGTGCAAGTGTAAAAGTGTTTTATTACAAATCGCCAACTCAGAAGTTTAGTGCTAAAACATTATTGTTTGATTTTGTGTAATTTATGTGTTGAAATAAAATGATCTTTATTATTATTACAATGGAATAATATTCCAAAGTATATAAATGTGGTATAAAATAAAATAAAAAATTAAGTTCACATACTAATTATAATTTTTGCATTTATATTTTTATTTGATTTAGAAAATATTTTTATAAATTTATTGTCATCAGATTGTAGGATACTGTGATAAAAGTATTTTATGTTATTGTACTGTACAAATAACACAATTCGTTCAGTTATTTCGTCAAATATCAATATATTTTTCGACATTGTCAAGCACTAGTCGATGTCAAATGGACTCACTCGACAGTTTTGTCATTTGTTCTGAATGGTATAATCCAGCCATTTTATGATGGTTGTCAGATGTTAACAATACATAGAAATATCGACTATATTTAACATAGTTGGATAATATGACATTTTATTTTACATTTAATTAAATTTTGTGATAAATAACAATAAATGTAATAAAATAATGTATTTACAAGTGAAAAGAAATAGTGCCGCTTCCTCCATTATAGTTTTTACACCATTTAACCGAACATTTAGTCATTTTTGGGAGATGTTTTGTTGACAAGTAAGTGCTTGAGACTAACACAAAAAACAAACGACTAAGGCTAAAATTTCCTGATTACTAACAAGACCAGTAAAGGTACGCCCGCTTATATGTCTGGTCCATTGGTTAATTCGTTCATGGTCTATTCATTTGATAATGATATGAATAAACATTCTGACAGACCAACGATAGTCGGACAAATAATTATTTCTTAATAATCCTATTAAAGGACAAATACCAATAGCCTTTAGTAATTGTGCTGTTGTCATTATTGAGAAGTATGGTGCTTTATTGCACAATTTTTTTTGGGATTAATGAATATTTTTCAAGGCCTAACCCCTAACGTGACTATGGTTTCTTTAAGACCCCATAATATAATCTCATAACTATTTGCACTATACCGTAGTTATAAAACAAGAACAGCTACCATTGTTGTAAAAGAATCATAAGATTTATTTTTCAGTATACAAAGTTTTATTTATTTTAATTTTATATTCTATTGATAAAAGTATAAACAATTATTTTACGCAACATGATATTTGTAGGTTATGTACTTACCATTTAAAAGGATCGTAGTAAAAATCCTTGATAAATGCTGCAAATCCCTTTTTGCCCATTATATTTATCACGACACCGTTCAAATTTCTAGACAGTAATCAACAATGAACAAGTGCCCTAAATTGCTATTGTCACTAAATATGTAGTAAATTTAAATTTTATTTTAATGAACAACGAAACTGAGTGATCAATTAAATATGAACCATGGATGACAAATAAAAATATGAACATAGATATGACAAATGACAATTGACAAATGAGTGACAATTGACAATCTTAAGGAGAAGTTATCTCCAAAGGTGGGCGCCACACGTATGGCCTATTTACATTCCGTCTGAGGTTAATGTGTAAAAAACAATGAAGCCGCAAAAACAGTAACGTTCAAAGGTATTGTTATTGAGCACTATACATTTTGACAAAAAAAACTATCAACTAATTTTGATCGGTACTTTTAACTTTACCTTTATTTCGTCTATGATGTGTATCAAACATGTGTACTATGTTTATCATAGATGAATAATAAAAAATGATTATGTCCAACAAATGTGTGTGCTGATAAAAAACCCAAAAAAAAAAGATTAAAGTATCCACTATCCACAGATGATAAAGTAAAAATAATCTATTCTCATCTCATCTAAGTTATGAGTTGAACTGTTTATGTTAAATCAGGTTATACCTACATCCCCCTCCTGCTTCTACTGCTGCTTCGGCACCGGCAGACCTCGTCGTCGGGACATCGCGTCGTAGTTGAGTGCATAAGCGATCCTGCGACGCCCCATTAATACGGGGGAGTTCTTGTTGGGTTTCATACTATTTGCGCTATAGCATGGTACGGGTGACAGTTTCAGTAAGGTTTCGTTTCATTCTTGAAAGTTGCCGCGATTTACAAATGTGAAATGGCGCAAACAGTTCATAGAGTATATTGCTACATATAAAAATAGTTGTAGTGAGTAGTACTCTGTTGTAGTCTGTACTGGCTTTTCTAGCTGGCGAATCCCACATAACCTGTATCCAGACCATCTACAGAAGGTATGCGTAAATGCATTTTCCAACATTACAAACCCATCATGTTTAAGTTTCGTTATCATCAAGAATAGTTCCTAGATAACTATAATCACTGCCATTGTTTTCAGATTTTGCCCTCCATACCCATTTAAAACAATATTTATTGTATGATTGTATCATGTTAAAATCTCCGTTTTTAAAACTAACCATTGTAAATTAGGTACTTACAATAAAACAAAATGAAGACATTTGTTGCCATTTCAAAAAATACTTATTATATCTGCGATAACTACATTATACCTACCAATTAGTATAACGTAAGCAGAAACGTATTCTAAATCTACTACTTTAGAGCATAAAATGTAATATTATTAAATGCTCTGTCTCTTTCACAACATATGCTGTGAGACAGTGTTAGTCATTCGAATCAATATTCAAGGCTGTATTATTACTCATTCTCTCCGTCTCGCCTCAATGTTGAGCCGGCGAATATTATTTGATTCTTGAAAATAGCACGAATTACTAAATAAATTTAATGTTAATATCATTGATTGTACAAGTGATACCAATACAATCAAGCCTGTAAGACTATAAACAAAACGAAGTTTAGGTAAGTTAGGTATTTTGTTTATTACAATAATACGTTTACTTATCTACTTTATTTTTTGGGGCGGGTAAGTCTAATTATATCTACTTTAGATCCTGTGTTCGATGATCTCATCATAAAATTATTTTTATCCAAGAATACTATTTTCCCTAAGAAGAAACATTTTTCAAACACAGCATTGAAAGATTTAACTATGTCGATTTATTAATAAAAAAATAAATATAACTTATGACTATTTCTCAATCTACAAATCTATCTAGTAATGTGTCGATCTTAAATTAATAACTATACTAACAATAAGTATGTACGCTTAATTTTGTAGAGACATACAAAAAATAGAATTACGTAAATCTAATATCAATTAAAAATATATATCTAACACTCAAGATTACTTGCCTATGTAGGAACTTAATGGAAAAATATTAATATTGTCATACTATACTGATGAAAATATAATACTTATATATATCAGTATAATATGCAACAATACTACTAGAGTTAGGCTTTATCATCTATACTACTGATAAATAAAATTGAAGTGTCTGTTTGTTATGTCAAAATAACAGCGTTTTACTAAATACATATGAAATTATATATTATACGGTACTTAAAAGAAAAACACAATTTTTAAAATTTTTGTCTGTCTGTTTGTTCTGGATAATCTTTGAAACGGCTGGACTGATTTTGACGGGACTTTCACTGTAAGATAGCTGATGTTATAGGAAGTAACATAGGCTACTTTTATTTTAGAAAAAAATTAGGGTTCCGCTCAAAAAAATTAAAACGTACCTAGTGACGAACCCGAGCGAAGCCAGTGTGAGTCGTTTGTGTTAAAATAAAAATATTGCAATTATCACAACTATTTAGAATTTTTATAAACTGTAAAATTAATAAAACACCGATAGATATATTAAAAATTATAATTCGTTTTATAGTAGTTCAAGAAAAAACTAGAAAACTTTAACTTGCCAAACTCAAGGAACTCAAATTCGAAGACTACCAGTATTCTCAGCTTCGTCATTGTATCAGCTCAACCAAATTATTATAGAGTTATTCAAGATGCACTCTTGCAGATTCAAATTAATTTCACTAGGATAATATCACCTCTCTAAAGTGTACTCTAGTTATATATACCTACATATAAAAGTGAAGTTAAAAAATGTATTGGAGAGTCATGAAAATTGATTAATCTAGTTTTTTCACCTTTAAATATAAAATATTTTTGGAAATTAACGACACGTTTGGCTCAGTTTGTAGTGATCCTACTTTTTGTACCAGCGGTCGCGGGTTCGGGTCCCGGTGGGGGTATTCATTTGTGTTATGAGCATGAATGTTTGTACTCCAGTCATGGGTGTTTATATTTACTCGTATAATATGTATGTATTTAAAGTTATAAATATATGTATTGTATCAACTATCTGGTATCCATAACACAAGCCTTGTAGCTTACCATGGAACTAGATGGTGCTGTATATGAATGTCCAAAAATATTAAAACAAAAAAAATTAAAGCATCGGTCCACTTTGGAGGTACATAAAACGTAATATTTATTTTAAAATACCCATAATTTACACTGGTATCGCGTGCTTAGGTACATTTAAATATATAAATAAAATTGATGATTTAATTATCTGTATGTAATATCAAAATAACAGTTTTTACTAAATGTATATGATAGTTTATACGGTAATTATAAGTATGACAACCGAATACACCCAAAATTCCTTTTTGAATTCGGTAAAATCTTTAATCGATTTAGTTTTATCATTACAAATTGTCAGAATTGACAACATAATGACCACTCTCATTAATGTTGTATAATCTAATTTCTATTTTAAAAATGGTAATTTTATAATAATTAGTAGAGCCAAAAACAAAACAATAAAGGAAACAACAATGAAAAGTTAATGGCGAGCTTATTATATTAATATTAGAGTTTTGTCGAACGTCATACTATTATTATAAACTTGGCAAATCTAATAAAAAAAAATTAACTTACTAATCAAAAAATATATGTTTCAGAACATAAAAATGGCGCCATTAGTAATAGAGGGCAGTACCTTAGGTCAGAAACACCGAAGCTACAATAATATTGTTAACGACGCAATAAAGGACAAACTCAATCAAGAAGTAGCAGACATTAATTATGAAGAATCAGACCTGGACAATCTCTTTAAAATAGATATAGCTTGCAAGAACCGGAATGTTGAGTACATTTTGAAGATACTAAAAGGCGCAGATATGCTCTACATATCTCGAGCTATTAAACGATCTACTTGGCTAATAACTGATCCACAGTACGCTTACATCGTTAACCCAACTTATTTATTTACTGAACTTTTTCCACAAATGACCTCCAAAGCTATTAATAAATTTATATTGCATATTAGATTGAACTTAAAAGATGAAAAACGTGTCGAAGAATTTTTTAACTACTATAAAGAACAAGATTTACAAACCGCTTTCAAATGGTTGCCTCATTGTTCTACTAAATTTATTGAAAATGTTATAGAAAAAAACGCTGACAATATACCAAATCGTCTATTAACACGCTTATGTGATAAATCAATATCGTTTCTAGTAATTTTCTTTAAACATTCAAAAAATTATTATAAGAATGAAATTTTGTCATCGACGATGTTTCTCTTGAGAAATAATGCCGAAAAGTATTTAGATATTGTAGAAGGAAACCTTGATAAAAATAATCATTATTTTAAGCCAAAATTTACTAAAATAATTATGACAAAATGTGGGGACAGAATAAAGAAAAATTTCGAACTATACGCCAATACCATTCACATACCTACTTTTGCTAAATTCATCAAAAAAGAAGAATCAAAAGATTTTATACTAAAACATATAAATAACGCGAAATTAAAGTCATTGTTTACATATGACAAAATAAAGCCATTAATCAATCGTTTACCTTTGGAAAACAGATTTGAATTAGTTAAGGAAATATTTATAGACAAAAAATATAAAGAGGAACAAAACGACGACGATGATATGGAATTTGAGGATGATATAGTGGGTTTCGGCGCAAGATTTGCTTGTTCAGCTATTGCAATTCCAAAAAAGAAAAATATATACTCCTGGTACCTCTATGCTCCCTTTAATACTGCTTTCGCACAATTAAAAAAAATCATCCATAAAGAATCTAATCCTACAGAAAGACTGGGCATGTTTGGAGTACTACTGTCATGTGCAAAAAATAACAAGCAAGATATATATACACTGCTTAAATATTATCGAGAAAATCATATAAACGAACCGTTTAAATTTAAAATCCAATTTGTAAATCATCTGCTCAGGACGACAACGATGCATACATTCGATAAAGTAGCTTGGGGATATCTGAACGATTTGTTCATTAGCATGGAGGTGTACACAGAATCTGGTAATCAGGAAAATGTACAATCTTGTATTAAGTCAATAATTCTGTACAAAGTAATTCATGATGAAGTGGTTCCAGAAATAATCGAAAAGAAATTTGAATTTGACACATGTAAAGAGTATGAGAAAAAAATCACACAAGAGGAAAATAAAAAGGTTTTTTCTTATCTGTTCAAACATATAACTTTAAAAATTGAACAGGACATAAAAGATCAAAAAAAGTTCACCGAGACTGCCGATGTATTGGAAAACATACTACGCCTTTTACTCGATTGGAAAAGGGAACTTCAAGATTTCCCTCAGATTCTTCAGAAAATCAAAGAAATTATCAACCTTAAAAGAGTAAATTCATGGGACTATGACATTACAAAATTATACAATATCAAAAAATCCTGGAGGAAACTCTTATTTGCCGAGTCAATTTTATTAAATCCTAATCAAGAAGCTTGCATCAATGCTCTTAAACACGGACCAGAAGTTTTAGAAACATACAAAACGGAAGTGGCAGTAATTTGTCTTAGTAACAACTTACACATAGATCAGTTCTTGAAGAAAATTAGGATATACTGGCCGGCCTCTTTACTAAACTATTATAAAACCATATTTTTCAATAATTTTAATCAAAGAATTAAGCATAAAGCTCTGACCAGTGGTCTGTGTACTTTACTTTCCCAAAATGAGCTCTTAAGCCTAGTAAATAAATATGTGCCAACAGAAGGAAAAATCGATTGGACTCAACATGACGAGATAGAACTCAGCTTACGCAAACACATAGCGACGAGGCTGCACTTAGCGAGACCCCAGCCCTCTCTCGCGATTGCTTTGTCGTATGCCAAAGGAGACTATGTTCAATATATATTGCCGTCATTAAATGCAATACTTTACAACATGAGCTGTAGCTACGCTAGCGAGAATATAAAAAAGCTTCTCGACGCACCAGTATCGTTGCAAAAACATGGTATACGCATTTCCTCCAAAAAACTAAAGAATAAAGAATTAACGCAATTATATTCTGATATCTGGAAATTGAACAAAAATAGTACTATACGATCTGTCTTGTTTTGTGAAACATTTAATATTCTCTGTAAAGAGCGGGACCAAGACACTATTAAAATTATATGGGAATTACTTAGCATGTTCATTGACAACTTGACTTCTGAAGAAAATCAAAATATATACAACAAACTCAGTAAAGTCCGAGAAGTTCCCGAGTGCGTTAGAGGAGAATTCTGGATGAAGAGTAATAAATTTTTAAATTCTTTACCTACGAACGATAATTGTAACACTCTAATAAAAGAGTTGCAGCATGCATTACCTGAAGTATTAGAATTTCTTGAAGATGACTTTATTACAGGAATGCTTCTGGAATCATTAGATAAAAAAATTAGCACCGGTAATTACGATCGTTCTGAATTGGTAGCTCATTTTATATGGTTGTCTAAGTCTGAAGACTTACAAATAAGGCGATATAAGAAAGTCTTAGTTCCCATTTTGGAACGTTCATTTGCCTTGTGGGATACGAAGCATCAGGACAAATATTTCGTAAGGTCTAATTTGCATAACATATGTAAATACTTTTGCACTTTATTTAATATAATGTTTTTAGATAAAAACATGAATATTCCTATAGCAGTTTTATCAGACATGATGGATAAAATTCAAAGTAATTTACCCCTGCATGAAAATTATGTATTGTTATTAAGACTTAAACTAACAATTACTATTTGTAAAATAGTCAGCAACGTTGTAAACACAAAAAAGGATATCATAGTTAAGATTAACCAATCTGTATTTCAGTCATATGATAAATGGCAACAGTTGTACAAGGAAGCCGCTCTTGACATCGGTAGGGATTGCGCGAAATATTTAAGGAATGACGTTCAAAGTATTTATCCTACAGTTTACAATGTTTTTGCAAAAGTTTTATACGACGTATGCACAGACTTACTTGTTGGTGTAATTAATATTTTACTTATTCAGAAAGCTATTCTTGAATCCAAAGATTTTGTCGAAGGGCATTTATTAGTACTTCAAATACTGCGAATGCAGGTATATTATCAAGATGAAGTTAAAAAACTTGAAACGGAATTACTGGACGAGATTCAAAAGCATCCTTCTGAAGAAGTAAAAATTCACTATTGGCATTATTGGCAAGAATACAAAATAAATAATAATTAAGTAATAATTTCCTGTTTGATCAAAAATATGTTTTTATATTAATAAAAGCAGTGGCATATTATTTTATTTTAATTCATAATCTTGAAATTTTACTACTGTTATCACATCTACATATTGTTAGTTATTTTTATAATAAAATAATACCTATGTATTCGTGGTTCAATGTCTATAAATGGTCTGGGTATTAATTACTAGCAACTCACCCTCGCTTCGCTCGGGTTAGTCCGTAGCTTGCTTCCCAATACAAACTTTTATCCCCATTTTCACCCCCTTAAGGGATGATTTTCATGATAAAAAGTATCTTATTTCCTTCCCAGAGTCTCAAACTATCTTCTTACCAAATTTCATCTAAATCGGTTCAGTAGATCCAGAGATTACCCCCTATAACGTCACACACTCACAAACGTTACCTCTTTAAAATAATAATATTATTAAATAATCTCTGCCTTGTGGTATAGACTATAGATCATAAATAATTATTAGTAAAAGGCATAGACTAAGTAGGCATGGAAAGGTAACGAAACCCAACTACTTATAATTAGGGTTGGATTTCGTACTATAATTATATAGTAATTTTACTACAATTTCATGCTTCGTACTATATACTATCCATATGTAAGGATAGTACAAAAAAATACTATAATTTCATTACTTTACATATGTATATGACCAATTTTGCCCTAGATTGCTTAAAATTTTCCCACGCTAATGCTGACAGTGAGAGAATATTGAGTAAATAGTGAAGTGTGAACCTTACTAAAACTAATTTAAGAAACAAACTGGCAGCACAATCCATATACAACCTTTTGTTAACTTCGTGTGTAAAATAACCTAAAGTTAAATTATTTAAGTTGGTACAAAGGTATATTGTATTTGTATTAATTTATTTTATAGGTGGTACTGTGGAATGACCTTTTTTCTTTGTTGTCCATTTTAAATATTGATTTGTATATTAAGATTTGATTTTGTATAATTTCAATGACCCAATGGTATAAAATAAGTTGAATTCTAGTATTGAAGAACTGATAAACTCTTAATGACTATGTTAAATTCAAAATAACAAAGTGTACTCTATTTTTTTTACAAATACTATCCTTTTAAATTTTTTTTGTACTATCTTTTTCAACGTACCTAAATCCAACCCTGCTTTTAATAAATGCGGCCAGCATCGGTACTATCAATGGTTAGTAATAATGTGGAAGACGGAAGTTGAAGAAAGTGTACATTGTTGATTGTACCTATAGTAATATCATCAACTAGTTTAGAGGGTTGATAGTCTTCCCATAATGGGGTTGTCCCGCTTGGGGCGGCCTCATGGTTGGTGGCTTTGGCCAACCGTCGGGGCGTCGCGGTTGTATGCGAAAGCGATCCCGTGGCGTCCCACATGGCGGCAGGGGGGGGGGGGGGAAGTTGGGTTTTAGTGGGTAGGCCGGTCTCATTAGCCGGAGAGTCTCCACATAACTACCCCGGGGGAAGTCGGGTGGTATCCGTAATAGGATTTCCCAACTATAAAAAAAAAAAAAAAATATCATCAACTAGTATCGTACCAAAATATTAACATAATAGCTGTTGCAAGCTTTTTAACCTTTCAACTTACTGGTATGCCAATACGTCACCTTAATAGTACTTATTTGTTCAAGCGACCAATACTTGTTGTAAATACTTTACAGTTGCAAAGCGTGCCAGCTGAGCACAGATCCAATGTCAGCTGAATGGGGAAGACACCAAGGAGATTGGTTTCAAAGAAATTTGTTGTTTATCTTCTATACTATAATAAAACTGTAGAGGTCGAATGTCTGTACATAAAAAAAAATGCAAAATACCTAGGCAGGGGGATGTAAGAAGACAAGTAGAACAAATCAGATTTTTTTCAATTTTTTTGTTTCTCTGTCTGTTTGTCTGTTTGTACGGGCTAATCTCCGAACCTATCGGACCGATTTAAATGAAATTTTGCATGGTGATATGTTATATCCCCGGTGAACATCTTAGATACTTTTTATTCCGGAAAATGAAAGAGTTCCTGTGGGATAGTTAAAAAACTATAGTAACTTATACAGCTTAGTACCTACACAAAAACTTATGCACCGAATTTAGTAAAATTTGGCATGGTGACCTTATATTGTCGGTCAAACAACAGGTTACTTTTTATCCCGGAAAATTAACGGTTCCCGTGGGATTGATCTGCTTGTGGCGAACCCGATCGAAGCGAGGGTGAGCTGTTAGTCTTATACATAATATAATAAAATTCTGATTCGAATATGTACATTAAACATTTTTTGAAATAGTAATTATCGATACAGAGGCCGAATCAAAAGTTTTTAAATTTTTTATCTGTCTGTTTGTCTGAGAACGCATCACTAAAAGTCCACTGGACAGATTTTGATGAAATTTGATAGCTGGTTATTCAGATCAACATATAGGATACTTTTTACTGCGGGAAAATATGTCATCTCTGATAAATCTATACTAAACCTTAAAACGTAACTAGGGATGAACCCGAGCGGAGCGAGGGTGAGTTGTTAGTTGGTTATATACATGGACTACAATTATATACGAGTTATATATCACAAACACAAATTACATAGAGTATGTAACCCTTTTTAACAAACTGTATAGAAATGTTACGCATATCCAGGGCTTCCAGGTAACAGTCGTTGATTTACCGGACCAATAAACCTCAAAATACCCGGTTTATCCCGCCGGCGTCAACCCTGAGCAGAATACCCAAAAATAGTTTTTTTTTAGTAATTTATTCATGTTTTTATATAGAATAAAAGAAGTCATTGTAATCAGTTTTCAATTATACAGCTTTTAATTATTAAATCAAACGTAAAAAACTTAAATTATCAAATTAATCAGCTAAATTAAAATACCTGGTTTGACCACGCTCAATGCAAATACTCATCAAAATTCAAAATTACCCGCCATCAAAAATCGCCTACAATTACCCGCCAATTGGCAGCGCTGCGCATATCATAAACTATATAGAGATGCTATGCATCAAAGAGAATGTGACCACTACGTTTTACTATGCATTTAATAAAAAACTCATTTCACATTCACCGAAAAAAAACGGAGAACAATTTTGCCATTTTCTCCTGCCAAATGTCTCCATCATTATGAACCTCGGTATACTTATTGTAAAGCTCTATAGTAGGGATAGAAGTTTTGTCATTTTATTTAAAATTTAATTAAAATGACAAATTGTGTAGTGCAAGGATGTAAAGAAAATGGATATCACTTGTTTTCAAAAGATGAAAAATGAAGAAACTGTGGGCTAAAGCAATAAGACGATCAAAATTGGCGAAATCACAATCTTTTTATTAGAGGCTATGTGAACATCATTTTACAGAAAGTGATTTTACCCCTTTACGGGATGAATTTCGAAAAAAATCGAATTAATATAATATTACCTATTTTTAGTAAGGTTCCGTACCAAAAGGGTAAAACGGGATCCTATTACTAAGACTCAGCTGTCCGTCCGTCTGTCTGTCTGTCTATCACCAGGCTGTATCTCAAGAACCGTAATAGTTAGACTGTTGAAGTTTTCACAGATGATGTACTTCTGTTTCCGGTTTAATAACAAATACTAAAAAACAGAATAAAATATTTAAGGGGGCTCCCATACAACAAACATGATTTTGTTTGCTCGTTTTTGCCCCGTATTAATAACGGTAACAGGAAGATGCTTGAAATATTCACAGAACATTTAGTTATATATTCACATTAAAAATAAATAATTAAATTAAAAAAATACAAATGTTTAAGTGGGGCTCCCATACAACAGGCATGATTTTTTATAGATAATGGTACGGAACTCTTCGTGCGCGAGTCCGACTTGCACTTGGCCGGTTTTTCATAAAGCTAAACACCACTTTCAATGTACTTAACAAGTTAACATTAAGAATGATAGAGTTCCATACAAAATTTTCAATCCCCTATTTTACCCACATAGGAGATGGATTTCGAAATATCATTTCTTATAGGAAGCCTAAATCATATATGGAATATGTCCTTCAAATATCAAGTTTCTATGACCAGCGGATTAGGCAGTGTGTTGATCCATCAGTCAGTCAGAACCACCGCAAGATGTACTTCTTCTTCTAAATTGTACTTTCTGCTAGTCTAACCTCCAGGTATAATACATTGCATAGGTAAGATGCGAACACAATAGAAGCAAAAAATCAGGTATAAAAGAGATATAATAATAAATTACATAACCTGACAATGTAAATAGATCATACGTGTAGTGCCATCCTTTCCAGTAATCTTTCCCATTGCTCGTTAATCAATGACCAAAAACAAAATAGATTCATTTTTAAATTCTGTGCCTGTGACTTAAAAGTTGAAACCTCTACTTAGTCTATGGATTTAGTTCGCTATCAATAGAGTACAGGGATGTATGTGTTTTTTAATATAAAATAGTTAATTAATTTTGTATTTTTTAAATATTGATCAAAATTATAGCCTCAAAATATATTTCTATTTTAACTTCTGTAACTGGATTAATTTTGCATGTAAGTATAATTTGCGTTATCACTTACTTTGTTAGGTTAGAAGTTGCATCAATTTCTGCTGACTGTCCCGAATGATCTTTAATAATTAAAATAAGGCTTATTATATTAGGGGCTGACAGTGGCTTTTTGTTTAGTAAATGCCTTAAAAGCGGAGCCTACATTTATGTTATTGTTCAAATGCATTATAGTGGGCATCGATAAAATCGATAATTTTGCAACTGTAATTACTAAAATTCATTAACTTATTGCTTAGAATCAATGTCACAATTTACGGTGAATAAGTCCTTAAAGTAAACTTTGTGACAACAACAGTATCCTTTTGTATCAGAACTTATAAAATCGTGTTCAAATTAATAGTTTATTTTGTTTATTTATAATATTCTTTATATTTATGTAAAAATATTTATTTGTGCTATTTATACTTTTTATATTATATGGTGGTATATTTAAAATAAAGAAGATCATATTAATAAAACTATTGATTGATTGATTTTAACATGAAGAATCAAAACAGTGTCATATAGATAGTGGATATTCAGAATAATGACCAAATTAGCTGGCACAAGGCGTGCACGCAACCAGGCTACGTCTTTAGCAATACCTCGTCCGAACTCTATAGCTGATAATGGCAAGAATCGTCAAAATTTAAGCCCAGAGGCACTGGCTTCTATGAATAAAGAACAACTGAGAGCAGAATGCAGAAAAAGAGGTCAACGGACTACTGGAAACAAAAATGAGCTGGTATCAAGTGCTTGCGAGTGTTTCTGCAGTGTTGTGCTAATTTTATTTTATGTATTTTGTACTTTTTATTTTTAAATAGCATATTAGATAGCCCAGATCATTTTGGATTTTTTTTGCTTGTAATATAAGTTATTTAATATAACATACACATTCATTTTAAAATATTGATAAATTTTTATTCTTAAATAACTTTATAAAGTTTGAAACCAGAGAAATGAATCCTTAGTAGTAATTGAAAATAATACTTACAGTTTGCTACAAATGCCTTAATGATGGACTGCCACTATTAATAGGCAAAAATTTGCTAATAGTAAAACAATTTAATAACTTTTATTTATTGCAACTATTAAGGGAATGGAAGTAGAATAATATCTTATTTATCATTTTCTTTAAAATCAGTTAACATAAAAAGTGTTTATTGTCTTTCAAAAGTTAAATGAAGTTAATCTTGTTCATTTAATTGATTAACTGTTATCCTAATATTTCTATAATATTCAAAAAATCAGGTTTCATCAAATTTTAAATATTTTTAGCTTGTGTCATTTTACATTTTGATATTAAATATATTTTTTCATTTTAGTAGGCAAGGCTTTTTCTTGTATTCTTTTTTTACAGTAGTAAATAAATTTATATTCTAAAATATTATTTAAGTATGTATTTAATAAATCTTTTCATGATTCTATATTATATGAAACAAAGTATAAATTTCTATCTTATATATAAAGTTGCTCATCCTGATTCACCAACCCAACAGCAAGAAGAAAATGTTTTAATGGATGAATAATTATTTTTATTAGTGACATTATTATTACATATATGTGTAGGATTTTTTTAAATTTAACATTTAGTTTAAAGTTTGTATGGAAAATAATATGAAAATATTACATTTGTCAGGAGTCTATATAAAAAATGTTGTCGCGCGAGCCGCTGGATCATTATTAATTTATTTGTTTCATACCACTTTCATGTGACAGGTACTTTGATAGCCCACATGTTAACCTAGTATATAATAATGTATAGGCCTCCTTTTATTGCAAGAGTTATTAACTATCAGGCCATAGTCCAACATGGGGCCAAGTATGGGCTAACAGACTTCACATGTCTTTCAAAAACATGCCTATGTTCTCTTGGACATGCAGGTTTCCTCGCGTGTTTTGCCTTAACCGTACGGCCGAAAATCCATATTGTTCAACAATACATAGCTACCGTCTTGATCAACTTCAGTGTGGATTTTTGTTTAGACTTTGCTCAATGCCCTCTACTCTGCTGTGTGCACTGCAAACCGCGATGCTACAATTTTGTCCCGGCATGAAGTCGTAACTGTTACTACTAATGTTACTATACTAATATTACGGTCAGTCTCATTGAGACCAGCCAACTGTGCAGGAGATATGCACTATAATAGCACAAGTGTACGCGCAGACACAAGTGCACTCTATTCCTGTCACTCATACTCCGGTGGGACGACACGAGACACGACCAGTGAGAGTTAAGGCGCAGGACCGACAGCTTTACGTGCTCTCCGAGGCACGGGGGTGAAACACCCCCAAACTTCCCAACTCCGGGCTGTTACTGAGACTTACTACACAGAAAGACTCAATAACTAAACATGGCTCGACCTGGCTCGAACCCAGGACCTCCAAGTGTGCAGCCGTACATGCTAGCCACTACACCACTGAGGCAGTTATCGCGGTCGCGGTCAATACAATTATATTAAACCTAGCTAGATAACGTATTTCTATACTAAAGTAAATAATCGCGTACTTCTTACAGTTGTACTCGTGTTATAGGCGTAGGAACGGACAAACAAAAGATTCAAATGATTAATAAACTATAATTGGACCCAGTTATGCAAAAAACAGCCATGTGCGTAAAAATACCAACAGAGTTATAAGCATTTTATTATAAAAAAATAACAATACTTATATAAATATTGTTAAATTTTAAAATAACCAGAAAATAAAACATAACCCAAGTGCTACTAACGACAGAAAAATGCTTATAACTCTGTTGGTACTTTTACGCACATGGCTGTTTTTTGCATAACTGGGTCTAATTATACATAGTTTAGATTAATAGATAAAAGAAACCTTCATCATTGAATTGCAGGTCACTAGACTGCGTTCGAGCCACGAGACGATCACGCCACATGCTCGTACTCTATTTCCGTAAATTATTATTTAAACAATTTAATATCGACTTTAACTTTGTACATTAAGAACTATAATATGTTAACACAAGTTGTTTTATTCATCTTATTCGAATTATACTTTACCTGTGAAGTAATAAGGCTTTATATAAAATGCATTTTGGTAACGAATTTGTCGTCTCGTCGTCATACTGTTAGTGGAATACGTTTAACACGTACGTGTTTGGATGAGTGCCACACCACTATCGTCAGCTGTTTGTATCGATTAATTAACGAGTTACGACTATCATGGCGTTATGTGGCGTTTGTCCGACTGGTACGGGTTCCAAAGAAACACGGCTTCAATACTTACCAAATTTATATTGACCATTTAAATATTCATCCGTGCTTTTTAAATAAAACTATCTTTTACTTTCCGTACTTGTTTCTTGAAACGTTAAACAGACAGTCCATAGTATATATTATGTATGTCTTAGACCTTATATCGTTACTAGAGAGTCTCTAGTAACCATATAAGGTCTAGTAGAGACCCTCGTTTCCCTACGGTTCGTCCGTGGCCTGTCAGTATTCTATGTGTCCAGGTCATAGTCTACCTATGTACCTACGAAATTTCCGATTCTAATCCCGGTTCTGATAGATCTTCGGAACTCGGGGCTCGGAACCGCTCAATTTTTAAAATGGTTTTCGTCATTGATCCCAAACCAAAACCTTTTAGTTCTTCAACCCGTTAGAACGAGGAAAACGGTTTTTGACGAATTTTGGCTCCGTGATCGATATTAATCGGTTAAAATTAACCGGATTATTTCGGTACCATAATCTAAACTTAATTTTTATCTAAGAATAATCGTCAACTAATCATTTTGGTTTAGTAAACCGTTTGCTTTTATTAACCGGTTAATGAAGGAGCTATGAATGAACCATTACATTACTGAAATTAAACCGTTTTTTAAGCCGGTTCCGAGCCCTGTTCAGAATACAGTGAATCGGTCGTAAAATTGATAAAAATGAATAAACATATAATGATCTACTTTAGATCTGAATCTTAAACTTATTCTTATTGTTTATTAATCATTTGTGAATTAATCAAAAATAAACAAAGAACTTCTTTTTATCCTGTATAATTGTACCTATCTTTTTACATCCGTAATATGCGCACGTATTGTGTGTTGCGCACTTTGTTTCTTTATCGTGACTGGCACAAAAATTAACGAAATGGGCATTAAACTAATATAATAATACCTTTGTGTCAGTAGGTAATTTTTTATTTGATTTGAGTATAGACGTCAGTAATACAGTAATATGGTACATTTATTACACGTTACGAAAACAATTTTTAGTTCCCTTTTGCGCCACGAAATGAGTGCGCGTATTTGTTAATTGGTCGCCCCTTTACAGCCCGCGATCATTCAACTTTTCTGCTTTTATTCATTTATGTCACATTTAAACCTAGTAAAACGTGTATAAAATAAACTGAAAATATTTGTAATTTTCACATTACCTTATTAAAAGATAAAAAGTATCTATTGTCTTATCGAATAGCTAACACTTTGTTAACAAAAATATTTGACCTTGATGTTGACGCCGACAATACATTGTCTAAAATATAAATGAGTGTACTCACTCGTACGCAATTAATTTCTACGGCAACGTCACTTTCCGTCTATAATTAGCAGACACTTTGTTGGCGACTCCAATAGCATATCGCAGTCTTCTTTCGTTTATTGTTCTACTTAGAAAATATTACTGATATATAGGTACATACATTGAAAGAAAATATAATTAAATCTAAAATAAGAAAAGATAATCATAATATTTTGGTTTATATTTTGTATTTATTTGGATTATACGACAGATTTGGTAACTGTATTAATAATATAAGTTATAAAACGCTATTTACAAAGTATAATCACAAGAAATATGCTAAAGAAGCTGAAACAATCAATTTCGTCCTAAAGTTTGAGACATCAATATTCACAATGCATGTTTAATCAAGGTCAATAGCCAGCATTTAAAATAATTAAATATCGGGGTTACAAAATAGAATAGGTGTATTCAAACGGTTACCTTTTCTGCTAACATTAGTTAAAAATAAACATACATGAACGTTTTACATATTGATTCAGTGTTACCTATTTGCTTTGATTCACTTTGCAATATGCGTAGAGAGTTGCATCACAGTTATTGCAAGTCCGAACCCTGAAAGTTTATACCCTTTTTGTCGAACAAAAAAATATATAATAGCTTTAAAGCAAAATTATTAAGCACCTTAATATTGTAGTCACGAGAGGCTTTTCCTTACTTTCACAAATTCTTACTATGGTTAGATAATTTATGAAAGTTAGCTCGCTATTACACTACGTAGACGGTTAAGTATTATTACGAAGTTTTATTTAAATTTCTTATCACTAAAACTACTTTGATAATGCTTATGATTGCTTATATTTCGTGACACGCCTTTACATAAGAAATGGGTAATTCATCTGTTAATTTCCATTAATTAATATTAATGCGAATTTAACCAAACTAACAATAACTATAATATTATTTTATAATAATAATCTCGCTCTCCGTGCTTGGCCTCTAACGAGAGTGAAATGAGGTTTGAAAGAGAGCGCATAACTGTTTTTGAAAGCGAAATGGTTGTGGTCTTCGCGTGATGTCACAGTTCACTCATTTAAGCGGTAGCACAAACGTGTTTCACGGTTTTCTTTAAACTTTTAAAAGTTATGTATAAATAAATTTTATGACTTTAAAATATAACAAGTTTTTGGTGAAGTTAAAAAAAATTGCGGTTTTTTTTAAATAATTAAACTGTAATTTTGCATAGTGATAACTAGGTAAGGTTCACTTAAACTGTGTTATGATTTAAACAAAAATACAAAATAAAAGTTAATGTTATGTAGGTATCTTATATTTTTTTATAATTATGATACATAATAATAATGCGCAAGATGTAAGTGTCACGAACATGATTCCCAGTTTTATTGGTTCTCACGAAAAATATTAGTTATTTTAAGAGTAGGCAGAGCTGGTATGTTTCAATCGCAGCGGCGAAGACTTTTTTTTTAAATTGAGCTGTAAATATAATATACGTATTACTTATTAGCTACTATAAAATCAATAAAGTAAATATTTTTAAACTAAAAGTTAGTCTACCCTCAGTTTTACAATGTATGGTCACGTATATATTTTAAAGGACATCCCTAACTTCGATCATAAATAGGATAAATAAAGAAACGCATGCATTTTCTATAGAATTTTAACACTTTTAAAATTAGCAAATGGCACGTTCAAGTAATTGCACTTACCTACATATTATTAAACTTAGTTGCATGACTTATTTTACTAGTAACTAGATCATTGTAATTATGTAATTATATATAAGAAATATGAAATGGAAATCTCTGTAAAATTATAGCTTATTTATGACAATTGAATATTGAAATAATCATGTTTTATCTCTGACTTCAAGTCATTATATCTGCTATATTTGAAAGTTAAAAATTAAAAAAAAACCTTTGAATTTGATAACAGTATATAAATAATTCATAATTAAATACACCTTATTTTAATGTAATTAGTAAATAATAATATACATTTATTTGTTTCGCAGCTCGCCCGTCTCGGGTATTACAAGCTGGCGGCGGCATCGGTAGTGCAAGTAGAGACCGAGCAACGCACGCGTAACGGATTGCACCATTCGCAACCGAAGGAAATCAAGTCAGTATTGAAGAACTGTTGCTTTTTTATAATCGTTTTGTTAATCATTTATGGTAATAAATTAAAAATGTTACATAATAAATTAATAATAATTAATTACTGTAAAATGCAAAGCTCTTCTTAGAGGAACCCTCTGTATGATATAGGCACGTACTATATATTTCAAAATATTAAAGCACACTAGCAAACCATATAATTTAGAGTTACCAGTCGTTCCGGGTCTACATTTCGATCCAAATCTTTACAGCGATCACAAACAGCTATTTTTTATATATCAAGATTACCCAAATAAAACATACCAATCTCATGCGCATGCTCAAAAATTGAGCATTCTTAATTGCTAACAATGTAACCGACTACTGCAACATGCATTTTCCAATTTCCCTACCAGAGAATATATTATGCGGTAGGTACATGAGTACAATGGATACAAGTAAAAAAGCAATAGGTTGCAGTAATTCACTGTTTTATTTCGTGGAATCTCAAGTTACCGGCGCAAACAATATAAGATAACAAATATAATGTACCTTAAAAAATACTGTTTTTGATTTACTCATATACCTATTAGATTTTGTCGCGGTTTTATTTTGATTTTGCTTTACAGCAAACCGGCGAATCTCCTCTGTTACTAGACTTACTATAAAGCTTTTGAAAGGTCGGGGCCAAAAAAATTGACATAAAACCACGTCAAAATCTGAGAAGCTGGATGAATTGAAAACTATTTGTGCGGCTCTGCACGCGTAGTATTGAATCTTTAAAGTTATAGCCTGTGTTACTCTGATTTATAAGCTAAATTACTGAAAAGTAACGTCAAAATCCGTTCAGTAGTTTTTGCGTCAAAGAGCGACAAACATCCATGCTCACAAACTTTCGCGTTTATAATATTACATAATAAGATGAATTAATTATATTGACAACGGCTAAGATATGTGTTTATATGTCACCCTGAAGATATTTAACTGACATTGTAAGTTGCTGGTTCCATTACTAGATACGGCAAATATTTATATTACAATATTTTCCCTGCCCTAAGGTTATATGCAGTGCTAGGATCTGCTCTGTATGTAACCTTTCATTACCTTAAATAACGAGTAATGAGCTCAAGTAGAAAAGCTCAGATTTACACTATCACTTTCTCACTCTATCATTTACGTAAGAGAAAGATGCTTTGAACAGCTTCCTTTTATCGCTTACATTTGTTTCAACATAAGTAAAATTTTAAATTGTCAATGGAAAGGGGCCCTTTTTTTAAAGGAACTCATTAATTTAGTTAGTTATCATGTAGATATAGGGCAATAATCTACAACGGGGGGACTGAACATGCCATCAATCAATAACACATACTCGGTTGAATTCATATTCATCATTCAAAAGTTTAATCATTATTAATATAGCGTAAATTTTGGCGACGTATGTATATCTGTACTAATATTATAAATGTAAAAGTTTTTGAGGATGTGTAGATGTGAGTCTCTTACTCTTTCATGCAAAAACTACTAAATGAATTTTAATTAAACTTTACAATAATAAAGCTCATACATTAGAATAACACATGGGCTACTTTTTATCGTGGAAAAATATACGGTTCCCCTGGGATAGATTTGTTGTTGTTTTTCTAGAGGCAAACTCGAGCAAAACGAGAGCGTGTTTCATATATTTAAAAAAAAATGTAACACAGCTTTTTGATTTGCGTATTAGTAAATACCTACATGTTGTAGATTTAAGTGACCCACGCACGTAAGAGGTTACGTTTATGATTCACATATAATCTATACTAATATTATAAAGAGGTAAAGTTTGTGATCTTGTGAGTTTGTGACGTTGTAGGGGGTAATCTTTGGATCTACTGAACCGATTTTTAAAATTCTTTTACCAATAGAAAGCCACGTTCTTTCTGAGTGTCATAGGCTATATATTAACCCGAAAAATGAAAAGACCTTTTCATGGTAGTCGGATTTGCAAAGTAAGTCGGAGAAAAAACGGTCGAACGAAAACGTTTCTTACGAACGCTGCATTAACGATGAGAGATATATGATTATGTTCTAGAGAAAAGTTGTAGAGCTTAATAATGCCTACAAAAAAGTCAACGACAGCATATGTCTAACTTTTATATTTAAGTCACAAAAAGTAGTTTTTTATATTAAAAAAATAATTTAAATCGGTAGGTCATGTTTATTGGTCATATTATCAACAATTATGAATTTTTATCAAAATAAATAAATTTATCGTCTAAAATGTTTAAAACAGACTTTTCCCTTTTACTGCATATAATTTGGACAAATGGTTAAAGAGATAATACAACATATTCGTAGGTATGGACGAACCCGAGCGAGCTGTTTGTCTGTTTTTCTCTTTTTACGGGCTAATCTCCGAATCTATTAAACCGATTTAAATGAAATTTTGCATGGTGGTACCTTATATCCCCGTGCAACATCTTAAATACTTTTCATCCCGGAAAATTAAAGAGTTCCCGTGGGATAGTTAAAAAACTATAACAACTTATACAGCTTAGTACACAAAAACTACTGATTGGATTTTAATGAAACTTTACAATAATATAGTTCACACATGACAAAAACAAATCAGCTACTTTTTATCCCGGAAAATTAAAGAGTTTTCGTGGGATAGCCAAAAAACTATAGTAACTTATACAGCTTAGTACACAAAAACTACTGATTGGATTTAGATGAAACTTTACAATAATATATATAGTTCATATATCAGAATAACAAATAGGTTACTTTTCATCCCGGAAAAATGAACGGTTACCGTGGGATAGATCTGTTTGTGCTTTTCTAGGGGTGAACCCGAGCGAAGCGAGGGTGAGCCGCTAGTTCATGATAAATCTGAAGATATTATCAGCAATTAGAAATAAAATATATAAATAAACTTTATTTATATTATATAATCAAACCCAATATCAAATAAAAGTAATTCAATCAGCAACTAATAACTATTTAACTCGACTTTGACGAATTGATAAGCCAAGAAATAACACGTCATTGAAATGTTAGTTTAAGATTGTCGTAAGTTACCTACAGCGATATTGAGCGAGACGTATGAAGTAAGTTTATTTTCTCTCAACCCACAGAACCAAAGTAGTACCAATGGATACAGACAGTCTTGTTCTTTGGAGGAAACCCCTCACGACGCTTGAATACTTTTTTCGAGAACTTATGATATTGTGTTCCACTGGACTACGAAGGTATGGACTTATTTAATTCATATGTTACCTTGTATTTATTTATTTTTTTTTATTATAAAATATTTGATTTTATTTCTATAGTATCATACATTAACGAATATTTTAAATATGAAAATAAAATATTAATAGATTTTTTATCTTGTTTTAGGTTACTAGCATACAGAGCACTTGCTTTAGCACTAATTTCTGTTGTCTCTGGCACAGGTGTATTATATTTTATTAATGGGCCACACCAGCCCTATGTACAGGTATGTAAGTTATATCTATGACTATTTTGAAATTAAGCTTTGATTTTATATTATTTGTTGTTTTTAAAGGGTTGAAAATAATATTATGGTATCTAATTAGTCTTCAGCTCTGAATTTTTCTTTTCTTGGGGAATATTATTTTTACAGTATATTATATTTAATAATTTAAATATAAACCATTACAAAAATATAAATGTGGTGTTGATATCAATACTAATATTGTTATTTTATTATATTTATATGTTTTATAACATTATATCTTTAACTATTTAAATGATATGAATTTCAGTTATTTTATGTTAAAATACAAAAATTATGAAGTTTATCTCATTACGTCAGAATATTATAAGAGCTCATGTGTGCGTGTGTATATGTGTTTGTTACTTCCACAGGCTAAACCTGTTAAACGGATTTGCATAAAATTTAGTAGTACAGGCAGATCTGGAATTACACATAGGCTATTGTAAGGCACCTAGGGAAACACACACGGGCGAAGAAATAGTAAAAAAAAAAAGACACAAATACGAATAGGGTAAAAAAGAAAAGACACACAAATACACATACGCATAAACTTTCGCATTAACTATTAGTATGCTAATTGCACATTAAAATATATTCCAGGAAGTAGTACTTACGCTAGCGTGGTGGGGATGGTGGGTGACGCTGGGCGTGTGCAGCTCGGTGGGTCTGGGCACCGGCCTGCACACCTTCCTGCTGTACCTGGGCCCGCACATAGCGCGCGTCACGCTCGCCGCGTACGAGTGCGGCGGTCTCAACTTCCCTTCGCCGCCCTATCCGAACGAGTGAGTTTTGTTTTATAATGTGGGTGAACGTAGAATGGGATTGTGAGTAGTGTTGGTTGTGAATTATTGTCTTTTTCAAGTTATACTTCTTTTGGCACGTTTGGAAAAAATATCAGAGTAAAATTTTTACGATGCGCGCTCACTCCGACAGCCAAAAAGCAACATGATGATTGATGAAGTTAGCTGAAAGCGACGTGATGAAATTATCTGCATTCCTTTTACAAACAGTTGTGACATACGGGATAAAATCTTTACCTATTTTTGTTCTGTTACGCCAAAGAAGTATAACTTCTTACGAGCGCACATAAGTACACACGCACACATTTTTTTATTAATTTGTGGGTCAATTTACAAGCAGCAAAAAAAGTGTTTTTCTTTAAGTTTTTTTGTCGGCCTGTATGTGTAGTACGTCATATTAATAGCCCTCAATAATTAATTATAATCTGATAAGTGAAACATTATTTCGAAGATTTTCAAGGACGAAACAATTTATTCACATAATTATGAACACATTAACTTTTGTTTTACTTTTAAAAACTATCTAGAAGAACTGAATTTAACGTGTTTGATAAAATAAAATTTTGCTTAATTAATTTAAGAGTTAATTTTATTTAAACTTTCAATTTCAGTATAATTTGTCCAGCCGAAGTGGATCCCAAATACGTGGTGTCAATATGGAACATAATGGCCAAAGTACGGGTAGAGTGTATGATGTGGGGCGTCGGCACCGCGCTGGGGGAGCTGCCGCCATACTTCATGGCGAGGGCGGCGCGCCTTTCCGGCGGCGAGGTGGCGGAGCTCAGTGAGAAGGACGATTCTAGAACTGGCAGGTAATTGGTTGGCAATGTAGAATATATTGTATTCAGCCCCTTTTTTAACGTATCCGTCCGTCCCTTCAGTACGATTGTATAAGGCCATAGTCCACCATGTTGGCTGTGTGATTGGTGGACTTAACATGTCTTTCGAAAACTTGCTAGGTTCTCTCAGATAGGCAAGTTTCCTCACGATGTTTTCCTTCGATGTAAGACAAGTGGTAATCATGTTAAAAATGATCAAAAGAAAATATGTTCAGTATATTTATAAAACTTCATAATTCCAGGGCAAAAGTGATGATACAAAAGTTGGTACAGAGAGTAGGTTTCATGGGTATATTGGCGTGTGCCTCCATACCTAACCCGCTCTTCGACCTGGCCGGCCTCACTTGCGGACACTTCCTCGTGCCATTCTGGACTTTCTTCGGAGCAACACTATTGGGAAAAGCGGTTATTAAAATGCATATACAGAAGATGTTTGTTATTATTGCTTTCAACGAGAATCTTGTAGGGTGAGTGGTTTATTTTATTTGTTAGATAAATATTATAGATTTTTTCATAGAAATTAACTTTTAACTTTTATAGTTTTGGTGGAAAACTATTTTGATTTTTTTTTGTACTGTATGTCCAATATTCAGCATGTTTTATTTAGATTTAAATGGCCTGAGCGGTTCTTGATTAGAAACTAGCTATGAATTAATCCTCACTTATAAACATTTTATTACAAAAAATAACTTTTTTTTAATATTATGAAATTGTCCATTATAGTTAAACATTCAAATTAATAAAAGTTTTGCTTTTTTCATATAACATCTTTGTTTTTAATTTTTCGCAGACAATCATTAAAATGGGTAGGCAAAATACCGTACATTGGACCACAGCTGGAACATCCTCTGCTGGAGTTCCTAGAAAACCAAAAAGCTTATTTACACAAAAACGTCCCATCAACAGAGGCTCGGAGATCAATATTGTCGACGATACTAGAGAAATTCATTTTAGTAATGGTTTTATACTTCGTGGTATCTATAGTGAATGCGCTCGCGCAGAACTATAGCAAACGGATGGTCAAAAAGAAGGGCAAGAAGAAGGATTAGGATTTAAATAAGGACTGACGGCGGTCTTGGTATGTATTATATAAAAATCTATCAAAATATATCTTACAATTAATTATAAACTAATTTAGATTTTATTATCCTATTTCACTCACTAATTGTACAATTAGATGTTGTTTTAAAATTACAAAGTATAAAGTATTGATATAATTCTTATATATATATATATATATATATATATATATATATATATATATATATATATAATCTGATTCTCGGAGACGGCTCTGATATTTAAAAGAGCAACTGTTGAGTTTCTCGCCGGCTCTTCTCAGCAGATCTGCTTTCCGAGCCGGTGGTAGCTTCTTCACGAACTGACTATATAAATTAAATGGACAATAAAAAAGTGCTTATAATAAGTCTATTTGAATAAATTTTCATTTCATTTCACTATGACCTGGAGTAAAGTATATAGGCTACTAGGGGGGATAGGTTATTTATTTAGTTGCTAATAAAATATATTTTTTCTTCCAGCGCGGCGTCCGGAAGCCGTGCCCACGGCATAGGCGTCACCGTACAGTTGTGAAAGTTAAACGTTTACTCTATGGACGGTACGTGCTTGTAAATGCCTTAACTTAATTGGATATTTATTAGCGTAAGGTGATTTGTTTTCGGAAATGGATCGTTAAAAGATGAAGGGTATCTGCAATAAAAATGATATGTTGTTATATATGTAAAACTGTCAAAAAAATGTAAACATTTTATAAAATGCTTACATTTTTTTTGACAATTTTAATTTGAACTGAGTTGTTTATATATTTGGTGTTATAAAAATCTCTAAATTACGTTTAAAAGGCCCTTCATCTTTGAATATGCAGTTGGATATTAAAATAAAGTTTTTGTTTACCTCCTGCCTGAATATAATGTGAAAATTGTAATATAAATTGTTTCAAATAATATAATAAGAGTGTAATATAAAAATAAATGCTTAAACTATTCATGAAGCTTAAATTACGTAACCATTTGAAGGGTACAGGCAAAGTACAGGTCAGAATGTCCGAATGAATTGATTATGAGATAAAAGCAATTTAAAGTTTAGATATCTTAATATTTTTGTTCAGATCAAAGTATTCAGTAACTTTTAAATATGTACATTTTTGAACAAACCTCCATCTTTACTCATGGACATTCCCAGTTCTTTTCGCTTTGGGCATAGATGAAAACGTATTTTTAGCGACATCCGTTCAGTATTTGTAAAAATCATCACATAGATTTGTTACCTGTACAAAAAAAAATCAAAAATTGTGACATCCCTGTTCTTTGCCCGTACTCTTCGTTTGTTATTAACATAACCTTCACATCAGTTCTAAGAGAACTTAATTAATTATTTAATTTGAAGAAATGTATGTAATACATTAAGTGTTTTTTTTGTACAAAGTTATACTTCTTTTGGCACGTTTGGAAAAAAATATGAGAGTAAAATTTTTACGATGCGCGCGCACACCGACTGCCAAAAAGTGACATGATGAAGTTAGCTGCATTACTTTTACAAATAGAGTTGTGACATACGGGATGAAATCTTTAGCTATTTTTGTTCTGTTACGCCAAAGAAGTATAACTTCTTACGTGCGTACATAAGTACACACACGTATTTTTTTTAAATAAGTGAATCGGTTAAAAGTTTTAGTTCAATTCTATTATTGTCTAGTCTATACTAATGCTGTTAGTGTTTAGGACTATAGGGATATTGATTATATTATTGTATCCATTTACAATGTTAATATTTTAATATGTATTTTAATTAAAAACAAGATGGTAAACAAAAACAATATTTAAAACAAAATTATTCCCATAACGATAGCGGACACGCCGGCGTTACAGTTAACAATCGATTTCTTAGAAATTTAATTAATTTCTTAGAAATTGACCTGGAGGTGATATAATTGATTTTAAACACTTATTATTAGTTAATAGTTACCAAATAGCAAAGGTTGGTCTGATGTAAGAAATATCTTACATAAATGTATGTAATATATAATTTCTTGATGCAGATTAAAAATATCGATTTTTTTTCTCTAATTATATTTAAAATCAGGGTTTAATATAAAATCATAATTAAATCTACATTTAATTAACCCTCAATACGTCCTGAAAATGTAATATGAGAGTATTGTGTCTAAATTAAAAACTATATTTGAAATCGTTACTAAAATTCATCAAGAAGTGGATATAAGCCATTAAAATTCAACATTAATTTATTGTATATAAAATTTACATATTTTACAATTAAATTAACTTTTTAAATGTTTAGTAAATTTTTATAATATCTATTTTATTCAATTCCTTGATGATTCGTGACATTCGAATGATACGTAATGAGACTCGATTAAAAAAATATATATAAGGTAAGTTTCCTTTATAAGGATCACGTTTATACAAATACTTATAAATCGATTTTGATTTTGATTGAGGATGTAAATTGTAATAATCTGAAATGAAAGCATTGTGCAAGATTAATGTGTTGAGAAGTTTATTATTATTGTTTGACGCGAGAAGTTTGAAACGATTGTTAGGAACTGGACCTTATTGGGGAAACTTACCTTATGATTACATATATTATTGAAATAATTATTTTAATTGATTTCCAAATCAATAGGTATAGTATAATAATAATATTTAAAATAGTACATGAGTCATATATTGATATATTTAAGTGGTAGTTATTAAAGTTTAGCAGCTATCGCACGACAGTTGATATCTTGCCCACACTTGTATGATACAAATATTTTAGATGTAAACACTAGAGTAGATGTTTAACTTTTAACGCTCAAATGTGTATTTCAAGTAATGTGCTTAATATTCTGTTTCGTTTTAAGCGATGGTGCTTAAAATTGATTTTTTTTTTCAAAGGGAGAAGTATTCTATTTATACAGTTTTGTAAAAATATTTTATTATATTTATTTTATTTTATCTGTGCCCTATAGTCCTTTGACGATGTTACCATTATAGAACTTGCTTTATGCAAGAGACTGTGGCTAAGATCTAATAGAAAAATTTCTAATCTCACAGTATCTATCCTCTTTATTATCTTATTGCAGCTCTTAACATGTACTCAGCCCTTTTTAACGTCCCACTGCTGGGCACGAACCTCCCTTCAGTACGAGGGGGATCAGGCTACCACCACGCTGGCCAAGTGCGGGTTGGCGGAATTCACATGTCTTTCAAAAACTTGTTAGATTCTCTCAGACATGCAGATTTCCTCACGATGTTTTCCTTCACCGTAAGACAAGTGGTAATCACGTTAGAAATGATTCGCACATGAAAATATCAGAGGTGCGAGACTCGAGATTTGAATCCGCTTCACTCCGTTTTCCAAGTTAACATAATCAAATTCAATTATTAATCTATTATTGGTCTACTTAATAAAGACAAAAGAAAACTTAGTTAACCAATTTTCTCATTTATAATTTTATATATTTTTATATCATTAATATTTTTTTGGTAAAATAACCACATTTCAAGAGAGAATTAAACCTGTTAAACCATTTAGTAGGTTCTACCTTTTCATAGCCAGCAATAGTTTCATTATATTTAAAGTTTATAAACAGTTCAGTTGTTCAGTGTGCAGTGTGCACAGAGCAAAATAAAATGTTGTTTAGGTAATTTTAATATAATAAGAAATAGAAATTCTAAAGCTGATAATTCATAGAATGTGCCAAACATATAATTGGTTACCACTCAAAATGAAAGCTCTTGCGTATTAGGTTTGATTTAATAATGTGGCTATAATTTAATTATTAGCATACATTCTTCATATTATAATAGATTGAATATGAAAAAGGGTTCTTGAAAGATTAAAATTATTTTAGGTGGTATTTATATATATGTACTATATGTTGTTGGTATTTTTTTATTATGTTCTTATTCTATGTATAAAAGACATTTTTGTATTTAGCGTGCTTAGGTTTTAATTATATATGTAGCTAATTGAAGTCCAGTATTATGTATTTATATATAAATATTTTTATTTTAAGATTGTGTTTAAGTACTCTGCCTTGAGTTACTTATGATTAGACTCATTTTTCCTTAAGTATATCAGAGTTATTTTCCATGGCATATGTACGCTCGTTGGCATTCCTTAATATCTTAATGTGAATAATTTGTAGAAAATGTTCCTTTAAATGATTTTTTTTTTAATGTAAACGTTAGCAGGCACTATAAATTTCAGCACTAAATGTATTACTGGCAAGGTTTAGTTATTAGTAGCTACATAACATATTTTTCTCATGCATAAAATATAATTTTTTCGCAAACTTAATTATATTGTATCATTGTAAAGTGTTAGTTAATAATCATTTTAATTAAACATAAATATGTATGTATATAATATGTTTGATACATTCCATTTGGGTGCACAGTCAGTAAAATGTATTTCTGGAATGTTTAAACTTTTCACTATGATATTTTAGCCTCTTTTAGATTTATTAATTCAATATTAAAAAGCTTAATTACCTTTTTAGAGAGAGCCATCACGTCATTTATTTTATGTTGAATTAAATAACAGGGTTCATAGAATTCCTCATAAATATCTCAAATTGTATGGCGAGAGAGAAAATTCAAAGGACACCAATGAGATAACTATCGCAGTTTTATTCAATAATAAGATCACTATATATTATATCATTTTTAAAGTTATACTTCTTTTGGCACGTTTGGAAAAAAATATGAGAGTAAAATTTTTACGATGCGCGCGCACACCGACTGCCAAAAAGTGACATGATGAAGTTAGCTGCATTACTTTTACAAATAGAGTTGTGACATACGGGATGAAATCTTTAGCTATTTTTGTTCTGTTACGCCAAAGAAGTATAACTTGGTACGTGCGTACATAAGTACACGCGTTTTTTGAAGTGATTTTGTTATAAACTTGTAAATTGATTACGAACCATGTGTTTTGTAACAATATTAGTGTCATTAAAGTTTAGCTTATATAAAATTCAGTCCCGTGGAGTGGTACATTTAGTACAAAATCAGCTGTAAGATTATAAGTGTTTCACAAGTTTGAAGTTTTATAATCTGAAAGCAATAATAAAGAGTGGATATAAATATAAATTTAATTGTTTTATTTAAAAAAAAACTTTTTAACAAAAAAATAAAAACCGACTTCAAACAAAAGCACTAAAAAGTAAAAAATAACTGGTTTTCATTTACTATACATAACTAATCAAATATTTTCGAAGTCGGTGTGCTTTGCTTTGTATGGGCTGGCACCGATTTCGAAAATATTTGATTAGGTATGTATTTAATAGGTAGGCTTTAATTACTTAGCCAAAGCACATCGAGATGACGGATTGGTGTGATTTTTTGTGTGGTGATAGTTGGAGGGCTGAAGAGTGACAAATTTCCTTCCCCTCTTTTACCCTTATAAGGCATGAATTTCGAAAAAAAAAACAAATATATTTCTTATTTTTTATCATAAAGCTAAACATCGCTTATTGTGTATTTCATATTAAGAATGACAGTTTTATACAATCTTTAATCCCCTATTTTACCCACTTAGGCGATGAATTACGAAAAATCCTTTCTTATCGGATGTCTACATCATATAAGGAATACGTCCTCCAAATTTCACGTTTCTATGACCAGCGGTATATGCTTTGTGTTGATCCATCAGTCAGTCAGGACCACCACAGGACGCACCTCTCCTTCTCAATTCTTCCTTCAGCTAGTCTTACTTCCAGGTACAATACATTGCACAGGTAAGATGCGAACATAATCGAAGCAAAAAATTAGGTACAAAAGAGATATCATAATAAATTGCTTAGCCTCAGACTGAATGTAAATATATCAAGCGTATAGCGCCCTCTTTCCCCATTAATCTGAACCATAAAAGTAACCATATATATTATATTCTGTGATGTTATTTTTAACTGCTATGAACTCAAGTGACACCTGACAAGTGACAAGTCTCAAACTTCAAAGTCGATAATTAGTAACTTTAGAAATTGGGAGTAATTTCGTTATTTTAATTTTTACTATTCTTGCAATTAACTTAGATAAATTTACGACAATGCTACGAAGTATAACATCCACTATAATTCAAACTCGTAATGCGCAGCAGTTAGTTAAACCATTAGTAAATATAAATTGGGTAAAACCAGAGTATGTACCAGCATATAAACCAGAAAAATCTGGCGACTTAGAAGGTTTACCTGAGATACCTATTAATTCTCTGCCTGAAGAGTATAAATTAAGTAAAGAATTAAAAGAGTAAGTATTATTTATTTGTTTTATATATATAATTACTTACGATACCCAAATTTGTAGGTTATATTTATCAAAATTATTTTACTAACAATAACGTGAAGTTATAAACGTTATGTTATTTTATTATTATTGATTTTAATATTTTGTATTCAATTACTTTTTTAGTGCACCGGAATCGGTTAAAAAGATTTTTTCAGTAGAACATCTAGGTAAAAAAGAGTACAATGTTCTTGTAAAAAAAGTATTAGTAGACCGAGTGAGAAGGCATCAGTATGACAGCAACACTGCTGAATCTAGAAGTAAGTATTTCAATATATCATAAACCGTTTAGCAAGATAGCAGATAGATACAAATATAACCCACTGTGATGACTGTTGGATATTGATATGTGATTATTTTGTATGTTAATTCAATATTGTAGTATGATATGAACTGTTTAATTATAGTATTTTATTGTATTGTCATTATAATACTTTTAAATGTATTTCAGTTGCTAGAATCACAGGACACATTCGCTGTTTGCAGGATACTATGGAAAAATTTCCTAGAAATGTAAAAGCTAAGGTACTTTTCGTGATGTTTTAAAAGTCAAATGTGAAATTCTCTTTAACTTTTATATAGGATTATTTTAACAATAATTGCAGAATATTGAAATTATATTTCTTTTTTCATTTATTTTATTAAAATAATTTATATTTTGTTGATTCATAAAAAATAATTTAATTTTTAAATAAAATATTTGTCTTATTTTTCCAGCAAACTGTTCAAGAATTAATAGACAAGAGAAAAAAGTTATTAAAATACATGAGACAGTATGATTATAAGAAATTTGAATGGCTGCTGGAGAAGCTTAATTTAGAATACAAAGCACATCCTGAGTAAGTAGAAATAATACATCACTTATTTTAGTTTGTGTGTTTTAGCCGAGCTCTTTCTGTTTATTAAGTCTGAAAAGAATATTGATTGGAACAGTTTTCTTTAAGTGCACTCTCTAAACATTTAGATACAAATCAAAACAGTGTATGGCAAAAACATATAAAACTACAATAGTTTCAGAAATAAGTATTTAATACCATAAAGTGATTTTAAAACTCATTTTTTTGTCTGGGTAATGCTTAAATGACTATTTGAACTAAAAAATATTAATCATTATAAAAATACAGTACTTCATAATTTCAAGTGTCATTTGATTTCACTATTATGAGATAATATAAAATTAGGGTTACTAAAAATAAAATAAGTCTTGTAAAATAAAGTGTCTTTGTTTAATTTAAATGATTCTTATAAATACTATTCATATACTAATTTCTTTTGTATTATTAATCTTCAGTTCCTTCCATAAACTTACACGTAAAGAATCTCTACGTAAACTAACTGAGATGCATTGTGAAGATATTCGTCAAAAGAAACTGGCAGACTATAGAAATCTCTTAGAAAGCCAACAAGGTCCTTTCCTTCAACAAAAGCTTGACGCCTTGAAATTTATAAGAAGTGAACAAATTGAATTACAGTTACCAATAACGGTCACTGAACAAGATATTAAAAAAGTGGAAGAGCAGTATCAGGATTGGAAAATTAAGGATGATCTTAAACAGGAAGCTAAGAAAAAGAAGAAAAATTTACTTTTAGATTAAATATTTATTAGATTAGATCAGATATAGAAATAAAAGGCAGAACTATATAAAAAGATTTTTTATTTTAAAAGTAAAATTTATTGGGGACCATTCAAAATATGTAAATAATGACTATAATATATGTAATTTTATTTTATTAGACTTGATCAGTTTAACTTTCATTCCATCACTTTTTTGCATTCCATTCATTACTTTTTAACCAACTTCAAAAAAGTAGTTTATATGTTTTTTTCTTAACAATATTTATATAAATTATGCAAATAAAACCAAATGTATGTACTAGAATTCTGAATAATTTTATGGATGGCCTCTGATCAAATCCAGTTATTATATCAGTCAATTTGGACGGACAATTTACATAAATGCGTTTTTAGATCTAAAAATCCTTAAAGGAATATGAGTAGCTTAAAACTAGGGAAGACTAATATAATATTTTACATCTAGCTACAGTTCTCCACTTTTCTGACAATTTATCACTATTGCCTAGTTTTCTGTTATACAATCAAAATAATTTTAAAATATACATACCATTAAAGATTAAACATTTAAATTTCATTTATTTTATATTAAATGAGATTCAAATTATTTTTTTATTTAAAAAATGTTTAATTTACAAACAATCTTATAACAAAATTAATAAACAAATACCAATAATAATATGGCAAATATAAAAAAAAACGATCCAAGTAAAACAAGCAGTAGAAAAAATGTGACTTGAAAAAGAAAATTACTATTAAAATATAAAGTTTAGGCAAAATACATTATTAAGGATTAATCATATATAACCATTTTAATAAACACTGTTGAAACTTCATATTCAGCCATTTACAAAAATAAGTCTGAAGGTTTACGATGCATTAGCCGCTGATGTGCAACATCAAACTAGAATTTGTTCACTTATAGTAAATTAGCAATTATTTGTTTTGTAGAGGCTTAAAATGAAAAACAGACTTTATTATTGCTTTTAGGGTGATATGCCATTGGTCAAATAACTTGTCTAAGATTAATATAAAAGAATGGAATTCTTCGATGATTCATGTTACGCTAGCAACACAAAGGGGTTAATTTTTCTTATCCAGACAATTTTTTAAAGTAAATGAACAATAATATTGTTAGGAAATTTAATGAATTCATCTAATTTTTGGACACCATAAAACAAATAAATTTGACCAATGGCTAGTACAATCCAAAAATATATTTTAATTTAATATTATTAAAATAATACTTAACATTGTTAAATATCATTTTATACTCGGAGTGAAGTGACTTGAAAATCGATGTCGGGTCCTCGAAGGCGTACAATAGTGGCGAAGGCCGCACGTTTCTTATAATACCTATACAAATTCAGAAATAAGGCCTAATTTGGTATTTATAGTTTATCATTTGTTATTGTGTTAAAACGAGGGTTATTGAATGTAAATGTATGTATTCCGCTTTTTTTAACGTCCCATTGCTGGGCACGGGCCTCCTTTCAATACGAGGGGGATCAGGCCGCAGTCAACGCTGGCCAAGTGCGTGTTGCGGACTGAGCATGTCTTTCGAAAACTTGCTCATTAGCGTCCGGCAACTCAGCCGGGCGTGAAGCCAAGAGACATACTGGGAGGCGGCCCACTTCGGTGAGCAGTGCCATAGTACCATGCGGGTTGCTCCTGGTACTTCTTTAAAAGCGGACCTGCCGTCGAGACGTCGTGGTTGAAAAAAAGGGCATACCTATAGCGAGGTGGTGTGCGGCGCGCGCGCGTAGGCGGTGGGTATGAACCCGGAGCGCCGCGACTTGGGCGCGTGCGCCCACAGCCAGCCCTCCACCGTCTGCTGCGTGAGGTCCGCATACACCCACTCGCCGCGCTTCACCGACAGGTCGTCCGGCGCCTGCGCCTGGGCACACACATTACTCACTTTTTAAAATTTCGCCTTCCATTCATCCATACTTATTAGTTAATATTTTAAGTATAAATTCGAAAGAAACTCTGTTTGTCTGTATATTATCTTTTCACACTTAATCTGCGGAACCGATTTAGATAAAACTAGCGGCTCACCCTCGCGAAAACAAAAACAAAACTATCCCACTTTACGGGACAAACTTTTACGGGATAAAAAGTAGCCCATGTGTTATTCCAGACTATAATCTATACCTGTGCCTAATTTCATCCAGATCCGTTCAGCCTTTCTGGCGTGAAGGAGTAACAAACAATACGCACATTTGATATCTCAGGCTAAGCATCAAAGGTGAATTGGTAGTTTTTAGCTTTCTGTCAGCGGGCTGTATCACATGAAACTTAATAGAGTTGAAATTTTCACAGAGTGTTTATTTCTATTGCCGCTATAATAACAAATTAAAAAAACGAAAATGGCGATTTTGGAAATGGCCGCCACGCAAATAAAAAAAAACAATTAGTACAATGTACGATGGCACGGAACCCTTCGTGTGCAAATCCGACTCGCACTTGACCGGGGTTTTTTAATATAATAAACCCACCTTATAATCATACAGCATGACTAGCTCCGTGCCGTGGTAGCGCGCGTCGCCGTCGGGCGCGCCGGCCATGTTGCTCATGTTCATGTTGGGGGGCAAAAGCGGCGCGCTGGCCGGCGGCGGGTGCAGCGGCTGCGCCGTGTCTTGTTGTGTAGCTGGAGGAATAAATCTCAGTTAATATAAACTTCTTATACAAATACTAGCGACTCACCCGCGCTTTCCCTAGCTTGCTTCCCAATACAAACTTTCATCCCCATTTTCACTCCCTTAAGAGATGATTTCCGGGATAAAAAGAATTTTATGTCCTTTCCAGGGTCTCAAACTGTCTTCTCACCAAATTTCATCTAAATCGGTTCAGTAGATCCAGTGATTACCCCCTACAACGTCAGAAACTCGTAAACTTTACTTTACTCTTTATAATATTAAGCAAGGCAGTGGTAGCCTAGTGGCAACGCACTGGATTGATATTTTCATGTGCGAATCATTTTCAATTTCCATACGTGAATACCCCTTCTCTTATGGTGAAGGAAAACACGTGAGGACATTTGCGTGAATGAGAGAGCCTAGCAAGTTTTCAAAAGACACGTGAAGTATGCCAACTCGCACTTGACAAGCGTGGTGGACTATTGCCCTCTTATTGAAGAGAGACTTGTGCCCAGCAGTGAGACATTAAAAAAGGCTGGATACATACAATAAAAAGAGCATCTGGACCGAGTTTTGCTCGGTATAAACGCTCGTTCAGTACGTCATCAATTGGCGACAATACAATTACCATCAATAATATTATTTACGAGATTTAATTTAAAAAAAATAGTTATAAAAAATAAGAATTACCTATTATTTTAAATAAAACTATCTTTTCGGATTTTATCGCGGATTTATTTGTATTTTTGTTTCCCGACGTTTCGAATGTTTTACAGCATCCATGGTCACGGGAGAGACCAGTCAGTCAAATTCTTAATACTTTCTTAGATTTACGCGAATATTTGAATATTCGCGTAAATCTAAGAAAGTATTAAGAATTACCTAGTTATATTTTTTTTATTAGTGTAAAAAAAAGCGTACTTTCCGTAAAGACCCTATTAAGATAAACTTAAAAGCAAAACCTTATCGAAATGAAAAAAAAATTTGAAAAGAATGAGTCTTTTAATATTATAAGATGAAAGGTGACTTTTGTTTTGTTTCTATTTAGTATTTATAACATTCAATAAATACAAAAGGGACTTTTGTTACGAAAGCTCAAAGTTCTATTTTGGTATATTTGAACAGTTTCTAAGTTAGAAAAGCCTAATGACTGGACTAATTCGAATCTTTAGATTTAAGAGTTTTTGAATGTAGAGAATATTTTTTTATTGTTTAAAAAGTGCCTTTTGATAAAAAAAAACGAGTAGGTAGATATATACTGATTGAATAATTTTAAAGATAAAAAGTATTAAGAAAGCATTAATTTTTAAAGCTTACATAATGTTACTTTTTATATATGGACACAAAACTTATGAAACAATTAAATAGATATTATTTAACATACGTTGAACAACGGCGGGGTACACAAAACCCGATGGAATAAACCCTTCTTGACCGTCGCTCCTTACTATCCAGTACCAGTCCGGGTCTTCCCTATTGAGAACTGAAAGTGGAAAACAGTGGATTTAATTATTATATTTGTATTCATTTTGCTCTCTCTCTATAATATGGTTTTTGTATAAGCAAATAAGAAGACCTAATAGAAGATATTGGATACATCCTTTTTTACGAAATAGATCGAGAAATGGTTCGTTTGTACTGAATTACATATCCGTGTCCAGATCCATATGACTTAAGTTCTTTAAAATGTTTGGACTGCATGCTAAGATTTTTTTTACCTGTAACAAACTCCCCTCTTTCCACATCCACATCGTTTTCATCCCTCGCCGTGAACGTGTACAGCACCACAAATCGCCCAGACGGATCCTTACTGAAGGGGCAAGCTTCACCCTCGCTGCCCAACTCCGAGTGGCCGTCGTTAGTTGCACCGTCTGACAGCGATAGCCTGGAAATTGTACTAGGTTAGTAAAAACTATAAAGAATAATCTAAATCTTTGTTAGAACATGAAAGAACATTACAACTTAAGTTATGTATGATAGTGACTATTTCACTAAAAACTGTGTTGTAGCCAGTGACGCCCCACTTCCAGAAATTACATAATTAAATAAATATGTATATATATACATACATAACATTTTCTTATATTTATGTGTGTGCGTGTATGTGTGCATGTGTGCGTGCGCGTGTCTATGTGTGATTAGACTGAGTTTTTTTTAATAAATTTATTTAATATACAGAATAAATAAATTGTGATAATACTCAAGCTAACACAAAAGATGAACATATAAATTTTAAAGTTTAACTTTTATATAAATAGGCACTACTTTTTTCTCGTGACTCCACTCATGTAAGGTAGCCTACATGTTAATCCAGGATAAAATCTATATCCCCCCCAACGTGCGTTCACCTTGTCGTGGTGGGAGGGCTCAGTAGTGCCCGGCAACCCACCCGGTGCGAAGCCAAGAAAAGCACAGGGAGGTGGCCCACTTCGGTGGGCGGTGTACCATGCGGGTTGCTCTCCTGGTACTTCTCTGATAGCAGAGTGGACTTTGGAGCATCCCCAAGGTTGCTGTGGTCTGCTTCGGCAGACCTGCCGTCGGGGCATCGTAGTTGAATGCGTAAGCGATCCTGCGATGCCCCATTAAGACGGAGGAAGGTTTTGTTGGGATTTAGTGGGTAGTACTGGCTTTACCAGTGAGTCCCACACCTCGTGCGTAAATGCATTTCCCAACGTTAAAAAAAAAGGATAAAATCTATATGTATTACACATATAAAGCAAAATCTTTAGAGTTGTTTGTTAGTTTGAATTATGTTAGGTAAGTACATGCTACACATAAATAAATTACACGAACGGAGCCATGGACAACTGTTATATGGTTAACTCTATTTTGCATTTCACTCAAACCCGTTTTGCTATTACTGTATGAAAAAGTAGGAAACATACTAACAACTTCCGCATTTTTAAAAATATTAAGTGTGGAATAAGTTTTCTTAGACAGAAAACTACATAATTAGCTATAACACTTATAAGTTAATACAAATCTACTTACTGTGATACATCCCTATGAGCTAGGTCAGTGGGTGATCGACTTCTTGGAAGCTTTTTCTTCAAGTCGTGATGATCGCACGGAGCACAGTACGAGTGTGGTATGAAACCTTCTCTCCGGGAATCTGTCACTATTACATACACCCAATCGTTTTCTCGATATAACACATTCACTATTTGCCCTCTTTTTACCTAAAATGTTTGAACAACACATACTATATAATATACTAGAGACCTACCCTCGCTTCACTCGGGTGAGTCCCTGGGTATATTTTTAAGACATACAATTTTCTAGAACATTGTTTTGATAAATCTCTTAAGGTTTAGCCAGCGTTAGCCATATCTAAAGACAACTTGACCAAACCAGCTATTTTGTTCTCCCGTGGTATGAGAGATTTTCCTGTAGTAAAAGGTATCCTAAATGTTGACCTGAGTAATAAGTTATCCCTGCACAAAATTTAGTTAAAATCTGTTAAATACTTTTTGCAGGAAAAGCAAACAGACATATAGACAAACAGACAAAAAGTTAAACAACTATTGTTTTGGGGTCGGTATTCTGTACATAATATGTAATGGTTATTAGTCTTTTTTTTAATATTTCATGCACAGATTTCGCTTTGTTACTATGCTATATAATAACAAAGAAACAGTGTTTTTCATCAGCATTAGTAGTAGTTTCCTCTAGGAAGGACTGACTGTACTGACTTTCTTCAAATTAAATTGACAATTCAAAAGTACTTGTAAGCACTGTTGTTGTTCAAAAGCGAAATAGATTAAAATTAATTTTCACATTACTTATAAATATCAATCTTTCATTTGTTTATTGTTTGAATCCTAAGGCTGTGTTGGGATTCTATCTACCCCTGTAATATGTTGTGTCTGTTTCTTCATAGTATGCCTTTCCTTTTAAATATTTTATTAATGCAGATGTCTTAAGAGCTTTTTATTTTTGCTGTAGCATAAAAATGCTAACACAAATCAAAATTTAACACTGTAATATAATATGTTGACTTCAACTTAAAACTTAGGGTTTTAAATATAGAATAATATATCATTTGCTTGTTTTAAATTATAAACATTTTTTTCAAGAACAGTTTTATTCTGTAAATACATAAATAAATACCTTTTAATTTCTTCTTAAGAATGATAGCTTAAATAATTGTATTTTATTATAATTAAAAGCTTACCTCAAGTTCATCATCAACACATGGGGCAAAGTCATGCAGGACAACCATTTTTGAATCTGGACTTAATCCATGTTCCTTTTCTATGCCAACACGTACCAATGTTTCAATACTAGCTGATCCTGTGATGCGGCCCATACCAGGACTTAGTACAGAACTAGGCCTTGATAGTTCTTTATCAGAATCACCACTACTAGCTGTAATAAAGAGTAAAATTAATAATAATAGAGCTATATATTGCTATTAATAAATATTATAAATATGAGAGGGTATATATGTGATAGCTCTCCGAGTTATATGATTAATATTTATGTACAACAAGGTGTTTTTATAAATATATAGATAGATAGACATGTTTTAGACCATGAAAGCTTTTTGCATAATAAGCATATAATTTCAATGAATTTTTATAAAAAAATTTAAATGAGTTTAAAGATCTTAAGAAGACTGTTGGATATTATTCAAAGCAAGGTCTGGTTGCTACTCACTTGTAAATAATAAATAACTTTTAATATTACAATAACTTGTTGTTGTTTCTCTGTTCTTTTTTAAATAAATTTTAATTCTTATTAAGTTTTTCCATTTAGGTATACCAATTGTTAATAAAAGAAAGAATTTTTCTGAGAAAAAAGTAATAAAAAGAAGTAGTATAATTAGCACACCTAAGATTTTGACTAAAATGTACTGTCTATACAAATATTGATTTCATATATTAGAAACTAAAGGCGTTATATCTATAAAGAAATATGAATTAGTATTTTTTTTATTTATGATTATGTAGAAAGTTTGAGGTCATTGACTTGCAAAGTTTTCATACAAAAAGCTTAAAAGTAACTTACATTTCTTCTTTTTCCCCCTTCTTATCCTTACGGGACAAAGAAATGCCATAATGCTACACGAATTATACCATGTTCTTTTTAAAAAATATAAGAATAGATTATTTTCCTTAATTAGAAACAATTAAAATATAAAATTATTTTACACGATGTTTCTATTTGTCATTGAGCACAAATTATTCTTCATCTGTGGTTGCCTAAAGTTTACTCAATACACAGATTAAAAATAAAAACTTTATTTTACAGTAACATGACCATAAATATGTAATATAATATTTATATATTAGTATTGAAATAAATTATTATAAAATTAAGAAAAATATCGCTTAATATATTAACTACCTACGTTAAATAAATGTTTTTTTGTCTTAACTCTTATGGCGCGGCTACATTAGCACGCGAATATTCGTGTCGCGCTGGCGCGATAAAAACATCGTTTACGGGACACGGGTATACGCGATGCTCTTGTCTACATATAAGCAGTCAATGTGTTCGCCTATTTTGCGGCCGATGTAGGCGATAATTCTTGCGAAGTAAAATGGAAATTGTATTGTATTGGCGATAAATCATAATTATTATTTATTATTGTGCGAATACCGTTTAGATTTAGATGTGAGCTTATTTTTAATTCTAACCCACGCATCATATACCAAAATTTTTCATTTTGTGGTCGCGGTTACGAGGATCCCGTATAAATTATGATACTCTCCGTTTCATAAAATTCAATAAACTAATATTTTTTCCTTGCTCCAATCCATAATGTAGTTGCGTCGTCACTTTCCCGCCAAAATATCACACGTCCGTTCCGCTCAAAGTCTGAAACATAGAGTATATTGCTACATATATAAAGCCGGACTGCAACTCAAGTGGCGAAGTGTAGCCACGCAAGCGAATATTGTCGCGCTAAGACCCTTTGATGCGTGCCAGTTTTTCATGTTTTATTATTATTTGTTATATCTTCATCATCAGCAAGAATTGTACCTAGAAGCTCCTTTTTTGATTTCCAGTCAACGTCACTTCGGTCACACACATACATTAATACGTTAAAAAACCGTAACACTTACATTGCAGTTGTTGTATTTTTTCTCAGAAATGAGATATTTTTCCGCGATAATAAGTATCCTATTTGTTGACCCGGATAATCAGCTATGACCATACCAAATTTTATCAAAATCCGTCCATTAAGTAGTTTTTCTGTGATGCGGTAACAGACAGACAGACAGACAAAAATTCTAAAAACCATAGATTCGGCCTCTGTATCGATTATAATGTCTATTTCAATAAGATTTCCAAAAAATATTTAATGTACCGATTTGACTCAGAATTTTATTAATGTATAGATTAAGAGGCCTATCACAAAATGTACTGCGTTCTATGTATGATATTGAGTTCGAGCGGTAGACGCATCGCTGTTTCTAGCATTTTCTGCAGTTGTAATTACTTCTATGTAAAGTTTTTATAATAAATAATTAAAAAAAAGTATGTTATTACGTAGCTTTTGAACTGATGTGTATTCTGGTATAAATTTTACTTAATAAAATTAATTTTGTAATGATATAAGTATTTACAGCAAATTCTGAACTTTTTTAATAATTCTTAAAGATTTTGAAAAGGATTTTTTGGCACAAATTCAGAATTGGGGACTTGGCCCCTAGCGGAGTGGGTGGTATTTCTGGATAAGGGACGTGATAGGGAGTCGAAATGTTAAATAAAAATTGTCCGCGAACGTATGAGTAAAAAGTTATTGAGACTTAAAGTTACAACATTTCCATACATTTTCATATATTTCTTTACCACCATTCGGAGTGGGTGGTATTTTTAGATAGGGGAGGTGACAGAGAGTCAAAATATATTAAAAATATTTGGAGGAAACGTACGAGTAAAAAGTTATTGAGACTTAAAGTTATAACATATCTAACACATTTCCATACATTTCTTTACCTAAATAAGTGATTACAACAGATAAACATACCTTTAACGAATAGTACGCATCCTTTTTTATGTACATTACACATTTTCACAACAATTAATGCTTTATTGTATTTAATATTTTAATAATTTCACAACACAAACAAAATGATCTTACATTTTGACAAAAGCAAAACTGACACTTTGTTTTATATTACCGCTTAAATGACAACAGATTATATTTGATTATTTTTGCTTTTTCTGTTGGTAAAATATTAATATTAATAAATAAATAAATAAAAAGAAAAATATTATTTTCATTTCATAAATACATTTATGATTTTTTATCTGATTTATGTAAAATATATTGTTTTACAATTGTACATTTAGTAAAAAAAAACATTTTTTTATCTGTGAATATTTTTCAGTATTATTGGCGGGTGTTCTTAAAATACCGCGAAGTTTCATAATTTGTGACTCTGTGTATTTTCCATTAGTTATTAGTTTTTGTTAATTTTTATATACTTTCGTTTCTTGTTTTTGTTTTAATATTATTTTTATAGTTTTAAGTGTTCATAGTGTTAGTGTAAACAATTTATAAACGTGAGTAGACTATTTTTAAAATCTAAATGTATTATTTACTTTTGGTTTTTATTTTGCGACATCGTGGTTAGTTTAAGACATAGGTTATTTATTTATTATTCGTCATATCTTGGTTAGGTTAGGTTAGAACATTTAAGATTATTTATTTATTATTCCTCATATCTGGGTTAGGTTAGGTTAGAACATTTCCCGGGGCAGAGGCTGACTGCTACCGGGCGCGTCCCCCGGGTGGCGGATAGGGGAATGCCACTCGCGACTGTTCCCCCAGACAGGAGCTTGTGGTACCGGAGCAATCCGGCGCGGACCAACAGCCAGGAGGGGCAGGGGGAGCGGTGTCAGGAGGGCGCCGTCTCCTCCTTGGAGGTAGCGCGGTGTCTCCGGCCGTTTTGCGGTAGGAGGCGCTGCGCGGGCCGTGCTGCCGGGGCTAGCCCGTCGGTGCGGCGGCTGGAGCGGGGCCATTTCGGTGGTCCTGCGTCTGGCGTGGTTGTCGGCAGCCATCTTGGTCCGGAGGTGGGCCGACGGTAGGGGGGCCGCGGGGGAAGAGGAGTGTCGGTATGGCGATGCGCCGCTCGTCCCTATCTCCCGCGGCCTAGCGGGGCCACCACCGTTAGATGGTGGACGCGGTGGGGCTGCAGAGGAAGAGGAGTGTCGGTGTGTCGTTGCCGCTCTCCCTGTCCTCTGCAGCCGATTGGAGGTGGCCCACTTCGGTGGGCGGAGGTTGGTTTTGATGGGGCTGCTCCGGGTACCTCTCTGGTGTAGCAGAGTTGACTGTGGAGCAGCCCCATCGGTATGGTGGTCAGCCATTGGCAGACCTGCCGCCGGGGCGCCGTAGTAGTTATGCGCAAGCGATCCTGCGGCGTCCCATTAAGGCGGAGGGGAGGGGAATGTCGGGTTTTAGTGGGTAGTACCGGCTCTTCTAGCCGGTGAGCCCCACATAACCACCTGGGGGGGGAGGGGGGGTTTATCAGGTGGCATGCGTAAATGCATTTCCCGACAAAAAAAAAAAAAAAAAAAAAAAAAAAAAAAAAAGGTTAGAACATTTAAGATTATTTATTTATTATTCCTCATATCTGGGTTAGGTTAGGTTAGAACATTTAAGATTATTTTATTATTATTTCTCATATCTGGGTTAGGTTAGGTTAGAACAGTTCTCAGGGCAGTTGCTGGACTGCTACTGGGCGCGTCCCCCGGGTGGCGGATAGGGGAATGCCACCACACTGGTGGTACCGGTCTCGACCGGCGCGGACCAAAACCAGCAGGCATGGGCGTGCCTTTAGGGGTTTGTTAACCCCACGGCCTAAGGGAGCACACCCTGACAGAAAAGCGCGAGGTGGGGCGGGTCCGGCGGGTGCTTAATTGCGCAGCCGGACAAGCACCAGGGTGCACCCCCCCCTCAACTCGTAATCCCGGTTCCTGGTGTCGTTGATCACGTCTAGCGGCCGGGACTGGGACCGAGGGCCTTGGCTTTACCGCCCGGGCTGCGAGGAAGAAAACCTCTATAAAAAATTACCCCAATCCCAAGCGGAGAAGCAGCGCGAGGGGATGCATGGCCGATGGGATGATCGGTCCCTACTGCTTCCCCCGCCAGAGTACCGGCCGACACTCTGGGCGGGTTATTGAAGGCTTATCCGGGTGCAGGGGGCACCACACGGATGGACGGAGTATTTCCCCCATACTCGTGGGATCTAACTATGGAATCTTTAACTAATACAAAAAACCAAAACTTTGATGTGGAGCCTGTGACAGGCGGTGTGACGTATGAGCCAGTGTTTGGCGTGGTTGATTTGGCTTCGGAGGGAAGCGAATCGGATGGATGTTTTACAGACGCTTCGGTGGGGCGTAAGAGGCCCCAGAAGACTATGGCGATCTCGTCCAGCTCAGAGACTGAGACCGAAAAGACGGTCAGCGCCAGAAAGGCGAAGGCACGCAAAGGAGGAGGTAAACCAGGTACAGAAGGTACTGGTATCGCTCGTGCACGACGTGAGCTCAAGAGCATGGAGGAAGAGGCGAAAGAGGCGGAATTTGAGAGGCGCTTAAACCAGCGTACTTTTGTGAAGGCGGGCTCAAGCGCATCCAAGGTCCGTAAGGCTGGCACATCTGTGCCAACGGACTCTGAGGCGTCGGCGTCTGAGGCGCCGGCTCCGAGAGATCCGGCCGAGCTGACGGCCGATGAATTAAGGGCGCTCGCCAGCAGCAGCGTGGCAGCAGTGTACGAGGTGGCTCAGAAATCGGGCAATTTAAAGGGCACAATGGTCAAGATGCTCAAGGAGTCTGCCGCCACGCTGCAAAAGGTGGTGGAAGCCCTAGCGGGGCGCACGGTGGCGGAGGAGGTCCACCACCTCCAGAAGGACAACGCTCGCCTTCGTCGTGAGACGGAGGCTTTGAAGGCGGAGTTGAAGACGCACCGCAGGGAGTTCTGTGAACTCAGGAAGGAGTTGTCGGCGTCAAAGGCTGGTCCTTCTGATACCTACGCAGGAGACTGGTTGGAGGAGATCAGGGCGTCGATAGTCGCCTCAGTGGGGACACTTATTGACGCCCGTTTTGCCGGGATCGAAGAACGTCTTCTCCCGGCGAAGACAATGCGTCCCCCACTGACGGCGGACAGGCGTCGTGAAGCGGCTGCGCCAGTGGCTGCCCCGAGCCCTGCCCCGAGGTCTTCCCCTCCGAGGCAAGTGCCAGCGCCGGCTGAAGCCATGGATGTCGGGGGCTTTGCAGCCCAAGGAGGTAAAAAGAAAGGGAAGGGAAAGGGAAAAGGCAAGACCACGACGCCTGCGCGGCCACTTCCACCTGCACCAGTGGCTGCACCAGCCCCTCCTCCGCCGGTAGCTGGGCCGAGTCGCCCCGCTGACCCGGAAGGAGATACGTGGGCCACGGTGGTGAGGAAGAGTAAGGGGAAGGCGAAGAAGGCAGCTCCCCCTGCTTCTGCGCCTGTGGCGGCGAAGGCTCCAAAGCCCCCCCAGGCTAAGCCCAAAGTCCCCGCACAACCGCGCACTGCCGCGGTCATCATTACGGTCCCTCAGGAGGCCGCTGCGAAGGGCGTCTCCTACGCGAGGGTCCTGGAGAGGGCCCAGCAAAGCGTGGACCTGCGGGAGCTGGGCATCACGGGGGGCCTTTCTGTGAGAGTGGCGGCGACGGGGGCTCGGCTCCTGGAACTTCCCTCCACCGCTGCGCCAGAGGTGGCGGATAGGCTGGCGGACAAACTCCGCCAGGTCCTGGACGGGCTAGCGACTGTTTCGCGCCCCGCCAAGATGGCTGATCTCCGGGTCGATGGCCTGGACGATTCGGCCACAAAGGAGAAGGTGGCTGCGGCGGTCGCAAGTGCGGCCAACTGCTCCGAGGCCTCAATTAAAGTCGGGGAGATCCGCACGGGACGTGGTGGTGTGGGGTCGGTCGTGGTCAGGTGTCCGGCCACGGCTGCCAAGGTAGTGGTTGACTCTGGCAGGCTTCTCGTCGGCTGGAGCTCGGCCAAAGTGCAAGTCCTGGAGCAGCGCCCATTGCGCTGCTTCAGGTGCATGGGCATCGGCCACACCTGGCCGGTGTGCCCGTCCGGGATTGAGAGGGGCCGCCTCTGTTACCGCTGCGGCGGCGAGGGGCACCAGTCCGCGGACTGCAGCGCAAAGACTGTGCGCTGCGCCGTGTGCGCGGATGCGGGGCGCCCCTCGGGGCACATAATGGGCGGGGGCGACTGCCGCCCGCCCGTTACGAAGGGGAAGACGGCCCGACGGACCAGGGCCGCCCCCAGTGAGAGTAGCCGCCAGGCTGGGGAGGAAGCGCACATGTCCTCATAATGGTCGGACACCAGCGCTTCCTCCAAGCGAATGTGAACCACTCGGCCGGAGCGCAGGACCTTTTGCTGCAGTCCGTGGCCGAGTGGGAGATAGACCTGGCGGTGGCCTGCGAGCCCTATTTTGTCCCTCACCAACCGAACTGGGTGGGGGACCTAGAGGGCTCCGTGGCCATAGTGTCTGGGAGCAGCACCGGCCCCCGTCTCTCGGCAATCGAGAGGGGCCAGGGACTCGTCGTGGCAGGGTGGGGAGAGTACGCCATCGTTGCGGTGTACTTCTCCCCCAACCGCAGTCTGGCGGAGTTCGAGATCTTCCTCGACTCCGTCCGCGCTGCGGTCTGCAGGCAGTCGCCGAGGCCCACTATCGTCCTCGGCGACTTCAATGCCAAGTCCCTGGCCTGGGGGAATCCCACGTCGGACGCTCGAGGGCGGGAGGTTCAGACGTGGGCCCTACTCTCCGGTCTGTCCCTACTCAATGTGGGGACGGCGTTCACGTGTGTGCGGCAGCAGGGGGGGTCCGTGGTGGACCTAACGTTCGCCACCCCCGCTGTCGCACGCAACGTGATCAACTGGAGGGTAGAGGAGGAGGTGGAGACTCTATCGGATCATAACTATATCCGGTTTGAGATCTCCACCCGTCCGGTGCCGGTGGACCGCCCAAGGGGGCCCTCTCGAGCGTTCCCGAGATGGGCCCTGGGCCGGCTTGACACAGAGCTGGCCAGGGAGGCGGCCATCGTGGAAGTCTGGAGCTCCCAGGGGAGTGTGGTGGGCGCCAGCTCCGATGTGGAGGAGCTGGCTGGCCGCATCCGCGACGCCCTTACGAGGGTGTGCGATGCGGCCATGCCGCGTGTCAGGCGGTGGGACCGACGTCGCCGGAGTGTCTATTGGTGGTCGCCCGAGATCGCACAACTTCGGGCGACCTGCAATAGACACAGGAGGGCCTATGTGAGGTGTCGCAGGAGGAACGGCTTGGCCCCGGACTTGGAGAGCGAGCTGCGGGCGGTCTATCGGTCCGCAAAAAAGACCCTGCAGCTCGTGATCAGCCAAGCCAAGGCGGCGGCCCGCCAGGAATTGCTGGCGGGCCTGGATCGGGATCCGTGGGGGCGCCCGTACATCAGCGCGCGGAACAAGCTCCGCGCGCATGGCGCCCCGGTCACGGAGACCACGCCGCCCGACGTCCTCCTGCGACTGGTGGGAGGCCTGTTCCCGGAGTCCTCCGGGCACGTCCCCCCGGTGATGTGTCCTCCCTCACGCCATGAGGGAGTCGACGAATTCCCCCCTATCACCGAGGGGGAGATGGAACTGGCCCGCGGCAAACTGCGGGCCAAAAGGACGGCTCCGGGACCGGATGGTATTCCGGGGCGAGTTCTGTGCATCGCCCTAGAATACCTGGGAGGGGATCTTCGGGACCTCTTCAACGCCTGTCTTCGCGTTGGGCAGTTCCCGAAGATCTGGAAGGAGGGGTTGTTGTGCCTGTTGCCCAAGGAGGGTCGTCCTCTGGACTCCCCTTCGGCATACAGGCCGATCGTGATGCTGAGTGAGATGGGCAAGCTCTTCGAGAGAATTCTCGTTGCCCGTCTTACTCAGCATCTCGAGGAGGTGGGGCCGGGCCTTTCAGAGGCTCAGTTCGGGTTCAGGGCGGGTCGGTCGACCGTGGACGCCCTGAACGCCCTGAAGGTTCGGTCCTTGGCCGCGGTGGAGGAGGGAGACGTGCTTTTAGCCGTCTCATTGGACGTGGCCAACGCCTTCAACACCCTGCCGTTAGAGACGCTACGAGAGGCACTTCGGTACCATGAGGTGCCTCTCTATCTCCGGCGGGTGTTGGACGCGTACCTCCGCGACAGACAGGTCGTGTGGACGGGGGCAGATGGGGTGGTCGGTCGGCGACGTGTCGACTGCGGGGTTCCACAAGGGGCCGTTTTGGGCCCGATACTGTGGAACCTCGGGTATGACTGGCTCCTGCGTTGTCCGCTTCTCCCCGGGCTCGGTGTCATCGCTTATGCTGATGACACCCTCGTCACAGCCCGGGGGCGCTCTTACGAGGAGGCGGCACGCTTGGCCACAGTCGGCACCAACCTAGTCGTCGACCGTATAGGGATGCTGGGCCTGAGGGTCTCCGTCTCCAAAACGGAGGCCCTCCTTTTTCACGGCCCACGCAGGGGTGCCCCCCGCAACGCCTGTCTGCGGGTCCAGGGTAGGATGGTGGAGGTACGGGCCCAGATGAAATATCTGGGCCTGACCCTGGACGGACGCTGGACGTTTCGTGTCCATTTCGCCCAGCTCACCCCGAAACTGATCGGCGCCGCCTCGGCCCTCGGCAGACTTCTGCCGAATGTCGGGGGCCCTGGATCTCACTGCCGGCGGCTCTACGCCGGCATCGTGAGGTCCATGGCACTGTACGGTGCCCCCGTTTGGATGGACGCCCTCTCCGCACCGAACAGGGCCCAACTGCGCAAGGCGCAACGGGTCCTGGCGGTGAGGGCGATACGGGGATACCGTACGGTGTCCTTCACGGCGGCGACACTTCTGGCGGGCGATCCGCCCTGGGAACTCCAGGCGGAGGTGCTCGCCGAAGTTTATCAGTTTCGGGCGAGTGAGCGGGCTCGAGGGGAACGTCCAGCGCGGGAGGGAGTCGCTCGGATCAGGCGCCTAGCTGACGAGGCACTGATCCGGCGCTGGTGGGAAGACCTGGGGACTCCAGCGGCTGGCCTGGCGACGGTGGGGGCGGTTCGTCCGTTCCTGTCTATCTGGGTCAGGCGGCCACACGGCGTCCTGACGTTCAGGTTGACGCAGATGCTTACCGGGCACGGGTGCTTTGGTAAGTATCTGTGTCAAGTTGCGCGTCGGGAACCGTTGCCCGTATGCCACGAGTGTGGTGCGTCCGAGGACACCTCGCACCACACCCTCGCGGTATGCGCCGCTTGGGCTCCCCAGCGCCATGCCCTGATGGCGGTAGTGGGTGGAGACCTCTCCTTGCGAAGCGTGGTGGGGGCCATGCTACGCGATGAGAGGTCCTGGTCGGCGATGGTCTCCTTCAGCGAGGCCGTCATCTCACTGAAGGAGACGGCGGAGAGGGAACGCGAGGCTAACGCCTTAGCAGACCCTCTTCGTCGCCGTCGGCTGGGGGAGAGGAGGCGCCGGTACGCGCATCTTCTCCCGCCACCCTAGAGGAGCTACTGCGGGGGGGGGTCTCTCGTTGACTCCCCTGCACGTCATCGGGGCGGTCGGGATGCCCTGCGAACCGAGGGCATCCTGATTTAGGCGAGGCAGGCCCGCGGGGTACGGGCCGTCCGCAGGGGTGTTGCAGTGAATGCGCAAGCGATCCTGCACACCCCATTGCACTGCGGCGACGGGTTCCGCTGTGGGTTTTAGTGAGTAGGAGTCTCACAGTACCCTACCCATTGACGGCCGGTAGGGTCCCCATGATGGGTTTCCCCAGCGATAACAAAAAAAAAAAAAGGTTAGAACAGTTGCCACAACGCACGAGCCGAGCGAGCGAAGCGAGCGTGCCGCGGTAGCGGCCGGCGAGTGCCATAAATGACTAGAAAACTAGAAAATTCGAATTTCACGCAAAGTACAAATAAAGACAATCATCTGGAGATCATTTTGACAATTGAAAGTGACGTTTTGACTCCAAGTGTCTAAATGGTAGTAATGTCAAAATAATGTATGGAAATGTTGTAACTTTAAGTCTCAATAACTTTTTACTCATACGTTCGCGGACAATTTTTATTTAACATTTCGACTCCCTATCACGTCCCTTATCCAGAAATACCACCCACTCCGCTAGGGGCCAAGTCCCCAATTCTAAACGGCCGCCGATTTTTTTGTAGAAATCCAATACATATTTTCAAATTCCGAGGCCGCTAAAAACTTAACCACTACGAGTATATACGAGAAGCCGTTGCGCATATTATTAAAAACTTGCTTCTGAATTTTGGCTTTATTTTAATTAATAACGAAAATTTGCGAAAAGCGAGACCGCTACGAATTAGATTAATAGGTAACTATTCTCCACCATACAAGAAGTCAAAATTGTCGAAGAGTTTCAGTTTCTTTGAATAAGAACGTCAAAGGTGGGCATTAAATTGAAAAATCACGGTCATAATGTCATAATCCTCATAAGGTTTTGTGTAAATTGGCTGAAATATAACGATGATTGTTGAAGATGTCGGAAAAAATCATGCCGACTGGGAGCTTTATTGGTGTTCACCGCGTAAAGTAATAAAGTTATATGAAAACAATGTACTACAAAATTATTCCTCCTGAAAAGATCTTTCTATTAAACCGTAGCAACTAGCAACGGACGCAGCCGAGCGAAGCGAGGTTAAGTAGTCAGTAGTGACATAACTAGTGAGTTTAGAATTATATTATAAAGATGCGTTCAATTTACTTATGAAGGCTGTAGCGTGCCATTTGTTGACCTGCGGTAACTGTCGTCTTCTTTGTTATCTGTCGATATTTTATTATACTATTATTAATATACATTAATTGAATATGCAACCTTGACCGAAACAAATGATTAAAAAAAAGACTAGGGATTTTTATGTTTAATTTTTTCCGCGCGTTTTGTTCGAAAGCAAGAAAAGTCGGTCGGCGGTCCGTTCTGAGGCTGGCTAGACATGTATTGGATGTAATGTTAAATATTGTAAACCTTGCGGAATAAAAGGATAGAAACATAAAACATTTCGAAGTTTTATGAGAAATGTTGAACTTATATCCTCCTCCCGTGACAGCCCACGCTTATTTAAGTATTATTATTTACTAGCGACTCCACCCTCGCTTCGCTCGGGTTCGTCTCTAGCTTGCTTCCCAGCACAAACTTTCATCCCCATTTTTGCCCCCTTTGAGGATGATTTCCGGGATAAAAAGTATCCTATGTTCTTTCCAGGGTCTCAAACTGTCTTCTTACCAAATTTCATCTAAATCGGTTCCGTAAATCTAGAGATTACCCCCTACGACGTCACAAACTCACAAACTTTACCTCTTTATAATATTATAGTCTTATGTGAAAAGGAAAGTGTTGTTTTTACTATTGTTCAATTTTTTCTCTTTTCTAAAACTTTCCGTGGACCTTAAGGAATATACGAAAAAAAATTAGATGATTTGGTCGAGCCGTTCTAGAGTTTTGCGCTTAGCAACATTCATTTATTTTATATAGATTACTGGCGTATTTAAAGTTTGTGAGACTTAGGTACTACCTACATAACATAAATATTGACCATATTATTTATATCTCATATTTGAGGCGTTTACCTCGTTTAATATGACTAATTAAAGTCACTTAAATTTATATTGTTTTAAACTTTGCTATACCTATTTTACGCATTTTAGTACATGCATTTTTTTAAAGTTATTTCTGCAACTTACGAATTGTGTGTGTACTTATCGGGACGGGCGGGTAAGACTAAGAGGGCGGGTAAAATGAATAATCATTTTAAATCGCTGGTCGGTCGATAGAAACATTTTAGACTGCCATCTATCAATCCATCATATAACTTACCGTTATATTACCGTTATATACCGTTAACACTTACCGTTACCGATAAAGCATCGGTCTTGCATACTTGTGAGATTTTTTTATAAATATTGAAATTTAGGACAAAAATTAAAATTTAAGTAATTTAAGTATACAGTGATTATTTGAATGTTGTTAAGGACGATGCAGATTTTTTTTAATATATTATGTAATTATTAATTAATAAACATGAAATAATCAAGTAATTTTTTATTTTCATCGCTGTAATTTGTAATATAATTTAAGGATATGTTATAAAACTACAGACGGGCAAAACGGATACTTTCTGTTTTTTAATTAAGGTTTCATTTATTGACTTATATATTGTATTTAATTGATGTTCCAGGCCCGTCCGGTATCAAAAGACAACGATGAACAAAACAAACCTTGGAAAAATCTATGACATCTTACCTGTGTAGGTACCGTTTGCAAAGAAAAATATGTTGACCCGCCGAGAGCAGATTGGATACAATGCGGGATATGTCCAAGAGTGGACACATGAAGCCTGTTCTTCATATTCGGGACGCGTTTCATATTTTTGCGACGATTGTTTTGATTAAAATACGTTATCCTATTAGTATTCGTTTTGCCCGCCCTGGTAGGGCAAAACGGATAACATTGACTTTTTTTAATTTTAAATAAAAAATTCTTTATTTTTATTTTACTTTAATTATAAACTTCAATTACCCAAAAAATTATTGGCCAAAGTTAAGAATACATATGATTATAATATATATTTGTTATTTCATTTTTAAATTAACGTATCCGTGTCCATATTTTTGCCCTCCTTCCCCTATGTACGCAGGTAAGAAGTTATACTTCTTTGGCGTAACAGAACAAAAATAGCTAAAGATTTCATCCCGTATGTCACAACTCTCTGTTTGTAAAAGGAATGCAGCTAATTTCATCATGTCGCTTTTTGGTTGTCGGTGTGTTAAAATTTTACTCTCATATTTTTTTCCAAACGTGCCAAAAGAAGTATAACTTCAAAAATAGCCCCAGCCCCCAACGAAGCCTGAATTAGGACCGCCCAATATCTTCTTAGGGGATGGGTACTGTAATCTGTGTTATAATTAAAATAAGTTAACTAATTGTAAGTTACAATAACTGACGAATCCAATTAAACGAGATTGTAGAACTTTAGTTTTACTTTTATCTAACTATTAAATAAATCGAATTATTAACCACTTCGTTTCAACATTCAAATAGCCTGAAGTAAACTAAGGGTTTTTCCTAATTAGACTTATGTATTGATGTTAAAATGTATGATATTAAAATTATTTAACGTGACTCATTGGAAATAATTCTAAACTCTAATAAATGACAGTGTTGGATTGATATATTACTCATTTACAGTAATCGTTTAAGCGCTACAGACTTCCAGTATATCACAAACATGAAAATTTTATGTAGAGTGCTGATTTGTATACTTATAATAAAAGGCATCATAATGCGAATAGAAGGAAAGAAACAGTCTTCTGTCAGTAGTGACACTATTATATTTAAGGACAACGACTCTAAAGAAATAGCAAGTAGAGCATTCGAATTGACAACAGTTCCTCAACTTGATAATAGATTATTTATCTTTAGGTCAGGTTGTGCAATTGGTTATAAAAAAGTTGGTACATGGTGTTTTCCGAATAACCGGTAGTGCAACAAATAAGACTACAAAGAGCTAAAGATCTGAAGTATAGGAGGTAGGTGGTTATTTTATTTAAGCTTTGTGAAACTTAAGAAGGCTTTTTTGACGTTAGTGTTAAGGCATGTATGTACACTGAAGATTTTCACGTAAAAACAAATAGAGAGACGATAGATACCTACTTCGGTTCTTGTAACGACATAATATTAATGTGGGGTTATTTATATTTACCTATATATGTTATAGCTTATTTATAATACTACCTAAAGGATAATAACAAAATATATCGACAATAGAATAATTATTAACTACTAAATTACACAGTAAATTAGAGAAAAACGTCGAAAACGTATATTTACATCACAAAGTATAAATATTTATTGTTTTTTTTGGCATTTTGTTTCCAATGAGTCAGACACTATAAACATTTCTTTTACTTTCAGCAAATTTCAATCAATCCTAGTAAACGTTAATGGAAAAGGCCTGTAATATGCCACCCAAAATAGATGCAGAATTCATGTGAAATACATCGATCGTAATAACCGAGACGAGGCTTTCTCTTTCGAAGTGTTAAACCGGTGGGTTTTTATTTTTTTTTACAGCCATTTTTCGATTGTACTATTAGCATGTAAGTGATGAAACTGGTTATTTCTAAGGATACTTAAAATAAAATGTTTGATTTTTAACATTGAAAATTTTTCTTTGTCGCTTCGTTATAGGGTCTCAATATTCTTAATAAAAAGTACCTATCCAAATATTCCCTATGCGCATTATTTTATTTTACAGATCAAAATCCTTTTAGTACTTTTCGCGTTGTCCGCAAACAAATTAACACGTAGACATTTAAAAAAAATCTGTTTTCCGGCCTACATCGATAATAAGACGTCAAAAAATATTTAAAAAAAACAATTACTTAAAAAGTATAAGGACATATCTCACTAAGATTTTATTATTAGTAAGCATGATGACACAGATGACAGCAGACAAGATGTTCATAAAATATTTTGTATGTTTGTAATATTTTATACTATATGAATAATAAAAATAAACTGTCTACTCAGGCATTTAAACAATAATCAACAGGAACGTCACAATAGTCTTATCGCTCTGTATGTACCTAACTACCTACATATTGTTAAAATTTAATAATGCATTTATTTATAGCTTACATTTATGTACACTGCAAGTCATTGGCTAAAATAGTATTATTTCTGAAATCGCTAATTATGACATAAAAAAATTGTTTTGGTTTTCTTGTGCTTCCAAATGTATTTCGTAAATTTCATACCAAATGAGATCGCATCTCTCCACTTCTCTTGAGGCTGTAAAAAAGCTTTTGGAAAAGTTTGGAAAAAAGCTCTACATAAAAGTATCTATATTTTTTTTTTATTTTTCTCTCCAGATCAGTTCAAGTTGTAAAAATCTAAGGTATTTTTTTCATCTCTTAGTTACATGTAGAGAACGCTCCCAATATTATTCTCTTAATGATTTAAGTGAGTGCAGTATTTTTCAGCGGTTTACATGGGACACCTTCTACACTACTACACTTCTAGATCTAGCTATGCAGTACCAATAAAGAGTCTTTGAATAAAAACGCTGTAAATTACGGACAAACGAACAGACGGATATAATGAAATAATAATAGTTTAGTTATTACCTTTCGGTCTCAAAAGTCGGAACCCTGAAAAGCTTAATTAAAGTAAGACATCCATTGAGTAAGTTTTGGGCATCTCATTAGAATAAGATCTTGAGTAAAATTCAGTAGGTATATCAGATGCTCTGAGCTCTGAGCACAACTGTAACAGGTTATAATTTACACGACCCTTTTATTTCAGCTATTTTCTAAGCACAATGTTCTATTTGGCTATGAGGCAGTAGCTGAGATTTTCTAACGCCAAGCCAGGTGTTTTATGAATTCCCCCAACGTGCGTTCAACTTGTCCTGGTGGGGGGCTCTGTAGTGCCCGACAATCCAGCCGGGCGCGAAGCCAAGAAAGGCACAGGGAGGTGGCCCACTTCGGTGGTTGGTAGGAGGTGGCCCTCTTCTATGGGCGGTGTACCATGCGGGTTGCTCCTGGTACTTCTCTGATAGCAGAATATACCTTGGAGCAACCCCATGGTTGTTAAGGTCTGCTTCGGCAGACCTGCTGTCGGGGCGTCGTTGTTGAATGCGTAAGCGATCCTGCGACACCCTATTAAGACGGGGGAAGGTTTTGTTGGGTTTTCGTGGGTAGTACTGGCTTTGCCGGTGAGTCCCACACCTAGTGCGTAAATGCATATCTCAACGTTAAAAAAAGGTGTTTTATGATAATAATAATATATTATATAATATAAGATTAAAATATAGGTAGGTATTCTCCAATAAAAAAGAGATATTCTGGAAAAAAATATACTTTATATAATGTAATAATGATTAAACATACAGTATATTATAAGCAAATAGTATAACATAGTTTTGGCGCCAAGTATAAATATAAAAACTTTTTTAAGCTTTTACAGAAAATCTCATAAAAATGGTCTAATAATATGAAATAAATTGTAATATTGATATCTGCAATGTTAAGTATTTGGAATAGATTTTAATTTTCTTAGTTTGTAATAAAAAATATTTGTATTAATTTACCGTAAGAGTTGAAGAATAAGAGAAACGGAGTGAATTTAGAGTTTACATTTTACACTATAACTTAGTTTTAACTGTAACAGTAACAGCTCTAATTACTTTATTGTCTATGAATACTTTGAATAATTCTATAAATATTATAAATATTCAATAGTGATTTTATTGGTCGAAGTCAGTTGTGCGTCTTGGCGGTAAATAAATTATGTTTGACGTAAAACGTCTTTAAAATATCACCGAAACATACTTATATCAGGCCAGAAAAGTGGACTGTATTGAAATTGGTTTTATACGAAATAGGTTCCATTAGGTTGCCATAGTAACCGTTGTTATTGTCTGAAAAATGATATATGATATTTTTTCCGTTGCTTTTCAAAGATCACTATTTTTACTAATTTGTATTTAAATATGCAAAATATTTACTTATAAAAACAAAACACTAAAAGCGAGTCTCAATTAAGTATGCTCCAACTCAGCCCTACCGGATTTTTGTTGTAGGTAATATTAGAATTTTTGACGTTTTACTTCTTTTAGCACGTTTGGAAAAAAATATGAGAGTAAAAGTTTTACAATTTTTAACATCATTATAGACATTATATATTATTTACGACATCCAAAAAGCGACATGATGAAGTTAGCTGCATCCCTTTTACAAACAGTTGTGACATACAGGATGGAATCTTTAGCTAATTTTGTTCTGTTACGCCAAAGAAGTATAACTTCTTACGTGCGTACATTATATAAGTATTTTTTATATATTATAAATGTAATTTTTTTTTATAATAATTATCTAGATAACAATTTTTCTCTTATTTTACAGTTGTACGAAAATATTATATGCAATTAATTTTTTAATCATAAAAATATCAAAATTAGAAAATATTAAACCTACAATATATACAAAAAAACGTACATAAATTTATGATGTTGATTGATGATGACAAATATTATAATATAACATAAGTAAACAAAATTAACGATTTTGATACAAAAATAAAATATTATTTTTAAAATCAACAACTCACCTCTCGCATGTTTGCATTCGTATTCTATTAATGATCAGTTAAGTAATAATGAGGGTAAACAAATATATGTTTCAAATCAAAAATATTATAAATTTTAAATCAACATATAATTAAATCAGAAATCTATTGTACATATACAAAGTTGTACCTATTGCTACGCCATTGTCTTTAATCGGTTCGCAGTTTTCTTTATCGAAACTATATGGAAGTTTTATTTGATTTATTACATATTTGATTTTTGCTTCCCGGGATGCCGATCGTATTTTGAAATCAGGCAAACTACTTAGTGGCGGTGACGGTAATATAAATGTAAAATAATATCAATTGCGATTTTGACCTTGTTCTTGGCTCCGTCAGCATTCCGCCTATCTTATTCTTTAGGTCTAATTATTTATCATTATTGTATAAGTAATGCAATAAATTGTATTTCATATATTATTTAAAACATTCCAACAACTAACATGTAAAATATATGCTCAGTAAGTGTTTACAAAATGTACCTATTTATAAAAGAAGAAAAGAATCTTGGATTATCTCCTAACTATATAACTACTAATTAATATATTTAGACAATGGAAAAATATTAAGTTTAAAGCTTAGTAAACGTGTAATTATATGGTTTTTACTATAAGGATAAATAGTTGAATATAGTACCATTTCAGGCTTCAATCACTACCCATGCACGTTCCGCTTATCTTTAAGTCTAATACTATTATTCCTCCATTTTAATTTTCACAAATGCTGTGTGTCGGTTAAAGAATGCCATTGTTCGTGACGATGATCAGGAAACTTAATGCAATCCATCCAATGCTTCAATCTTCGACCCTTGCTAGTGGCGCCAAGAACTAAACTGCCGAGAAAGTCGTTGGGTTTACCATAATCTTTATCCCAAACTGTCAACGTCAAATTTTGGCGGGAAAGCTCAGTCGGTCGCGTCTCGAATAGAAACTCTTCATTCCAGACGGGATTCAGGTTTCGCCATTTAATGGAAGTCTTATGTTTTTTGTGGTATGGATCTGGATCTAGGTGCCTACAATGAAAAAACATCATAGGATCGGAAAATTTTGGAATTAATTATAATAGACTTAAAATTCTATACTCCGAAAAATAGCAAAGCTTTTTTAATGTAAAATTGTATATTAAATAGTTTTTTTATGAAAATATGCAATGAAAACAATAATTATATAATCCATTTTTACTTATAAATAAAAGTATTTTTTAATATATTCTATTGCAGCTTTCTTATTATCACTTACAATTTTACAAATGGATCCGAATATCCGTTACTGTCTTGCGGTGGCAGATCAGCTCCTCTACAGATGGTAACAACTAGCGCGCGTTTCTTAGTACTGTAGCATAGCGCCAACAATAACCTAGGTCCAGTTGCTTCGGAACCAGACGCTCCTGATAATGCAAGGCGTAATTGTGCAGGTGATTTAAGACATTCTCTAAGAGGGACTGTTGCTGAACCCATCTGATCGCACCCATATCTGTTATATGCAAGACATTTAAAAATAAATTGACTATTTTAATTACATAACAAATACCTAAATAAACATAATAAGTTATAAAAACATCAAACTTTTATTAATCCATTCTAGACTAGCGACTCATCCTTGCTTCGCTTCGAGTTCGTTCCAAGACAAAAACAAATCCAGCCAACGGGACGGCACATTATAATCTATCTCTGTGCCAGACTTCATCCAGATCCGTTCAGCCGTTCTGGCGTGAAGGAGTTACAAACATCCATCCATCCAGCCTCACAAACTTACACCTTTATTATATTAGTATGATATGGATTCGCAGCAGAGGAGGATTCTTCCCTTGAGGCAAGTCACAGAACTTTGATTGAGAAAGTCAATATTTAGTAGGTACATATGTACCTAATGTATATCTATAATATTTATAAAAACTAAATACGATGAATAACTACAGCATCAATCAATTCTTCATTTAAAAAAAAAACAAATAATTTAAAAAAATACCTGTCATCGTCGAATAAAACTATTTCTAAGCTTTTAATGGCAAGATCAGATTCTGTTATTCCAAAGAAATGTAAAGTTTCATTAAATTCAGGATTTTTAGTTTTATGTACCGTCTTTGTTCGTAGTCTATTTGAATATGTTCCTTCTGAAACAAGAATAGACTATTATAAATCTTGGTTTTTCCTGTCATTTGTTCAAATAAATATTGATGAATTGTAAGTTTTTTAAATAGTTTTTAGTTTATAAATAATAGTAGTCTGAATAACAATACAGTGGATTTTCCTAATTAATACGTAGTAAACAGCGAAAAACCGTGAAATTATGCCTATAATAATATATTATTATTAAAAAAACGATGTACCTATTTATAGTGTTAATTAATTTAGTTCTGGCCAGTAGGCATATCGTGAAAACGACATTAAGTTATGTTATCTACACAACATGAAGATAATATTAAAAGTGGCGCTTATATAAGTTTATAGCGACTTCAAATATAGATGCACTTTGTAATAAAAAAATAAAATCAATTATTGAATCCGCGACAAAATCCGAAAAGATAGTTTTATTTAAAATGTCAAATATTCGCGTAAATCTAAGAAAGTATTATTGATGTACGATTAAATAGTTATATGGAGAATTATTTTTTTTAAACTATAAACACAATTTAATTATACATTAAGCTTTATCTCAAAAATATATTCAATGCACAATCCTCATTAAATCAAATCCCTATTACATCTTTATTACATGTAAGTAATATGGATAAGTTTGTATGTTACATAATATTAAAATTACTGTTCAAAAAGAACTTAGTGACTCCTCACTTTGTTCTTCGCAGACAGATATGAGATTGAATGATTTATATTGTACATTTAACATTTACCTCGTGGCAGTACTTCTAATCTACAGAATGGATCAGAGAGTCCAGTCATGTCCATGCCAATAAGGCCTCTTGCTCGTAATATTGTTACTGCCACTGAAGATGTACCATTATCGTACGCTAATTTAATTTCAAGCGTCCCATAACCTGCATCAGGGATTGTTGGTGGTCTTTCTATTTGTGTTGTCGATTTTGGCATTTCCTTCCTAATGTTTCGAAGACTGTAAGCGCTTCCTTTGCTGCCTGTACGTTTTAAGCCTAAGGAACGTTGGTTAAGGCTATCTGTTCTATGAAGATTGAGGCCACTGACTCCATGAGATAGAATATCGGTTTCGCACCATTCGTGGTCCTGAAAGTTATTTTACTTCTTTACTTTGTTATATTAATCTAACAAGTAAAATATTTTTAAATAGGCAACTGTCTGCTGCTCATATGCTTCTGTTAAGTCGACAACTTCAAAACATGGCTCCTGAACATACGATTGCTCAGAACAGCGATCTAAATATTATATTGGCTATATTTTAAGTTTTAACTTTAATAGTGTTATATAAAAAGTTGTATTAAGTCCGTCCAATCGTTCTCGAGTACCAGGTAAACGAAATTGGCTCACATTACGACCCCCAAACGCAAAATTTTCCAAGAAATTAATGAACTGAACAATGAACAACTAGACATAAACACGTCACAAATTAGAGACAAAATTTTACTATCTAATATTATTTGTCTTTAGCTTTTTCAGTTAATTTATTCATACTTAATAGTATGAATAAATTAACAACTTAAATAAGAATAAAAAATACCACAGCGTAATCACAAAAATGGACCTGTGTGAATTGAATCCAGAGAACAAATATGTGGAATTTTATAGGAACTTTATAATACTAAATAATAGTCGTTATATACATATACAAAAGGTGTTAATTTTGTCAAATCATATGTTTTTAATATATAATAAAATTACCTATTTTAATTTAATAATGTAATAATAAACACTTTTAAATATAATTCTTTAATTCCATTTTTACAGACAGTAAAATAATATAGTATATAAATAGAAAAAAAATACATGGTGCAGTGAACGTGAGAAAGAAGCAGGGTATGTATAAAATAATCTATACTAATATTATAAAGAGGTAAAGTTTGTGATCTTGTGAGTTTGTGAGTTTGTGAGTTTGTGACGTTGTAGGGGGTAATCTCTGGATCTACTGAACCGATTTTCAAAATTCTTTTACCAATAGAAAGCCACGTTCTTTCTGAGTGTCATAGGCTATATATTAACCCGAAAAATGAAAAGGCTTTTTCGTGGTAGTCGGATTTGCAAAGTAAGTCGGAGAAAAAACGGTCGAACGAAAACGTTTCTTACAAACGCTGCCTTAACGATGAAAGATATATGATTATGTTCTAGAGAAAAGTTGTAGAGCTTAATAATGCCTACAAAAAAGTCAGCGACAGCATATGTCTAACTTTTATATTTAAGTCACAAAAAGTAGCTTTTTATATTAAAAAGATAATTTAAATCGGTAGGTCATGTTTATTGGTCATATTATCAACAATTATGAATTCTTATTAAAATAAGTAAAATTATCGTCTAAAATGTTTAAAACAAAAGACTTTTCTCTTTTACTGCATATAATTTGGACAAATGGTTAAAGAGATAATACAACATATTCGTAGGTATGGACGAACCCGAGCGAGCAGTTTGTCTGTTTTTCTCTTTGTACGGGCTAATCTCCGAATCTATTGGACCTATTTAAATGAAACTTTGCATGGTGGTACCTTATATCCCCGGGCAACATCTTAGATACTTTTCATCCTGGAAAATTAAAGAGTTCCCGTGGGATAGTTAAAAAACTATAACAACTTATACAGCTTAGTACACAAAAACTACTGATTGGATTTTAATGAAACTTTACAATAATATAGTTTATACATGACAAAAACAAATCAGCTACTTTTCATCCCGGAAAATTAAATAGTTTCCGTGGGATAGTCAAAAAACTATAGTAACTTATACAGCTTAGTACATAAAAATTACTGATTGGATTTTGATGAAACTTTACAATAATATAGTTCATACATCAGAATAACAAATAGGTAACTTTTTATCCCGGAAAAATGTACTTTTCCCGTGGGATAGATGTTTTTATTTATCTATAATATCATGTACAATATTATGTACACAACATAGACCCCAAAACAACAGTTATTAAAAAAATGTCTGTTTGTCTGTTTGCCTATATGTCTGTTTGTCTATTTTTGTGTGCGCGTTTCACGCGAAAAGTAATGTACCAATTTCAACGAAATTTGCTGAAGTGGTAACTTATTACTCGAGTCAACATTTAGGGTACCTTTTGTATGTATGTATGTATGTATTCAGCCCTTTTTAACGTACCACTGCTGGGCACGGGCCTCCCTTCAGTACGAGGTGGATCAGGCCATAGTCCACCACGCTGACCAAGTGCGGGTTGGTGGACTTCACATGTCTTTCGAAAGCTTGCTAGGTTCTGTCAGACATGCAGGTTTTCCTTCACCGTTAAGACAAATGGTAATTGTGTTAGAAATGATTCGCACATGAAAATATCAGAGGTGCGAGACCCGGGATTTGAACTACTTGCTTCACTCGGTTTCCCAAGCGAGCGCGTTACCACTGGGATACCACTGCCTAGATACCTTTTACTTCAAGAAAATCTTTCTTTCCCAAGGGAAAATACAATAACTGGTTTTATCGAGTCCTCTCTAGAAACCTTAAACTAAGCCTTAAGACATACATACATCAAAACAATATACTTAAAATTGTAGGTCTTGAAAAGTCCTACAGAAAAGTTCTAAATAGTATAATGTCTAACTCCTAAGTTACACTCGCAATATTTATTCTTATCTATACCTATAATAAAACTTAGTCAAATCGATGTGCGCGTTTCACGCAAAAAGTACTCAACCGATTTTAATTTTGTATAGTGATGAAACTCAGTACTCGGGTCAACATTTAGGATACCTTTTACGACAGGCTAATTATTCATTCCCACGGGAAAACATAATAACTGGTTCTATCGAACCGTCCTTAGAAATTTATATGGCTAACGTTGGTTCAACCTTAAGAGATAGATCAAAACATTGTGCAAGAAAATTGTAAGTCTTAAAAAGGTCTATAGAAAAGTTCTACATAGTATATGTCTATGTCCTAAGGTACACTCGCTATAACTATTTTCATTATTATATATTACTGTTTTATTATACGTTATTTATTCTATCTGAATATACATATATAAATAATAAAACTGTAGGGGTCGAATGTCTGTACATAGATGATAGAAAAAAATGCTAAAAACCGAGTCAGTTCTCTTCTTACATCCCGTAAGGAGAGAAATAGAACAAATCCAGATTTTTTTCAATTTTTTGTTTCTCTGTCTGTTTGTCTGTTTGTACGGGCTAATCTCCGAAACTATTGAACCGATTTAAATGAAATTTGATACTTTTCATTCCGGAAAATTAAAGAGTTCCCGTGGGATAGTTAAAAACTATAGTAACTTATACAGCTCAGTACACAACAACTTATGCACCTAATTTAGTAAAATTTGGCATGCTGATACCTTATATTGCAGGTCTAACAACAGGTTACTTTTTATCCCGGAAAAATAAAAGGTTCCCGTGGGATAGATCTGTTTGTGCTTTTCTAGAGGTGAACCAGAGCGAAGCGAGGGTGAGCCGCTAGTAAATAATAAAGAGAAAGTGTTGTATTTTATTTATCTGTCTCGTCTGTTACAGCGTCTCTGCGGGAACTTCATAAAAGCAATTAGAGAGTCGTAACTGGCGGGTGGTTATTAAGTTTCATAAGTTTTTTAATATTATTTTAGTCGTAATTGCTGTTTGAATGCTATATAATAATAAACATAATATACTAGCACTGCCCGCGGCTCCGCCCGCGTTCAGATGACCAAAAACCAAATTCTTAGGTTTTACATATTAGTATACTCTTATTCCAGTTTTTGTATTTTTTCTCAGAAATGAGACATTTTTCCGCGGTAAAAAGTATCATATACGTTGACCCGGATAATCAGCTATCACTATACCAAATTTCATCAAAATCCCTTCAGTGGTTTTTCTGTGATGCGGTAACAGACAAACAGACAGATAAAAATTCTAAAATCTATAGATTCGGCTTCTGTATCGATAATAATGTTTATTTCAATAAGTTTTTCCAAAAAATATTTAATGTAGGTACACATTCGGCTTAGTTACAATTTTATTATATGTATGGATTAATTTTATTGCACATCAGGTACTATCAGTCGCTTTGTCTCACCGCGTACTTTGCATTCCAATTAAGTCTTAATAACTAAATTAAATATGTCCTCCGCTTTATACAGAAATGCGTGCAATTAGAGACCTCAAATATCTTTGAATTGAATGCTATGTTTTTGTGCTAAGGTATGTTTTTAAGTTACAATGAAATGTCTCATTTTAGTCTTTCTAGCCATGCTCTATAACTGCGCGATTAAACAAAAACAAAACAGCCGAATTTTATTAAAGTAAAGAATATAATTTGTTAGTGTAGGTTCTCTGTTCATATACCCCCCAACGTGCGTTCACCTTGTCGCGGTAGGGGGGGGCTCAGTAGTGCCCGGCAATACAGCCGGGCGCGAAGCCAAGAAACGCACAGGGAGGTGGCCCGCTTCGGTGGGCGGTGGGAGGTGGCCCTCTTCGGAGGGCGGTGTACCATGCGGGTTGCTCCTGGTACTTCTCTGATAGCAGAGTGGACCTTGGAGCAACCCCGTGGTTGTCGTGGTCTGCTTCGGCAGACCTGCCGTTGGGGCGTCGTCGTTGAATGCGTAAGCGATCCTGCGACGCCCCATTAAGACGGGGGAAGGCTTTGTTGGGTTTTAGTGGGTAGTACTGGCTTTGCCGGTGAGTCCCACACCTCGTGCGTAAATGCATTTCCCAACGTTAAAAAAAAGGTTCTCTGTTCATATGTGTAATATTTCATTTTATTGTCGATAGATAATATTAAAATATTCGGCTTATACATGTTAATGGCATAAATTGATGTTAATCAATTTGTTCTAGTCAACTTGACGTAGCTTTAATTTTTATTATGTAACTATGTGAAAATTCAAGTAATATTGATAACAAAGAAATGGAAGATGTTCGATTATTGTTCTCCTTATAAATATTTTTTTAATTTTACACAGCATTTCATAATTAACAAATTAGTTTAACTAGCTCTTATCGAATTAATGGAAATGATAAACAAGACGAGATCAACCTTGTTCAAGATACTCCTTTAGATTTATATCCACAAAGTACAGTTACAAGGACGAGATGTTAAGGTCACAAGTGATGGTTATTAGA